CTCTCTGGCGATCCGCTTCACCTTTCCGTGTTCGCACTGTCCCAGGTAGCCGATTGTATCGCGCTTCCCATCCTTCTCTAGCGAGTCTAGTGACTCTAGTCCCGTCCCCTAGTGGAGAGCCGGACCCGTCCGTCAGCTCGCCATCCTCCTATTGCCCTGACTAGTCCAATGATAGACTGCTAGTCGCCGTTTTCAACATCCACCCTGATACCCACGGGCCTTTCGTGGGAAGTCAGAATGGGGTATAGTCCCCTCCATCTTCTTTTCTATTTTACGATAATCTAAGGCGTCGTGTGCTCACCACGTTTGATAGGTAACTATCGCCCCTCTACGGAGTACACATCCACCGTCAGCGGACTAGGCATAGCACACATCATCGTGCATGAATGGCCACCCACCATCATTGGCCCCTCGCTTGATCGGGTGCCTTTGTCTATCCACGCCGCCACATCCTGGGGCGACCCAACGACCTGGTCCTCGTAACGCATGTCGTCGATCCGATAAAACTCAAAGGATTCCAAATCCAATTTCCTTCCAATGAACGCCTCCATACACCTGTTGGAACTATTTTCGATTGATCATTGTGCCGCCTCTCGACGATGGGGCCAATAGGATTGCATTCCAGATCTTTCTACCTTTACAGCTTGGACGCAATCCCGTTCTTCTGGGTCTCTTCCTTGGCTCGATCTCTAAGCACCTTTCGAAGAATCTTCCCCGACGGGTTTTTGGGAATCGCCTCCAGGAAAACCACTCCTCCGGTAATCCGCTTGATCGGGGATACTTTCCCACTAACAAATTCGACAATGTCCTCGGCGGTGGCGCTTTGCCCCGGCTTTAAGACAATATACGCCCGGGGGCGTTCGTCGTCATCCCTATTTGTGGGCAATCACACGTTAGCTCATCTGCTTGTCCGACTGATCATTACTGAGGGTGCGGGTTTCTCCGTACACTGGGATACCAATGACCGCCGCATCGGCCACAGCAGGGTGCTCCAATAGAAGAGCCTCCAACTCCGCGGGTGCCACCTGGTTACCCTTGACTTTGATCAACTCCTGGGTCATAACGATTAGCCACCACTCAGCAAATCGCGTCAGGCTTCGGTGTCGCCGATTACGACCGAGCATCACTACTATACCTTCTTCCGGTCCACTACGTGGAATCTCATTTGGTCATCGACATACGCGATGTCTCCCGTCTTCAACCACCCGTCAGGCGTCTTCGTCTCCTGCGTCGCTTGAGGATTTCTCCAATACCCTTTCATCACATTCTGTCCGCGGACCCAGAGCTCGCCACGTTGGTTCAGACCCAACTCGGTCACACCGTCCTCAGCCATGATCTTCGCCTCGCAATTGGCGTTCAGTTCTCCAACTGATGCGGAAACGCTCTTGTGGGTTGGGTCCCATCCCAGAAGCGAGCAGGTAGTCCTACCCAATGATTAGCTTCCGATGTGTTGTCCCTTTGCTAAGCCACGGGAGCGCCAACGTACTCTGTCATGCCCCATCCCTGTTTGATGTTAATCCGTCCAGGTTCCCACAGCGCCTCTACTTCCTCGCAGACTTCTCGACCCAGGGGTGCGGCGCCAGAACCAATCACCTCCACACTACTGAGGTCATATTTACCGCTCTTCACGGCGGGGTGTTTAGCCAGCGCCACAACGACTGGGGGCACCAGAATATAGTCCGTGATGCGGAACTTCTCCGTATACTCCAACATCTTGATGAAATCGAACTTGGGCATGATGTAGACCGGAATATTGCGACTCAGCGCCGCGGCGATGAAAATATTCTGGGCCATGGCATGATACATCGGCAGGAAACAGAGCCACCGAGCGCGGGCCTGTCTCTCCTCCCAGTCCGGATTCAGGTAGAACATGTGATTGAACTGCATCATGTTGGCGCAGTAGTTCTTGTGCGAGATTTCCACCCCCTTCGGCCGTCCCGTCGTGCCGCTGGAGTAGTTGAGCGCGAGCGTCCGATCCGCCTTGTCGGGGGTATTCAACTCCTCCCACGCAAAGCCCGTACCTTCCTGGACGGAGGCTACCAGCTCTCCCCAGTAGCGACACCCCTTTACGCCTCGTCCGGCGCCATCGTAAAGCGCATTGTTAAAGACGAAGACGCGATCATGCCCCAGTCCGGCGATCCGAGCAGCTTCGATACCCGTGTCAATGCTTCCCTCGGCGCAGATGAGGTATGTCGCCCCGCTATCCTGTAATTGGAATGCCAGCTCCCGGGCGACAAACGTCGGATTGGCGCCCGTGAAGACACCGCCGGCCATAATAGTGCCCATGAAGACGACCGGAAAGAAGAGATCGTTGCCCGAGAAAAGCAGCACTCGATCACCGGTCTGGAGGCCAGACTTGCGGAGTCCGGCTGCAAAACGTTGACACCATAGTCGGAAATCGTGTGTGGTGAAGTAATGCGTGTCAGGGCGCGCCGCTTCGGAGTAGCTGCGGTGTGTTGTGGAGAGCGGATGGGTCGGGGAGGTGAAGAGGAGCGACGCCAGATGGGTGTCGGGGATGTCGATCTGCCAACGCGATTTGAAAGGCATTTTTCAGTCGACGGTCTGCGCTGGATAGGCGATGGAGGGAGAGAGAGAGAGAGAGAGAGAGAGAGAGAGAGAGAGAAACGAGTCAATAAGAGCTATTCGAATGGCAGGCAAGGCAGCTCCGGATAGCTCTGTATATTTATACTTCGGATGGTCTTGCGGAGCTGACGAGGACTAGGGGGCTCCTCTTAACAGGGGCAGATAATGCCAGCATAACCGGGACAGGTGTTCACAAAACTGAACATCCCCGAAATCGTGCCAAAATGTCAACCCTCTTGCGCATCTACCCCCAGCGTCTTCCCCATCTTCCCCCGCCTTTCGTGTCGGCTATAGGGGCGCTGGATGTGCCAATCACCGCCCGCAGAAAGGGAGATCCCGAGGAGAGAACAGCGCGAACCTCGGACCGGCAGAGCGGTGCTCCATACTGACATCGACTCGGATCTGGAATCCGATCGCGTGATTTTCCAAACCCTACTTCTGGTTGTATGTGTAAATGCTATATTTGAAAGTCTCTTGCAAGAGCAAGCAAGACAGCGACTGCACTATTGCTCCTAGATACCAAACAAGCCATTATCATCAGCATCATTACGCCTCCTCTCCCCCAAGGCACACCAGCGCCGCCTTCAGCTCGCCCACAATCTTCTCTTCCAGTCGCGTCTCCGCCCCGGACGAGGCAGAATTCACCGGTTTCTGCCGCCACAACTCCACCTCCTTCTCGTTGGTGGCCACGATTCGTCCCCGGAGATTCTGCCTGCGTTCGAGAAGCTCCTCAATGTCTTCCTTGACCTGCGACTTGTCCCATTTGAGCTCCTGGATGGCCTCGCTGTCCACGCCGAGACTGGCGCCTGCCTCCCGGAACCGGTTCAGGATGAAAGAGATCAGCGCCAGGGAGTAGGCCTCGGATGCCATGCTTAGGCAGATCCGGCGTGTGGTCGACCCGGAAGAGACGGCCGTACGGCCCGCCGCGAATGACTCGGTCGCGCGCTGGAGTTGGCCTTCAAACTGGTTGAGGAAGGCGGCAACTTCGGGGGCGGACCGGACGACGTGATAGAGCAGGTTCAGGCATAGCGGAAGGAATCCACCTGTCCAAATCGTGTACATTCGGGGCACGGGATCGAAAGGCCCGAAGCCCTTGGATTGTCGTATGATATTAGTCAACCGACACGTTGAGAGTCGGTTGAGAACCACCTCGACCGCGAGATGCTCGGCTAGCATAGGGATGGTGGACAGCTTCACCAGGAAGGAGATGCTGATTTCTCCGTACACAGGGTCGCCAGCCACTGCGAGCTGATCCGCCCAGGAAAACAGCGAAGTCGCATGTCGCGCTGTATCGTTGTCTGCAATGTGGTAGACCATGTGCTCATACAGTCGGTCGACATTTTTCACCTGCAAGCAGCTCTGCAGGATCGCTGTCAGGACGGCAAAGTCTTTGGGCGCACATTTATCTGGCTGCTCGTGCAAATACGCCGTCAAAGACCGGAACCCTTGCGCAACGACAACCTTGACGACCTCCACAACCAGTCCTAGGTCGGACGAGACCTCGGGCTTCTTGCTAAGAGCCTCGGGAGCTGCTCGAGAAGGTGTATCAAGATGGAATTGCAGGGCCAGGAATAGAACGTTCAGCAGCGACCTGTAGTATTCAGTATCGTCGTTGGCCAGGGCCTCTTCATAGGTGGCGTGACGCGTGCGTATTGTGTCCCAGACCACTCGAAGCAAGCCGAAGACTTCAGCACCTTTGGCTCCAATTTCGACAAGTCTTTGAAGCAGACCCTGGGCAAAGTCAACCCGCGTTTGTTGGATTCTTTCAAAAATGGGCTCCTGCGGAACGCCATTCATGTTGGCCTCGAGACATCTCTGCACAACCAAAGCCATCGACTTTTGAACTTCCCGATCCGTCATGAAATCTGCGCAATGCTCGATGGCAAAAAATTTCCAGCTGTGAAGAAGACTCTGCGGAGGGGGCATTAGGCATCGTTTACGATTATTTAAATGTCGTGAGACTTGTACGTACCACTTGCGCTTCAACAAGCGACAGATTCAGGTTGGCTCTTTCAAACTCCTGCGCAAATCCCTGGTTCCTTGTGCCCACCCACGCGAAGTCATAGGAAAGGAGCTGCTTTCCGAGATGGATATCGTAGCAGTACTCGGAGCCGAGACAACGCGGCTGTAACGATGTGCGTTTGAAATCGACCAGTTTGCACCCAGCATAACGCATCTCGAAATTCTTCTTTAGGTTTGTGTGAAGAGACGCATTGTATCCTGGCACTTCAACTGCTTCCTTAGCATACCAGGACACAAGCGGAATCAAGCTTTTGAAAAACGTCCGATCCTGCATCTCCTTGGCAGAATGCAAGTAAACCGTGCAAAGATCGGCAATGACAGCAGCGATTCGGGTCGTGAAGATTTGGTCCACCACGGACAATGAAGAGATCTTCAGCTTGGAGACATAATTTACCAGGCTCGGGAAGAACTGAGGGTGTTTCCGCAACTCCGGCGTCGCCCAAGGCCAATGCTCTTGAGCCTGAGAAACAAACTCCAGCAATGCAAGAGCTACCTGCAGGTCCAACCCATCGATCTCAGAAAGCATATCAAGGGCAATCTTCAAAAACGGGGTTCCTCTCATAGCCGGAGCTTTCTTGCTATCTTCCCTCAACGTCTGCCGAGGAGACGACCCGGTAAGGATATAGACTGCCAGCCATTGTTGTCGCTTGCTGATTAGGGATGACAGCAATCGCCAAATCGCCAAGTTGAGACCTCTATCGCTTAGCGGTCTGTCAAACTGGGACAATACATCAAGGAAAAGACAGGACGACTCTGCTCCTAGGTGTCCAACCAACGACGGGGGCTCATTCTCCGGGTCCAAAGCTGCGCCTGAGATAAGGGTGTCGAGTAACAGAGTGACCGGGAGTCTATAAGCATCATGCAAGGCGTATAATTTGACTAGAACCGGGGTCGCTCTGAATAGCTGCTTTTCCAAGAGCGATGGCGAACTTCCCAGATACTGGGCTGATTGCAACAGCCGAGATGAGAGTTCAAGAGTCGATTTTGTTTGCCTCTCCACCAAAAACAAATATCGAAGATACAATGTCGGAGGGGTCTGCAGGCCTTCAACGATCAAGCGAAGGAGCGGGTTGAAAGGGAGATCAGCTTCCGACTTTGGCCGTAAAACGTCCACAAGGTAGGTTGCCGAGGAAGAGAATATCCCGGTGACTTTGGCATCCAACTTAGCAGAGTCATTTGCTCCATAGGCGTAATAGAGGATCCTCTCGAAGGTGTTACCAAGTGTTGAATTGATCTCGAACTTTTGCCCCGGTGCGTTGAACCTCCAGTTTATGCTGCTATTATAAACTTCGACCATCGTCCGGACGAAGTTCAAGAGGATATCCCTCATCATATGTGACGGGACACCAGCGGTCCAATCGGAGACATTCGTTGTCTTCCCAGTAATGCTATTCGGGCTTCTTCTCAAGACTGCACGAGAGGCAGCATCGGTGACGATCGCCTCAAACAGATGGACGCAACCAAGGAGGAACGGGTATTCACCTGAAGTCACCTCCATGGCAGAAACTATCGCTGTCAGGATCCCGCCTTTACCTTCGGAGCGCAGCAATCTACTGCGAGAAAGAAGAGGCCACACTCTTCCGGGTAGAATAGCAATCAGGGCACAGATAAACCGGAGGCAGGCGATTGTAGATTCCAGGACATGATCAGCCCCAGCCTTCGGTCCAATACTCGATAGATTGCGCTCGAATATTTCGAAAACCAACGAGATAACATCACTCTGGCGCGAGAGCCCATCACTCGCCAGTTCCAGGATTCTCTTGGGGCCGGAGTTGTCACCATCCTGCACGTTAGAGTCCTTCGCTGCGATGAGGAGGTCTGCCAGCAGTCCTATGACTTCCGCGACAGCATCTTCTCCCCATCCTGCAGCGTACCCTCCGCTCTCATTCCAGTCTTCAAGCCAGCTTCCAAGGTAGCTTAAACAAGAATATTGATGACGCCACATAACAACCACGGGCCTAGACTCCGAAACGACTTGACCGACAGTCATGGTGGGAATTTGTGACGAGCCTGTGACGACTAAAGCATTGCTGGGTTCGTAATTTGAGATCAACTTTGTTCGCCCGGTCGAGTTAAGCATAGGGAGCGACTGAGTGAGGGTGACAAAGTTTGCGTTTTCGTCTTCTCGGATTGTCTCATAGGCCTGGAATTCAGGCGGCAGGACCTGCGTGAATGTCTCCATGCTTTCAAGCTCGGCCAGTATTGAAGGGATTCCTTCCTCATTCACCAGATCTTTGCTGATGAGACTGCGGCTCAGTTTCAGAAAAGGAACGGTTTCATACGGGAACCGAGAACGGGCTATCCGAAAGATGTTATCCATCAACACATCGTCCTGCAGGAATATTGACCGGGGATCACCCGGTCCAGGGGAGACTGCTGTCAAAGGCCATGTAAATGAAGTTAGAGAGCCTGTAAGAATCGCAAGCACAGACTCGACTATTTCGGGGGAATAGTCCAAGTATACCACAGCCACACGGATCAAATCCAGGAGTGCTTCTCTGGCCCAACAATTCGACAGAATGTCATCAACAGCAGAAGTAGCGCCGACTTTGGAGGCCAACACAATGATGGTATCGAATGCAACAAGTCTGAGTGCATCCGACGTGAGGATAGCGATAGACTCGTCTACTGTGAATTTCGGAGTCTTCGCGTTCTCGAGTAATTCTTCGTATAGTGATAGCTCCGATGTACCATCAGTATTTGAGTGAGGCGTGTTTGACTGAAAAGAGTCCACTGCGCTATGAAACTGTTCCAGTTCACGGCTCTCTTTGTCATTCAATGCCAGTTCCCTCATTGTATTCAAGATCAATCCCCATGCAAATGCAGCGGGATTCGCAGTCTTCGCGTCGGCGCCTGCATTCACAAGGATCTCATTTATTTGACCGATATCTTCTTTCGAGAGAAAGTACGGTGTCTTGGAGGCAGATGCTCCGTTGGACATGGTCTTGTCGATGATGGCGGGGAAGGAGATGGGTAACTTCATAAATGCAAGCGTTGTCAACGAAACGAAAGCCTGAAGTGGTAATAGCACTTCTACTGGATCCTCGCATGGCTTATAACAGTTAGTGCTTGGAGGGTCCCATGGAGAAAGACAATGTTCTGCTTACCACTTGAAGGGGCTCCAAAAAGCTATAGTTGGCCATGAGACGAAGCCAAGACAGAAGAAGCTGTGCTGAGGGGATGTCTGCCGACGCTTGGAGCTGTAAAAACAGCATCTGCACTATGTGCGATATCTCTTCGACGGTGGTGGTTCTCCATATGTCTTCCACAGTTTCACTGCTCTCCGACGCCCCCAACCATCCACCATCTCCCTCCAGCGCCTTAAGCCGACTCTCAATAGCATTAATACAAGCTTGAATCTGGGAGCGCCATTCGTCGCCGACAAGTTTGTTTTTGAAGACAGATGCTCCTAGCTTGCGCAACAAGCTCACGCGCTCATTTTGTTCGGTACTGGTGAGGGTTTTCTGATCGAGATTGTCGGACAGATGGAGAGCGAGGAGCTTACGAGCCGTTTTGACGAGGTGGACTCTTTCCGATAAATAGAGGTTCTGTATGCGCATGCGTCGGTTTTTCTCTGAAGCAAAATCAGACGCGTCATCACGACGGGTGCTTTTGTTGAAGATTTCAGCAAAACTGGGCCCAGCCAATGATACTCGGAAATTTTCAACTCCAGCTGCACCCTGTAGACTCGTAGCTTCTTCGTCGGCGAACCTTGCTAGAAGGCGTGTGCCAGGACGATTCTGCCATTCCAAGATGACGGTTCGAAGAGCGCTGACCTCATCGATACAGGCTTTCTGACTCAACCACAGGGCATCGGCCTTGATCTCCTTCAGGTCGTATGACCCCTGCGCAGTCGTTTCAGCATGTATCGCAGCTGTTTTCGATTCGAAATCGGACTTTGACTTGGTTGACGGCGCGGGGAAGGATTTTAGGCAATCTGAAAGCAGCTGGATGCTTTCGGGGTGTGAAAGAAAGGTACTGAGATGACCGGTGTCGTCAACGTCGCAGCGTGCATTGCAGGTATAAAGGAAGGCTCTCCTCCAGGACCTAATGGGGCATGTGGTCAGCTCGTTTTCTTTCAATTGCAGCAGCGAAATGCGCGTACAGAAGCTGGACGTCCCCGGAGAAGCACTTGTCCAGGGACGGAAAATAGGCTTCCGGGACGGGAGCCATTGGCGGAACAGCTATATCATTATAGAACTATTCCAAAATGATATAGCAGAGCGGAATCGAAGCAACACACGCAACGTTAGAAGATGTGTAGCTGATGACGGGAACTCCAGAATATTCAAGGTCAACAACATTGGGAATAACGATGCCTGCCTATCCGGGTTTAGCGCTAGGCGGTGAGGGAACAAATTGCGCGGGTCGTCCGTCCAACCCGATTCGGAAGGCGATCCGACTGAATAATACTCTCCTACGCCGCCTTGCATCTTTTGACTCACCGCGCGCCGCTTCGCCCAAGTCCTCCTCGCCCAAGTTTCGTCCTGATCCAGGTTCCTGGACAATGTGAGTAGTCTTATTCCCTTTCCCTATTCAGTGTTACTCTATTCTGATCCATCTCCAAACACTAGACTACCATTATGGCGGGCTCCGATCTCGTTGACCATTCCCCCCACTATCCCACTAAGGCGAAGCAGCTCGACACCGCCTCCAACGTGATCCTCATTGACAACTACGACTCCTTCACCTGGAATGTTTACCAATATCTGGTCCTTGAGGGTGCTACTGTTCGGGTGTTCCGCAATGATGAACTTACTCTGGAGGAATTGATTGCGAAGAAGCCTACGCAGTTGGTTATTAGCCCGGGCCCGGGCCACCCGGAGACCGACGCCGGCATCAGCAATGCTGCCATTCAGTATTTCAGTGGCAAGATCCCTGTCTTCGGTGTGTGTATGGGCCAGCAATGTATTATCTCCTCTTTTGGTGGCAAGGTCGATGTAACGGGCGAGATTCTGCATGGTAAGACCTCGGTGGTGAAGCATGACGGCAGGGGCGCCTATGAAGGCTTGCCAGCCGCTCTCTCCGTTACCAGGTACCATTCTCTTGCCGGAACTCACTCCACTATTCCCGATTGTCTGGAGGTGACTTCTACCGCCCAGCTTGGGGAAGATAGCAGCAAGACCGTCATCATGGGCGTGAGACACAAGCAGCTCGCCGTGGAGGGCGTCCAGTTCCATCCGGAGAGTATCCTCACCGAGCACGGACGGACAATGTTCAGAAATTTTCTCAAACTCACCGCGGGCACATGGGAGGAAAATGGAAAGCTTCCTAGCCAACAATCTGGAGCAAACGGCGCCCCCAAGACCGGCAAGAAAGTTTCCATTCTAGAGAAGATCTATGACCATCGCAAAGCTGCTGTTGCTGTGCAGAAGCTTGTTCCATCGCAACGCCCAGCGGACCTTCAGGCTGCTTACGACCTTAACCTCGCACCTCCACAGATCTCCTTCCCCGCTCGGTTGCGACAGTCTCCTTATCCGCTGTCCCTCCTGGCGGAAATCAAACGCGCCTCGCCTTCGAAGGGCATGATTGCAGAGACAGCCTGTGCTCCCGCACAGGCTCGTCAATACGCTAAGGCGGGGGCCAGCGTTATCTCTGTGCTTACCGAGCCAGAGTGGTTTAAGGGGAGCATCGATGATTTGCGTGCTGTGCGACAAAGCTTTGAGGGCGTTACTAACAGGCCTGCAATCCTCCGTAAGGAATTCATATTCGACGAATATCAAATCCTGGAAGCTCGGCTGGCTGGCGCAGACACTGTCCTGCTTATTGTGAAGATGCTTAGTGTCGAACTCCTGACAAGGCTATACCACTATTCCCGAAGTCTTGGAATGGAGCCTCTTGTTGAGGTGAACACGCCCGAAGAAATGAAGATCGCCGTCGATATGGGAGCGGAAGTTATTGGGGTCAACAACCGGGATCTCACAAGCTTCGAGGTTGATCTGGGTACCACGAGCCGGCTAATGGACCAAGTACCAGAAAGTACCATTGTCTGTGCGCTGAGCGGTATTTCCGGGCCTAAGGATGTGGAAGCCTACAAGAAGGATGGCGTTAAGGCCATTCTTGTTGGAGAAGCACTCATGCGCGCGGCCGACATATCTACCTTCGTTGCCGAGCTTCTTGGAGGAACGACAGAGAAACCTCTGAAGCCGTCCTATGGATCACTACTCGTCAAGATTTGTGGCACTCGCAGTGAGGAGGCCGCTCGAGCCGCAATTGAAGCGGGTGCGGACCTGATAGGGATTATCCTCGTGCAAGGGCGCAAACGTCTTGTTCCAGATGATGTCGCTCTGCGCATCTCGCAAGTTGTTAAATCAACACCGCGAGCCGCAGCACCTCCTCCGACAGTGACGCAAGCTACATCGGCTGCGACTTCTGTGGACTACTTCGATCACTCTGTTAATATCTTGCGCCATCCCACCCGGGCTCTACTTGTGGGTGTATTCCAAAACCAGCCATTGCACTACATTTTGGCCCAGCAACAGAAACTAGGTCTTGATGTGGTTCAGTTACATGGGTCGGAACCCTTGGAATGGGCCAGATTGATTCCAGTTCCCGTTATCCGGAAATTCTCTCTCGACGAGCCTGGAATCGCACGTAGGGCGTATCACACTCTTCCCTTGTTAGACTCGGGTGCAGGAGGCTCTGGCGAGTTGCTCGAGCCGTCTCGCGTCCAGAGCGTTTTGAAAAGTGATAGCGGTCTCCGCGTTATCCTAGCAGGTGGTCTCGACCCCGCTAATGTCACCGATACCCTGAAAATGCTGGGCGAGGCAGGCCAGAATGTAGTAGGAGTGGATGTCAGCTCTGGTGTAGAGTCTGATGGTGCTCAGGATCTGGAGAAGATCCGTGCTTTCGTCAAGGCCATTAAGGGATACCAGCAGTGATTTCAATCTGAACCGTATAGTTTCGGGCTTTTATGTATTTAACGATGATAGTCTCACATGAATATCTCTACCTAGGCCACTGGTAAAATTCAGTAATCTGTCCATAAGGTCACTTTCGGGATTCTAACACAATCCGAAAACACCCATTGTACCCGCTTTCTGTTATGGGATTGGCTTCACCTCCAATCTCTAACACATGACAATGTCTTAGGATCAATCGTCTACCACATCTCTCTGACCTTTCGGTCATTACTATACCCTCACTCCTGTATCTCCATCAGGTTCTTCTCTCGCAGGCCGCGAGCTTCCAGGAACTCCAAGGATCAGCCCCAATCTCGTACTCAACCCTCACTCAAACCTCATACTCCCTACTCATACTCCCTACTCATACTCCCTACTCATACTCCCTACTCATACTCCCTACTCATACTCCCTACTCATACTCCCTACTCATACTCCCTACTCATACTCCCTACTCATACTCCCTACTCATACTCCCTACTCATACTCCCTACTCATACTCCCTACTCATACTCCCTACTCAGACACACAAACCTCTATATCTCCAACCTCCCCCGTTCCCGACACCATGGGAAAGACGTTCCAAAAGATTCATGCTTCGTCAGTTGGCAGCTTTTGCGGGAATGGTGACAAAATCTCTCAGTGGATACGCGTCAATGGAGGCAACTATTCAAAAGAAGTCAGCGACAAAGTCACACATCTGATCACCACGACGGACGCCTACAAGAAGAATGTGGAAGCTGGCACGAACTCTCCCACATGAGGATCCGAACAGGAATCATATTGCTAACTATAATTCAATCTTATAGTTCAAACTGCAAAACGTCTCGGGACTATCAAGATAGTATCCTTCGATTGGCTGGAAGACTCTCTGATGTCGAAGACCCGCAAGCCGAAACGCGAGACCCCGTATCTTCTCGAGACCATTCTTAGGACCTCGAAGACGAAGTCAGAAAAGACTGAGAAGGCCCTAATAAGCCAGAAGCAGACTGGGAAGCTCAAGCAAAAGCGCATCATCGGTATGGCATCATGTCTCGTTGATTTCCGAAGTAGTAATATATCTACCAGCAGTGGTCTTTTTCTGGCTTGCTAACTTATATCGTTATCAAGGGAAGCGCAAGAGCTCTTCCGCCTCTGTCACAGAGCCGTGTACGTCCTTGAATATTCCCCAAGTTGAACTATGCCTCTAACAATACGCTGGCAAAGCCAACTCCGCTGTCTATACGGATGAGACTACAGGCACGACTTATACCGCCATTCTTACCCGTCAGCTTCCGTCCAAGACTTCTAGAGAGAAGTACCAGGTCAAGGTCACTTACCCCCAGTCTTTTATTCTCATTGTCGAGGGTGAGTCGAGTGGGCAGTTACTAATACAGACATATTTGTAGATATACCAGTCCAACACGGAGCCTCGCATTTATGCCACATATTCGAAATACAGCCGCGTTGGCCACTCCAAGACTGAATTTCTGGCGCCACTCGGAAGCACACTTGATGTCGCGCTCGCTGAATTTGAACAGTTTTTCGAAGATAAGGCTGGCAAGAAATGGGAGAATAGGCTAGATGGAATCCCACCTTCTCTTAAGCAGGACGACAATGGAAACCCGCTTGCTCCTCACGAAGGATGGTTCTCCTACGATAGCGAACACTCCCTGATATCAAATTTTCTTCGCCAGGGCCCCGCTACAGCTGGCCATGAAGAGGCGAATGATGTTTCTCATACCGATGTGGTCCCAGGTCCCTAGTTCCAAGGATTTGGACATTGTACAGGCCAGCGAAGTGAGCCCAGAGGACCACGAAAGACCCCGAGATAGCGTCTCATAATTTTTGCTTGTCTTTGGAAGCACAATAGCCATGTATGTTGTGCCGGGCTTTCATGATTTCTTTATTGGCATGACAAGGTTTGCCACTTTTCTCTGGGTACTGCCTGTGCGAAACCGTATGTTTGCAAATTCATATTGCACAACCGGTGATTCCCAAAGAGGTTTGCATGAATGGGCTTGATGCTTTATCTGATTTTCAATTTCACTGAATGCTTCCATCTCATGCTATCCTATGGCTCACGATTAAATGGACTTCAATATTATGACTATGCGAAGTAAAGCAGAATGTCTTAGAGATAACTACGGACGCTGCATACGCGAAGATCCGCCCTAGAAAGAAAGATCAAGAAGCATAAGAAGGTATATTTGGGCAACTTGGGACCTTTGATTTTCTTCCAAAAGGGTATACGATATTGACAAAGAATACAAAACCGCCAGATGCTAACCTTTTTGTTCCACGTAACACCACATGCGCCAGGTAAGTCTTTTCCCCATGAAAAATTCTCACAAGTAGTCCTTCTTCTTGCTTGTCCTCGTGTATTGCGTAAGGGCCCATTCGACATCACCGCTCGAACCTTTCTCCATGGATCCACCACGGATTTCGAACAGTCTCATAGTCATCCGAGGCCCAACCTCCGCCAGCTCTACATCCCGATAGCCCGTCTTCACGAAAACGTGGTGTCGCACCTCGATGCTATCTTCCTTATTCACGAAGCTAACAACTCGGTTGCCGACCTTACCCGCTTCCCGTGGAGGGAAAAGGTGTTTCAAAATCTGAACCACACGGGCACCCAGCTTCGTTTTGAAACCCTCGAAGATCAGATGAGGGTAACTTTCCGACACCGTTCCACGAGCCGCATTCGGAATATCTGCGCGAAGAACAACGTTGTGCAGGGAGAAACTCGCAGTTGGGCCATGCGGAAGATGAGAGATGGTCATCGCAGTAGGGGTACCTCGGTGTTCGTGCAATAAAACCATATCTGTCAGCGCGGCAGCGTTGGCGCTGGATACCAGGTCGGGAAGAACAAGATTTCCTCGATTCAACCGGATGGAGGTCGGTAAGAGTAGACGGATTTCCTTGGCAAATGTGTTCAGGCGCACCGAGGGGGAACGAGAGGTCGTCACAATCGGCCGGGGGTCGACAATTCCGGAGGTCAGGGCATATTCATCGTCAAGGTCCAGCAAATCCGAGTCTTTATTTTTCTTATCGGCAGTGGGGAGGGATTCGTCATATTTGAAGTCCTCCCGAAGCTTTTTATCGTCTGCGATGGAGGGGTCAAGAGGTTTTCCCGAGGCCAGCGAAGCCTTTAACTGTGCTCTTTTCTCCGCGATAGAGGCATCGCGGAGCAGCAGAGCTCTCCGATAGAGGTAATCTCTGCGCTCACGGGCTTGACGACGCTGAATAGGAAGTCAGTACATCTGAATAGAGTGAAAACTCATAGGAATATTCCATAGAAATAGGATATCCACATACCAACATCTTGCCTTGAATGAATGTAAGTGATGGCCTGAAAATGGTTTTTTGCGGACTTTCTTATCTGCTGCCGGTAACTTTTTTTTCGTTGCGGTACTGGTCCGTCTCGGCTACCGTATTACGTGGGATTTGGCGGCAAACCGCCCGATTAAACAGCGGAGCCGATCGCAAAGCACCTCACGCTGTGCCTGTGCTTTGAACTTCGACTACTTTCGTTGGCCACTGCTGTGACAGAGGGACCTGTGAGCTGAGATAAGAGCTCAGCAATGTAAGTGCTTCCCTGGCGACCAATACTTGCCAATATCAGACCTGAAGCTCGGATTGCTGAGATCGAGCCTGATCTAGTCTCGCATTCCTTTTGCCCCTCTGCTGTGGCTTGCTGGAGGACAGGACAGGATCTCCTGTTTTACTTACTTGTTCGACAGGACTACTGGCTTGTCCTTTACGCTCTTTAGACTCTGGAGTTTCTTTCCCCCCGTTTTCTCTGTCCTCGCATGGTAATCCGGCCTTGGTCGCTCACTTGCAGCGGATAAGACGTCTTTCGACTTCTCCCAATTCCTCTCTCTCATTCGAACCTGCCGAAGTACTCGACACCGAAACCAAATAAACCATGGCAGCAACCGGTGATGAATACACAGGGGAGTTCGATGAATCTGTCTTGGGTCGCCCGCGGAGACATGACGATGACGACGACGGCTCTGAAAATGGCGATGATGACTTAGAAAGCACAACCAGTGCCCCTGCGGCCGGCAATATGAAGAACCAGGGCAACCTCGAGGAGGAGAAAGAGTTGCCCCCTCATGCATGCGCGTGAGTGCTTTGGGACCCCCGTTTCCATAAGACTCGGTTTTCGCTAACTATTGATTCGCACTTAAGGTACTGCGGTATTCACAATCCTAGCAGTGTCGTCAAATGTCTGTCGTGTAGCAAGTGGTTCTGCAGTGCTCGTGGAAACACCTCTTCTTCCCACATCGTCAACCACCTCGTCCGTGCGCGACACAAAGAAGTGCAGCTACATCCCGCCTCTTCTCTCGGAGATACCATCTTGGAGTGCTACAATTGCGGAACTAAAAACGTTTTTTTGCTCGGTTTCATTCCGGCAAAGTCTGATACAGTCGTTGTCTTGCTATGTCGTCAACCATGTGCTGCGATGCCATCTTCTAAGGATATGAACTGGGATACTTCGCGGTGGCAACCACTGATTGAAGACCGTTCATTCCTGCCGTGGCTTGTAGCAGCGCCGTCAGATCAGGAGCAGCTGCGGGCCCGCCATCTGAGCCCTCAGCTGATTGCTAAACTCGAGGAGATGTGGAAGGAAAACTCTCAGGCGACATTTTCTGATCTGGAGAAAGCTACAGCTGTGGATGATGAACCTGCTCCGGTGCTTCTGCGCTATGACGATGCTTTCCAATACCAAAATATTTTTGGTCCGTTGGTTAAGATTGAGGCAGACTATGACCGCAAGTTGAAGGAGTCCCAGTCTCAGGATGGTTTGATCGTGCGCTGGGATCTTGGTCTCAACAACAAACATCTTGCTAGCTTTATACTGCCGAAGCTTGAGCTTGGCGATGTGAAGTTGGCCGTGGGAGACGAAATGCGTCTTAAGTATACGGGTGAACTACGTCCCAAATGGGAGGGCGTCGGATATGTGATCAAGATACCGAACAACCAGTCTGACGAAGTGACTATTGAACTTCGGGCGAAGGGTGACCACAAGGCAGTGCCCACGGAATGCACCCACAATTTTACCGCCGACTACGTATGGAAGTCGACCTCTTTCGATCGGATGCAGCTCGCCATGAAGACGTTTGCTGTGGATGAGATGAGCGTTTCGGGTTACATTTTCCATCGCTTGCTTGGTCATGAAGTCGCAGCTGCACCCATGAAGACACAGATGCCGAAGAAGTTTAGCGTCCCCGGACTTCCAGAGCTCAATGGTAGTCAAATCAATGCCGTCAAAAGCGTCTTGCAGCGACCCCTGAGTTTGATCCAAGGCCCTCCCGGTACCGGAAAGACCGTGACTTCTGCTACAATTATTTACCACCTTGCTAAAATCAACGGAGGTCAAGTCTTGGTCTGCGCCCCCTCGAACGTTGCTGTTGATCAACTTTGCGAACGCATCCACAGAACTGGCCTCAAGACAGTTCGTGTCACTGCAAAATCACGCGAGGATGTGGAATCTCCCGTCGGTTTCTTATCTCTGCATGAGCAAGTTCGTCTGAATGACAGCAACATTGAACTCATGAAGCTCAATCAGCTCAAGTCTGAGCTCGGGGAGCTGTCGAGTCAAGATGAGAAACGGCTGAAGCAGCTTACTCGTTCGGCGGAGCGCGAAATTTTGAACAACGCCGATGTGATCTGCTGCACCTGTGTTGGTGCAGGTGATCCTCGTCTTGCTAAACTCAAATTCCGCACTGTTTTGATCGACGAGTCTACACAGTCGGCGGAGCCCGAATGTATGATCCCTCTGGTTCTGGGTTGCAAACAAGTCGTCCTCGTTGGTGACCATCAACAATTGGGACCTGTCATCATGAATAAGAAGGCAGCCAAAGCCGGCCTCAACCAATCTCTTTTTGAGCGCCTGGTCATCTTGGGATGCTCACCTATTCGGCTGAACGTCCAGTACCGTATGCATCCATGCCTGTCGGAATTCCCGTCGAATATGTTCTATGAGGGCTCCCTGCAAAATGGCATCTCTTCAATCGAGCGCCTTCGCCGTGATGTTGACTTCCCTTGGCCTATTATGGACAACCCCATGATGTTCTGGTCAAACCTGGGCAACGAAGAGATCTCAGCCTCTGGAACGTCTTATCTTAACCGCACCGAGGCGACCAACGTGGAAAAAATTGTTACTCGGTTCTTCAAGGCCGGTGTGCAGCCGCAGGATATTGGTATCATCACTCCATATGAAGGCCAGCGTAGCTACATTGTCAGCTCCATGCAGGCGAACGGGACTTTCAAAAAGGAACACTACAAAGAGATCGAGGTTGCTTCCGTCGATGCTTTCCAGGGTCGAGAAAAGGACTTTATCATCCTTTCTTGTGTGCGTTCCAACGATCACCAGGGTATCGGTTTCTTGAGTGATCCTCGCCGTCTGAACGTCGCGCTCACTCGTGCGAAGTATGGGTTGGCCATCCTTGGAAACCCTAAAGTGCTGTCCAAGCACCCTCTGTGGAATTGTCTGCTCCAGCATTTCAAGGAACGTCATTGTCTTGTCGAGGGGCCTCTGTCCAACCTCCAGGAATCGCTGATCCAATTCAGCCGCCCCAAGCAGGCATATAGAGGACCCCAAAGATTCCAGATGGCATATAACCATGCATCCAATGTTACTAGTGGAATGATGAATGGCAGGAGTGGTCACCGAAACGACTTCCATGATACCGGTTCTGTGATCGGGTATATCCCTGATGACGTCTCTTCCGTTCACTCCTCGGCGCTTGGTGGTGTCGGTATCCCCTCTGGCTACCCTCCTATGTTCCAGAACTTTGCCGATGCCTGGCCTGCCCTTCCTGGCTCCAGACGTCCCAATGGTACTCGGGGCAAGGGTGCTCCTAGCGTTGCTGGAGAGTCCGTTGCCGCAACAGAGTCTGATGTTACCAGCAGCATGATTGATGGAAAGAGCGTCGACCAAGGTGGTGTTAGCCTTGCTGGGTTGAGTATCCACGATATGAGCAAACAACCCAGTCTCAGTCAGTCGGATCGCCTGAAGCGTTACGTCGAATCCGGAGGCCGTGAGCCATATAAGGCCGGGATTCCTGATAATGGCAGCATTTTTGGAGGCAGCTCGGCCAGCATCCGCGTCACTCGAGGCATCCCAGGCCACATTCAAGACGATGATGATACCCGCAGCGTTTCTACCGCCTTTGCTAGCCAGATTGGTGGGAACTACGATTGATTATGGTCACACTAAACCCAAGACCAAACAGAGTGGCTTGCAGTCTTCCCCATGAATTGGGGGAGTCGCTGTTCACGGGGATTTGGGTCACTCCAGAGATCGATCGATGCCCCCAACCTCCATTCAATTTGTCGAGTACCTTCGACTTGACTGATTTCGACCGTTGGAGAATGCATCGGGAGAACAGACCATCTACCGTGTGGTAGGAAATGGTGTGTTGTCTTCAAGAACTTCTATTTCTCAATCTTTTCACCATTGCCGAACGCTTCCCGTCACCATGTCACCCCAATCGATGGCAGTTCTGTCATTGTGTGGGGTTGTCATTTCCATTTTTAGCAGGAATGTGATGCCTGGTGGAAGTGCGGTGCTAACGACAGATTATGCAACGCTACTTGCAAAGCCCTGCTGCATTACCAGCAGTCTTCGGTGCCTACGTTGATGGAACAACAGTGGGATGCTCCAGGATGCGTGGTTGGTCAGAATGAAACAGACGCGATACGACTGATGCTATGCACGATTCCAACATTCCCTCAGACGAATGATGGAGAGTGGGGTCACCGACGAACATGCCGTGGATGATTCTTGATATTATTGATTTTATGCGTATTATGATTGCATCAATTCCTGTTCTTGGCCTGTGGCATTGTTACGGCAATGCTGAGCTTGATAACAAGACCTCCAAGCAGGAAGCGTGTTCTCCAACTTTCTGTTGACATCTGAGCTTGGTTGTATTGGCCGGGTTAATGATGCACATAATTGCCAGTTATGCTATCGCCTAGTAAATCCAACTATTGTCGCTCCTTTACGATATGATGCTGTAGTACTCGTGACTGGTCGCAGCTTTGAATATCCATTTTTATGTTGGGTAGCATTTGTCCCCGTGGGGACTCTTTTAGGCATCTAGCAATGTAAATATAGATCTGTATAGATGATCGACGCTAGGGTGTCGATTCGCCCCATACCACTAACAGGGCGGACACTGCCCCCTCCGCGACTCCTATCTAGAAGCTAACTCGCGATTTTGCTTCGATGTTCCAATGAAAGATAGATCCTGTGCGGTGAGGCAAGAATGTGTTTCCCCATCCGTAAAGCTGCGCCACGACATTACCCGGCTGAAGGATCAACGGGAGCTGTTGATCCTGACTAGGATAGGTCGATTCTAATCTTAAACAGAATTCATCCGAATGATTCCTGTTGGTTTCCTGATGTCATATCTCGTACCATTCGTTTCTACCCTTGCATGTGCAGATAGCAGCGTAATCCATTCGAGAAGATGTGAAGTGACGGGCAAAAAGAAGGCAACCGGTTTCCAAATAGGCTGACAATCACCTCTGGGATCTTCTAATCTGTGCATGCACACAAAAGATGTCGGTCTCCGGATATGTCCGAGAGGCTTTGCTTTTCTTTGCCTCATTAGAGGCTGATCCTGGGCAGATAGGTTGCCCACTGCCTCATGACGGAGGCATCAGACGTCGAACTATCGACCTGAATGGAGTATATCCTCGGCGGCTCCGAACTACCAGACTGGCTTGTACCATGCGTTAGATATTGGTGAATGCATCTTGAGTAGTGGTGGTGGTGAGTCCTGAGCCCTGAGTCTGGTTAGGTAATACAGCTGGCGATGTGGCTGAGTCGGACTAGTGCCACCACGTGCTGTGGCGTTGACAGAACAGGCAGCAGCCCAATGTGGCGGATCCAGGACAAGCATGCGTAGAGCAGCGTAGGTACCTAATACTCCGTAGACAAGAAGTCCATGATGATGAATCTCTCCTGCGGCTCAGGCCCTTATACTAAATTCATGCTTAACTTGGTTGCCTGACTAACTGTGCCCATCATGACTCATTCGCAGCCTAGAACATCTGATTAATACCACTCGATCAGAGCGCCGGATCGGTGATTCAGCCGCCGCGAGTACAAATATATATGGTGTCTCCGTCTGTCAAATCACACCACGTGTGCAGTGAATCTCTCATTGTCGCCACATTCGAGAAACCCAGAGACAGCTACCTGGTGATTTAAGCACCACCCAACGCGCATCCCACCTCCCTTCCCGCGTCATTCTTGCTGTTCCACCACCTCGCGTCCCTTTCCAGTGGCGAAGCGCCAAGACCAAACCGGCTTAGTCATTAGTGGATGCCTGAACTGTCCACCTGAAAAATTCGGCACCCCCCGTCCTTTCGACTAAGGAACCTACACTCTCCAGTGCCACTGACCAGCACGACGCGACAACCCATCAAATCCGGCCTTTCTATCTCCAACCTGCCTTTCCATTGCGGTATCTCTATTATTACGGACCGTATCGACTTTTTGGACCCTTTTGACCCTTGTTTCCCAACCTTACGCGGAACCCGCCTTGTCGCTACTGAAAGGCGGGGTGTGATCGTTAAACACGATAATGGGCGACGGCTCTGACTACCCAAGTCCTCGAAGCGAAGGTCCTTCTGGACCAAACTCTGTTCTCGTTCCTGCCACCGACGCTCTTCCCCCAGCTCCGAAGATGACCGATCAACTATCGCCCAACTTCATGGAAGGGGCGCGTCCGCGACTGTCGGTGAGACGGGCGCGAGACCCTCCCAAGAATGCCGCAGGACAGATCTTTTGCGACCATCCAGAGTGCCAGCAAGCACCTCCGGTGTTCCGGCGTCCGTGTGAGTGGAAGTAAGTGCATTATGCCTATGCTATCTTCTGTCGTCACCGTGATACTAACCACTATCTTAACAGCAAGCATATGGACAAACATGACCGTCCGTATAAGTGCCTAGAGCCTGGATGCGACAAGATCCAAGGATTCACGTATTCTGGCGGGCTGCTTAGACATCAACGCGAGGTCCACAAAAAGAATGTCAACGCCAAGAAGCCTTTGATGTGTCCGTATGCCGACTGCAATCGTAGCACCGGCAATGGATTCACGCGTCAGGAGAACTTGAAGGAGCATCTCCGCCGCCGCCACATGCACACCGACAATGGACACGCCTCGGATTTGTCTATTGTGCCTACTGCCGATCTTGATGGCACTTCGTCCTTGCCTCCCCCGCCTCTCAAGCGGAAACGCGATTCGATGGAGGAGGACGCCTCTATCGACATTCCGGAGGAAGAAGAGAACGGGGTCGACTTGCGCAATGAGCTCAAGAGACTGCGACGTGAGGTCCAAGAGAAGGATCGCCGACTGGAGGAACTGGAACGAATTGTTTCTGGACTGCAGCAGGCGATCCCGCAACCGACCGCATCGTGAGGACACTTCTTCCACGGAATGGATTTACCCACGAGAAGTTCAAATTTTACGCACTGGAAACGCCTTGGAATTTCCTTTGTTGATCTCTTTCTCTCTCCATTCTTGCATTCCATGGGCGTTTTGCTATGCAGAGTACGGGCCTTGGGTTTGCGTTCAATGTCTACAACATCATGGGAGGTTTATATGGATTGGTCTTCATAAGAACGCATGGATTCTCAACAGGCAGCTCTGAAGAATATGGCGTTTACTCGGGGTCGTTAATATGGACCAGGCGGTGTTTTTATGGTTCTCCCCTTTCTCTCTTCCCTGAAATATACCCAGGCGTTTTTCTGTCCATCTCATTTTTCACACATTGCTATTTATCTCAATTAACACGCGTAAATGTGATACTTGCTTTCTGATTTGTCGCCGCGCGTCTTGCGATGAGTTCGACTACGTATTGGGTTTCTGGAAAGTCATGTACGTCCCACATAGATGTGAGGATCTTTGTATGGTTGTTTATGTAGCTAGGGTGCAAAGGCAAATCCTCATTACACTCAGGGTGATACATCGAATACTTGACGTAGTGTATCGTCTGGTCTAAGAGTACACGGAGTTCTCTCTTGGTGCGAAAGCTGCTGATTGTAGCTAGAGCCCCAACCGGCTACATGTTGGAGTTATCAGGCCACATCCCACCATCTGTCTTTCGTGATAAGTATGACTCCTCCTTCCTAGGGTCTGACTCATTTCTACCTGTGACGATCCATAACGCCACTTGAAGTGCTTCGGTTAACGTTGGCTGTCTCGTGACCAGGTCATCAGATACATTAGTAGGAGGCCATCGAACCATGCACACTACGATAGGGACATCACCTCGAAGACAAGGCCTAGGCCAGTGAATGCTTCAGGGATTTGCTAGTTGGAAGTTATCCTTGGTTAAGCTACGTCACAAAATGAAAAGATGAGTCCGTTAGAAGGAAGGATACTAGTTCGCCGTTGTAGTCAATACTACCTAGGTAGTTCAACAGCATCATCCTTCACTATGGCGAGTTTATGCGAACTCTGGTTGCTTCGAACTTAAGCAGACTAATGTGGACCATCAGGGTCTTGCTGACTCAGCTGTAATTCACTCGTATGTTGCCTTGTTGCCTGGGAAGGTGCCTGAATAAATTGTCTCGGCTTTTAGTCTACTACACTACTGCCTCTGGCCTTCCGTAAAAACATCTGAAATTTACATCGCAACAAAGTCGTCCTCTCCTGGTTGCTGAGTGGCTGGGTTCATCGACGCTCAGACTCGCACATCTTACTCGAAGACGTGTCATTTCTCCAATCGCGAGTAACCTTGTCGTGGACTTGCTGGCCGTCTGACTTATCAGGGAATGTCGCCCCTGAGGCATGGGCAACTTGACGGACATTTTCCTGGTAACCCTTTTGTCTCACGTTGACCTGATCGACGGCGTCACTATGCCTCTACCACCGACGTGTAAGGAGGTTCCGATGTCTCTCGGGGAGAATTCCCAATATACACGAACGCATCAATATGCTGCAGGTGCTGGAAGACCCAATCAAGCCATTCCTCTGGACACTTCCTATCACCGGGAAGGTCCCTTACAAATGATGCCATTCACTTCCTCCGCCCATCGCTTCTCGGAAGGGGAGTTCGTGCCGCCCGGCTTTTTTGAGCATGTCAGCCCAAGATTATTCGAGCTACCGGCTTCCGCACCGGATTGGAAGTACTCCATGCGCAGAGCTGCCCAGGAAATCCTCCCGTTTATCTACTTGGGCCCGTGGGCGTGCATTAAGGACCGTTACTGGCTGGAATCCGAAGGCTTCACGCTGCTCCTAGCTGTTCGCGACAGACGGCTGGCACTCGCGCGCTTAGTCTCCGGGGAGAAGGCCGCCTCAGAGATGGGGGTTGAGTCGGATACCGTGGACATCTCCAACAATCAAGAGCTCATCTCGAATTTACCTCGGGCCATTCGCCGGATCAATGACCACGTATTCGCCTACAGCAGAATGAACCCAGCGCGACCCCCGAAGATCTTCCTATTCTGTGAAACGGGAAACGGGCTTTCAGCCATAGTCTTGATTGCGTATCTGATGGTCATGTTCAACGCAGAGCTACCCCAGGCGATACAGGCTGTGCAGACACACCGGTTCTGCATCGAGACCGACGAGGAAGCTAGGATCATGCTCCGATCCTTCGAATCAATCCTAGAAGCAAAACGCGATGTTGAACAAACCAGGCGGGCTGTTAGTGCAAGTCCACATTCGTTATTCGCTCCTAGGTCAGTCTCTAGGAAACGAGATATGGATTATCGACATGAAGATGAGAATATGGGAGATAACATGGATACGGGCGGGATCGGAGGGGAACCGTTCAGAAGGCCTCTGGGTCCTTTCCAAGACCGTCAAAATTGAATCCGCATTTATTTCCTAATCTTCCTATGGGTTTTACATATTAATACCACAGTGATGGCGCCGCGGGCCTCGACTGATGATTTAGCAACATGGAGTTTGGATGGCCTCATCCTCGATTTCCGCCCTACACCTTCAATGAATGTACATATTGCACTTCAGAGTGTTTGCTTTTCTACTATTCTCCATGTCACACTATTAACCTCCATTGATATAGTAATGATAAATTCCCTAGATTGGTCGCAACCTATTGTTGCTAGAGGATTGGTTATGGTGAGGTTGAAGAAGGAACTGTCCAGCTTCAATGAAGGTCATTTTTCTCTCTCCCCCCTCTCATGTTTCAAAACACCCTTCACTTTGGTGTCCCACATATCTCTCCATACATATATTCACTTAGAACAACTTGTACATTCACTCTTCACCGGATCTAAAGGCTGGTATCATTTCTTACCTAAGGATATCTACCCTCCATCCACCATAACACTTCCCTTCTCTTCTCCATACCCCATCTTCTGTCCTTGAAATCACCAAGTCGGGTCATCATGAGACTTCGCAACACCATTCGTCCACCTGAAAGATACAAGGCTGAGGAGTTCTACGCGCCATTCACACCCAAATCCGCGCGGGAGCGAAGTGGTCAACGCGTCCCAGCCTATGTCGATTATGACCCGAACCTACCTCCTGCAGCGTTTCCGACGCTAGACAGACCACGAGCAGCAGAGTCGAATGCGAACAGGTACAGCAAAGAAGACAACGGATATGGAAATGGCACCCGAGGTGACAACCGTGGAACGCCCGAAGAAGGCAACATCAGGGGCATGTTGACGGATCACCTAAATACAGACGTCGTGAGCCATAGGGTTGGACATGTTGGACATCCTACTCATATCGCCAACACGGTTTCCGGGCTCAGAGGACCAGGCCGGTCGTCTACAGGCATGGGTGACAATGACCTTAACGATCTGGGTGGGCTCAGCTTTCAAGAATATATGATGGAGGTGAGAGAGGACTTTGGTACATCTGTCCTAGCACTATGCTCATACTATTCTAGCCTGAGACTTCCCATTATGACCTTGATTGGAGTCATCTCTCCCCTCAGCTACAAGTCGAGATATTCAGCAACCTTCTTCAACATCACGAGTGGCCAGCCGTATGCCGCATGCTAGGAATGATCGATCACGAGGAACAACAAATACAGGAAGCCCTCGACAGACGCAAGGCACAAATCTCGTTGGAAAACTACTGCATGAAGGATATGAGGCAGAGGCAGCTCAGGGCTCTTCTGAGAAGAGACAACAGTGCTAAGCACAAAGAAATGCACGAGGAGCTCTTGTTCCGCAAGATTTCTCGACAGTCTACGCTAAGGTTAATTGGGAGGCCTGAGATCGACTATTTCTCATGCAGGGAGTCGGATCTTGCGAAAGCCGAACTGTTCACACGAAAGCGTGCGCTTGATCCGTGGGTTATTGGAGAATGGAGCAACGGTACTGTCACGTCCACCTCATCACCAGCCTCTACATCTGCAAATGGCAATATGGCTTCCGTTGCCATGGACAAGCGTCGACTCACCATGAAGAGTGTCGAGACAGCATCTGCTTTTGATCCACACGGCCTACAATTATGTGGGGGAGACTCAACAGTCGTCTCGAGCCAACAACAACCCCTGCACCAGTCCATGCACGACCATCGGGTAGTTCGGCTCAACGTTGAAGCACAGAGAGCCGCTCAAATCCATGACTTCGAACCGGATGACGAACCTAATCGATTTCACGTGGGATTCCCCGAGATTGAGTATCATCATCGGGGCAGGTCTTGTGAGATACCAGCGTGGATCAGCGAGCCGCATAAACGATCTGCGTCAACATCTCCTAGCTCTACAGCTGAGAATGCATCAGGACCTTTGTGGACAACACTAGGTAGGGACAGGCCATGCAACTCTGCTGAGCCCAGGTTGGAGCCTCGCAGCTCCTCTATCAGGCTGCGAGAGAGACTTGAGCAAGTCCACCTGGAAGCACAGCGACAGAGGGAACAAGCGCAAACAGTTCGCACTGGAATACAGTCACCGCCGGCATCCCCCGTCATACTTATGTCTGAAGACGGCATTAACGAGCTCTACGCAAGCGACAACGACTCGTACTCGGCTATTAGCATCAGCACACGCGACCAACGCTCATATTCTACAGATGTAACAAGTGAGGTGTCAGATGAGATGAGCGGACGGAGCTCTGCGTACAGACCTCCCACTCCCCCAATGTCAGCGATCCGGCCCAGCTTCGCGCCTCCGACTCCAGTCAGTGAGTGTAAATATGAGGCTTATGTGCAAGACGAAGGCGGTTGTGGATACGAGGAAGATGAAATGATCTTGGTCCGACAGATTGTTGAGGATCATCAACCCGACTTTCCGGACGCAGAGTCAGAGGGCCGGATGATATTTGACATGGCAGATGAATGAATACATCAGAGCTAGTGTCGGCAATTGACATGCTTCCAAGAGCTTAGAGGATAGAATCTGTTTCAGTGTACCACATTATTAACTCTTGTCAGCAACAGCAAAGATCACTATTATGAATTACTATCGAAGCAGGAGTAGCGTAGAGCCCAGCGGCAGATAAAATACACTTCAGTGTGCGAGACAGTCCAACTGTGTACAATTCTTTTTTCTGAATATTCATTCGTTCTTGTCGCTGCGGATAGTCCAATTGTTCACGACCCCAATAGCTGCATTGAGATAGGTGGCATAGCCCAGCCACGCCGCATACGGGGCCAGCAACCAAAACGCCGTGCGGTCCGTCTGCCACCACTTTCCCATCAAAGTGCCCACATTGACGCCCAGCAGGAGGATATCCGCCAGGGCCCATCGGGGTTTGCGCATGCCGAAGAACAGCGGCATCCACAGGTAATTCAGCACCAGCTGCGAGACATACAGCGTCTGAGACGAGGCGGTCAGCTCCCGAGTGGCGAGAGACGAGGAAACCGAGAACCCCGTGGTCGTTGCGTGGTGCGCGGCGTATCCCATCATTCCATAGAGAATCGTCCACACCGGGGCGAACAGCCACGGAGGCGGGTAGAAGGGCGGCTTGCGAAGGGACCTGTAGGTTTGTTTCGTCCCTTGTCCTGAGAGAGGTTAATATTGTGACGGGGGATTAATGTAGTCTTGGGTAGTTATTTACTAGTGTTGACCAGGTAGCCGATCAAGCTTCCAGCGGTGATGGGGGTGAGCACCGAGAGAACGGGCGAGGTGAACAATGTCTGCGGTAAAGCTACTGACCACGGCATTTTGTTGTTTGGTATGGATATTATGAATATGATGAACAAGGCGGTTTCAGTCTTGTGCTGTCAATGTAGGAATCCAAGAGGCTTTTATAATCCTTTCTGTCCAAAGCCTTCGATCGATCGGATCGATCGAGGTCCATGGTTATGGAGTCGACGTCATCGGCGTGGCAGCGGGAACCCAACAGCAGATGACTGACTCGGTCAATGGGTATTCGGCAAAGGATGGTCATTATATCTACTAGGTTGGTCATGTCTCCAGGCTGATATGTTTAGAAGAGTCGTTCGAAAACTAATATGGACTAGTACCTGCCTGTCTGTCGGCGCGTCCACTTAACTAGTTAACCTACCTGGCAGCGAGTCGATCAGGGCCTACACTGATACTAAGTGACTTAGGATTTATAAAGAGCTCGCACACTTTCTATGCTAGATATATCTACTCCGAAGATGCATCTCAGAAGCCAATGTAGTAAGCGTCGTAATCGGCGCCCCGATCCGAAGTGTCAAACACCAGCAGGATCATCAGACCACTCATCCACGTAAATCCCACAGGCGAGTGGACAATTGACGATCGAGTCTTCTTCCTCTTGAAGAGCATCATCTGAAAATCGGAGGCCAAGGAATTCCCGGGCAATGAACTGGAGGGGAGTAAGTGGATCGATCCGTCGGAGGCAAGAATCTGATGATATTAACCCCAGACTTGGCTGAAGAGTTGTCTAACACTACCTATGCAATCGCTTGTACAAGCGCTACCACATTGTACAAAGCCGTGATTATAAATTGGATATCATTGCAAGGACCCAATTGAGTTCTTATCTAGTTTTCTATAAAGATAATTGCTTTGTTCACAAGTTAGGCACCCAAGTAGGCAGTTGACTACGTCCACAGAACTGCTGATATCCGCCAAGCAATCAAAAGTTGGTCTGTGCACAAACGCGAAAATCCGCGTCTCAAACGCGCCCGTTCAGCTGGTGTTGGACCTGATGTTCATTCCTTCACTACATCTTTTCCTCACTTTTGGTCCTCAATTAGTCGCCTCGTCAAATTCCTCTCTTTGTCACAAGTCAACTCCCCCGCTTCTTTTGCCTTTCCTTTATCGAACTTGGCCCTGTAAGATTTGCCGCCGCATCGGATCTCGGACGGATTCCCGGGTATGACGATACCTTAGCGCATCGGGAATTGGAAATGTCGAATCCAGAAACTCCAGTGACACCAGCCGACTCGCAGCCGGAAATTCCTCTCAGAAACCCCTCCACCCAACCGTCCTCGCCGATGAGCGATGCAGCCGAGCCGGAACCCAAGTCTTCCTCCGATATGGAAGTCGACTCGAAGCCAGAGAAGGATGCGGATGCCATGGATGAATCTGATGACATCGAAGGCATGGATGTGAAGGCCAAAGCCCTGATGCATCTCCTGAGCACCAGTGAAGTGGGTATCCGATGAGTAGGGCGTTTTGTCGAGAGGCAAACAAGTCGCTGATGGGTCAATCCTTTACCAGGTCTTTGTCGCTATCATGGCCGACAAAATGAAGAAACAGCAAGAAGAAGCACGGTTGGAAGCTGCCAAACTCCAGCAACAACAAAATGAAAAGGACAATGGTCCCAGGAAATCCACAACGGCCGAGCCGACTGGGAGGCGACAGACCCGTACAAGTGCGAGACACGAAACAGCCCAAGAGCCACCTTCGGCAGAGACCGCCAAAGCTCCTGAACAGGGTCCAGCGAAGTCAAAAAGGGGCCGATCAAAGGCTGCGAAAGGAGCCAACAGCATCTCGAGCTACTTCAAGAAAGCAGACGTAAAAGTTCCGGACAATAACCCTACGGTCCAGGAGGCCCTTGAACATGCAGCGGATGAATACGAGACCAAGCCCACCGTCCTGGGTGGACAGGAGCTCGTTGCAACCCAACAGCCTGAGCTAGTGACCGGGGGCAAAATGAGACAGTACCAGCTCGAAGGACTGGAATGGCTGAAGTCGTTGTGGATGAACGGACTTTGTGGAATCCTTGCTGATGAGATGGGTCTGGGGAAAACAGTGCAAGCTATCTCCCTGATTGCTTTCTTCAAGGAAAAGAAGGTCTCAGGACCCTTCTTGGTTGCGGCTCCTCTGAGTACTGTGAGCAATTGGGTGGATGAGTTCGCCCGTTGGACTCCAAGCATCAAGACGGTACTGTACCACGGATCGAAGGACGAACGCGCGGAAATCAGGAGGAAATACATGAACTTGAAGGACCAAAGAAGTATGGACTTTCCGGTCGTCTGTACCTCCTATGAGATCTGCATGAACGATCGGAAGTTCCTTGCGCAATATCAATGGCGCTATATCATTGTGGTATGTGCCATAATGCGAAAGAGCAAAACGTTACAGCGGCTGACAAGATGGCAGGACGAGGGACACCGTCTGAAGAACATGAATTGTCGACTCATCAAAGAACTACTCACGTATAATTCGGCAAATCGTCTCCTAATTACCGGAACACCATTGCAGAATAATATCACGGAGCTGTGGTCACTTTTGCACTTCCTGCTTCCCGAGATCTTCAATGATCTCAACAGCTTCCAAAGTTGGTTTGATTTTTCGTCCATGTTGGACAACAGTGGCCAAGCAGATGTTCTGGAACGCCGAAAGCGCACTCTTGTTTCCACCATGCATTCGATCCTCAAGCCATTTCTCTTGAGGCGTGTCAAGACCGACGTGGAGACCTCCCTTCCCAAGAAGCGGGAGTACATCTTGTATGCGCCTCTAACGGCCGAGCAGAAGGAGCTTTACCGTGAAATACTAAACGGGACGGGTCGGCAATACCTAGAGGAGAAAGCCAGGGAGCGTTTGACGGCTAAAAACGAAATACTGTCGCGTTCAAGCAGTTTAAAACGCAGTGCGGACAGCAGCCGGGCTTCCACACCTAACAAGAGCCTGAAGTCCAGCCGCGACTCCACTCCTGCGAGTACGACAAGCTCGATCCGCAGACGCAGAGGACCGCAAAGCTATAAAGAGTTAAGTGATCGTGAATTCAACTCGAGATTGCGGAAGATCGAGCGAGGATTTGACGAGGATTTGAATGTCGCTGAAGGCAACGATAGCCAAGTCGAGACGGACCTGGAGGAGATCGAAAGAGCCAAGACTATCAAACTCGCGAGTATGTGTTCCTGAGATCAAACTTGCTAGAAACACGCTAACAATACTGTCACCAGAGAAAGAAATAGCCCAGAAGAAAATGCAGAATCCAGTGATGCAAGCTCGACTTGCTTGCAATTCTCCGCATAACTTCTACTGGCCCTGGGGCGAGGACCCTGCAGATATTGACGAATCTCTTGTCACGGCATCAGGCAAAATGCTGCTCTTGGATCGTCTGGTCTCCTGCCTTCTCAAGAAGGAACATAAAATTCTCATCTTCTCCCAGTTCAAAACGCAGTTGGATATCCTTCAAGACTGGGCCACCCAGCTCCGCTCCTGGAATTGTTGCCGGATTGACGGCGCCATCAGCCAGAGTGACCGACGAGAGCAGATCAAGGCGTTCAATACCGATCCAAAATTCAAGATCTTCCTCCTGAGCACGCGTGCTGGTGGCCAAGGCATTAACCTTACGGCCGCTGATACAGTGATTCTGTACGATTCGGACTGGAACCCTCAGCAAGATCTCCAGGCGCAAGACCGTGCTCACCGCATTGGTCAAACTAAACCGGTGATTGTTTATCGTTTAGCCACAAAGGGTACGGTGGAACAGACGTTGCTTGAGAAGGCGGATTCAAAACGACGTCTCGAGAGGTTAGTCATTCAGAAAGGGAAATTTAAGAGTCTTCTGGACTCCAGCTCCGCACTGAGCGCGAGCGACGTTGATGATCTGAGGAAGGCCCTGGGAGAGCATGAGTTCGAGCGCTTTGAGACTGGAACAGACCCAAACGCTCTACTATCTCAGCAAGACCTCGACATCCTGACAGACCGAAGTGAAGAGGCATACGCTCGGGCCGAAAAGGGCCTAGACCAGAACGAACAAATGTTCAAGACTGTGGAGACGAAGAGGGACGGCAATGGACTCATGGCTCTTGCCGGCAACTGATGACGCGCTCTTAGTCTTGAACAGGGGCGAAATAATATCAGCGGCTTGGTGTTTTGGTAGGTTGCGGCGTTGGGCTTCTAATGATTGTACTTTGCGCGACGAGGGCTTGTCTCTCTTGTCATTGCGACTTGATTGTTGTGTCATTCTCCCAGACACATCAAGCATGTTTGATTGATGGGGTGGCTTTCGAACGTCGGCGAGAGGGCTAGTTATGTACTGTATAGTAGATAGACGGTCTCGTCGAACTATGGCGCATGGGTGGGAAGGCATCTAATCAAGCAAATTTCGACCAGTCAACAGAAGAATAAGGGGTAATGATATTAAAACATCCATTTAGCGCCTGAAGCTCCTCGCCAAGGTATGGCTGTACAATGAAAGAGAACAAACCGCCAAAATAAGACATGCAAGAGTAGAAGACGAGACAATCGGACGTGTTCCGCATATGTTCAGAAGCGCTCCCTACCGAGACAGTTTCTCTTCCTCGACCTGTCTCCGTAGATCATGGAGGTACTCGTTCCGGCGAGCAAGATGGCTCTTCAACCCGTCCACTTGTTCCCCAACCGTCCTGATGTCTTCCCTGATTCGCTCCAAGTCTTGGCCGTCTTTGGATCTTCCTGTGCCTTCTCTCAGCTCCCGGAGCTCGCGCTCCTTGTAGTCGAGCAACTGGAGAGCTTCTTTCTTGACGAGAACCCAGCTAGGTCTTCCATCGTTCCTGGGCTGATCCCTCCGTCCTTCCGAAGCCTTCTTGGCAGAGTCTAGCTTGGCCTCCAGCTCCGCCAACTCGCGCCTCAGCCGAACCTTTTCCCATTCTTCATCCTGGATGGTGTTGTTGAAGTCCGTTCCCTTGGGAGTGTAAGAAGCCTTTCCACCCACACCCAGTCGGCTCAGGTAGGTATCTCCAAACTTCGCTTTCCGGCCGGTGGGGGTCTCGGTGTCCCCGTTCGGGCCCCATCGCTGTGCAGGCCGAGCATTGTCCACCTGGTAGTCGATTTTGTTGTTCTCGAACGAGGCTCGGAGCGAAGCGGGGATGGTGCGCGGGATGCGGTACCCCTCATGTCGGTAATTTAGAATATGTAAGAACGCAAGGGTGGCGTCTTTATTGATTTCGGGGGAGGCGGAGGGGTTCACCAGGTTCCATGCGGAGCGGATGTCCGTGTCTGGAACATCGAGCGAGTCGTAAAGGGGCTGGAGAGAGCCAACTATATGAGAGTAAGGAGGGCGTTCAGTTTTGGGTCGCTCACAACGGCTTGAAAGAGGGGCCCAAATACGTACAGGAGATTTCACCGCGCTGGTTCTTGTTGGCGGAGTAGATTTCTTCGTACTTTGCTTTGTCGGAGGGGTTCATATACCAGTCGAAGCCGTCCTTCAATCCGGGAGTATCGTCTTCGTCTTCTATCCGCTCGAATTGCTCCGACCCGGTGCTTAGGACACGGGTTGCTTGGACCAAATGAGCTTTGGATTCAGGGACAAGCCAGTCGGGCAGGTGTTGCGGGACGGATTGCAGTTCCTTCGGAAGCGCTCGGGGTCAGTACATATGTCTACCTCCACACAATGGCATAGCAGAGCATTGAAGTCCCAACCCAAGTTGGGGTGCTCCGGAAGAGTAGCAATAGGAGGTGAGCTGACGTACCCCGTTGACCAGATCGAATACCAGGCGCATTGCAACGCAGAACTCTTCAAAGTCCAGCTCGCCATCGCCATCAACATCAGCCAAGTCCCAGACCTTCTCTAGTTGTTCATCGCGAAGCCGACTGTTTCTGAGCACCGAGGCAGCTTGGGAGTTGTTGAGACGGGGTTGCCCATTGGACAGCGATGCGAAGATCTCCCAGTATCGTTCAATCTCCCATTGTTCAATTTTCTTGTTTGACATGGTGAAAGGAGCCCCTGTATGTTGTAGGTGTGTGAGCAGGGCACCAGCAGTGGAATGTCGAGAGTTAGCGCCCAAGCAACAACAGTTGGACGAATGACGGAGTGGTCGAGTTACCCGTTTGGGCCGTCCCGCAGTGGCTCTGGGGGGATGTACGGATCAAGTTAAATCCGGGGCTGCTAGAGTACTGGGCCTAGGTAAACCGCAAGTCTTCCTACTAGGTATTCATTATTGCCATTTGATTGTTGTTCTTGCTTATTGTAAAGCTTGAATGAGAATTTGACGTGTTCGCTCTATTAATGGAGATTCTCTGTTCTATGTACTGCAATGTAATCATACAATGTAAGTGATAAATGACACTTCGATTATCGTTCATCGAAAAGCGGCCTTCATGCTTCATGCGCCCTTTTTAGTATCTTTCTCCTTGCCTTCGGAGGACTCCTGTGCTTTGAGCTGCTCCTCAACTTGGATAATAGCTCGTTCCGCTTCCAGAGCAAGTTCTGGGGCTTCGAGGATCGAGGCCAGCTTCTTGGCATCTTTCATACGAAGTAGAAGCGTGTCGTCACTCTTTTCCACATCCTCCACCATGCTTGCCGATGGTTTCTCGGGCTCAATGTTTTCCAGTGTGCGCGAGACCCGTTTAGCATATAACTGCTCAAGCCCGGGGAACGATATAGGGTTTAGGAGGTTGTTCTTAACCAGATACTCCAGATGTCTTGATCCATTAAGTGCTTTGCATCCCGTCAGCGCCTCCGGACGGTGCTTTGGTAAAAAAGGGGGTAACACACCTCGCCAATGCGACCAGCCTCGGTATACGAGATAGAAGAAGGGAATATTAGGAATACTGTAACCCCACGCACGATTAACCGTTAGCATTGGACAATACCAGAACGCTTCAGAGGACGATAAGAGGATGGTGTACTCACACAGGAAGCAGCGCAATGGGAGCTGTAAATGGCGCCGCAATAAAACTCCACCACATCCTTTGACGATGCAAGTCTTGTCGTTCTGTTGCAAGCCTCGCTAATAGAGATTGCAATTTCTCTGGATTGATCGCATTTCCTGGGAAGAGAACATCGATTTTCTTCGACCCATGCGATGGATCCAGACGTCGTTGCGCGTTCAGAGAAGGAATGCTTTTCAGACCCCATTCCTGATAAGGAATTCGCTGTTGGACCCGATTACCCCAGGAGACCAGATGCATCTTCCACCCTTTCTCTGCCTCTTCCCATTTGGCCCATGTCTGCGCGGCTTTATTCGTGATCTTGTCGGTCCATGAAAGTTCCTTGGGAAGATCCTTGCGGAGAGGGCGAGAATAGATTAATGCGCGTCTGGTCGAGATTGGGATGATGAAGAGTCGCATAGCGACGAAAAAATCCCCGGTTTCTATGGACTTGCTGTGTTTTGTATTGTTCTTTGTTGTCGTCGGCTTTGTCGCGAAGGGAAGAAAGGAGGACGGTTTATCGATGCGCCAGTAGGGAGGATATGAACTATCGATCGACTAGAGGAAACAACGGAGGGAAAGGAGTTGACGAAAGTCGCATGCCTTTTTTCTTTGGTTTCAGGAAATGTGAGCTCTCCCCGAATCCCGTGTTTCCTTTTCGAACGGTGAGCAAGATAGATAAATTGTTTGTGTGAGATTGGAGATGATGCGACTCTTGTGGGACTAGAGGTAGGCAGATAGACGTCATTCCGCACCCGGCATACCGTAAATTACTAGCGGGTTCCCAGTACATGGGAAGTGGTACGAAGCGCCAAGTAATCCGTGGTACCAGGTACTTACCTAGGGTCCTTCCAAGCAATAACGATCTAATCGATTATTGAAATCAAGTATTATCATTGACCACCAGCCACCCTCCCAGCTTGCGATCTGGAGTCCAGCGGGTTCTCACCATCCAAGTGTAATTGCGCCTCCACCCGTCTCGTATCCGACTGTTTCTGTCGGCTCACTGCTTTTCAGGCCCCATACAGTTTTACGAAATACCCCTGCCCTCGGGACGTGAGAGGATCGTGAGGCGATGCAGACTAGATCCGCCGACCTCTTCCCTCGACTCCTGACAACCCGACCCAACCGCTCCTGGACTACACCCTTGAACTGAAGGCAATGGCACAGGATGTGCGCAATTCACGCCTTCCTCCTCCAGAACTCGGACCTGTCCTAGATGAGCGATTGATCGAAACACCGTACGCTGCGGATGGCGCCTCCTACCACTCTCATAACGGCCAGAACAGTGAATCCCGATCCTGGGAGCCCCTTCGTAACGGGACGCTCGAACCGTCTTCTAGCAATACACGCACCCCGGATGGCTCAGTTTCGCACGAAGACAACGAGACTTATCATGGTTTGACTGGGAAAAGACTACGGACGCTACCAGGTACCTAACTTCCGCCGCCATCCTGGATCTTCCCGCTTGCGGACAATCTCACTGATAGTACTTTACACACAGCCTGGATCAAATCGGTCGAATACCCAGAGGACGAAGCCGAGTCTTCCGTCACATCTCGTCTCTTACCTTCACAACCGGACGAGGCCGTCGTCGCGCAACACAATCACTCCCCTTATGCAACGTCGAGGCCCAAACCTGAGTCGCTTAGTAGAGAAGGACTAGACGGAGACCATGAGGCGGCTGCAGGCCGCGAGTCGCGCTGGAAGAACTTCTCCAAATCGATTGCGTACCCACGAGAACCGGGCGCGGAAGAAAAGCTTGTGACGCCGGAATGGCTAAATGAGAATCATGGCGACTACTCCCAACCCTGGCGCGGGCAGCTGGAAGAATGGGAACAGGAAGATACGGAGGACCCTATGCGCATGAAGAAACGCAGGCAGATTTGGTTCAAACGCTTCCATAATACTCTTCTGAAGAGCCCTATGGTGCCGCTGATATTTCGGCTGACAGTATGGTGCTTTTCGCTGACCGCGCTTGCCCTTGGAGGTTCCATACAACACTTGTCTGGGGAGTATATTCATCCCCAGGGGCCCTCGGCCCTAATGGCGATTATCGTTGACGCAGTCGCTTTGGTCTACCTCGTGTACATTACATGGGATGAGTATACATCGAAGCCCCTGGGCCTCCGCTCGCCATCAGCCAAAGCTCGGCTCGTTCTTCTGGATATCTTCTTCATCGTCTTTGATTCAGCCAATCTCAGTTTGGCTTTCGAATCCCTGAGCACTGTCAGTGGCGCGTGTACTGTGGGCGAGATCAATCAAGAAATTGCCCCAAAGAACGACGCTATCTGCGATCGCCAAAAGGCACTGGCTTGTGTATTGTTAATTGCTCTCTTGGCGTGGCTCACGACATTCTCTATTAGTGTTCTCAGGTACGAAAACCATGCCTACCCAATTTTCTTATTCTTTACCCCAACGAAAGCATGCTGACAACTACCAGGCTTGTGGAACGCGTCGCTCAATGAAATATTTTTTGCACAATTCAAATCTCTACCGGCTCCTTACTTTCATCACCTCCCTTCATCCCCATGAATATGGATTGCTTTTTGGTTAAATTTACGCGTCAGGATTTTGTTTCTTTTGTCTGGATGGAAGATACCTCGTTTGGAGTTTGTTGTGGCTTTTCATATGGACTTCTCACAGGCTTGGGGCATGGGGTCTGGAGTCTTGAGGACGACGATTCGTTCTGTACGGAGTACAGACAGATCTTCAATTTAGAAAAAGCAAAAGGAAGAAAGGTACAGATTTAGCTCCACTTTAAGTATGTAACCACGTGTTCGTTAGACATGTAGTACAGGACCATCTGTCCCATAGAGGGGATCGCCATGGAACCATTCCAGGTTCTCGATGTTCTTGATGTTCCCTTCCTCCCCAGGGCGGCCATAGCACATATCCCAGTCTTTGCCGTGCGGATAAGCGCCGACCATTGTGAAACTGTCGTTCGGTCCAAGGTCGTCCAACAAGCGATGACCTACACCGGCAGGAACAATGATGAGATCCCCTTTTTCGACAATTGGCTCAACCCGGCCAGGATTTTGCTCGCCTCCAAAACATAGCCGAGCACGTCCAGAGACAACCCCCAGAACTTCATGAGTGGTGCTGTGAAAATGGGTTTGCTTGTACATGCTATAGACCCACTGCGGGATTACCTCGCCGGCCTGCTCAAAACGCGCGGACAGTTCGCTGGGCGAGGCAGTGAATGCCTTGTGGTAGATCAGGAGGGGTTTTGACTGAATAGAGGTATTTGGGATTCGCTCCCACTTGGGGATCTGACGTGAGGTGACTTGGACGCTTGAGGGTGGATTAAAAGACATATTCGAGATAGGTTCCAACACCTTGCTGAACTTGTTGGAACAAATGAGTGGATTCTCGGTGGACAGACTGAGAGAAGAAACAGAAGCCATCATGGTCCAACCGCTGATATGGATGTCGATAGTAGACATCGCCATGACGTCATTTGGTTTACATCGCGATGCCTCCCAAGCGCCTCTCCATATTGACGACCAGATCTAATTGTATCCTAGGTAGGCTCCGCTTGTATACTAAGAGTCATGTCAGGAATAGACTAACGTCTTTCCTGTTGGGAAATGCAGGGTCTTTTAACTCAGATTTCAGGGCTGATTGCATGCGTCTACTGGGCCTCGTGCCAGCCCGTCGATCGAGCCAGGGCCACTTTGCGGGACAATCTGCGTAGAAAATCAAGCAGAATCGGACATACCATCTCTGTTTTGTGACTCATAAGAAGAGGCTCTTCTGAGCTTCATAGCCATGACAGTTGTTTCAGTCGTAGAACAGACAAGGCGGACCTTGGACCGGCGTCTAGATCTATCACATAAGGGGGGAAAACAATGGGCTGTGTCCTGACCGCCTACCGAAATGGGTCGCAGGTCCCCCTCTGACTCTCGCCCGCCCAACGACGCCACGCCTTTTCTTTCCCGACAACTGCGACGTACTTCTTTCGTTCTTCTCCTCTTCTTCCTTGACTTCCTGTTCTTTTCCTCTTCCCGGGCGCTCTTCATTTCTCTTTCTGTTTCGCCTTGGGGGTTCGCCGTTTGGCTTCGTTTGGCTTCCCGTCGGTCTCTTTCCGCAACCGCGCGCCTGTCCTACTGCCTCAATCGGAGCTAGGCTCTACTTGCAGTACTGTTACTGCCTTGTCGGTCCTCTCACGCCTGCCCTCACCAACTCCCCTAATCCTTAAGCGCCTTCAACAAAGGTGGGTAGATGCACTGTCTAAGATGCTACAATCCTCCCGCTGTCCTCTTCCTTCTCTCTTCTTCTAGTCATATCCCAAGGATACCCAGATCCGCCCTGCAAAGCTAACATCACGTCTATTTATCAGTCGTCGAGTCGCTCTCCAACATGCCGGCCCCAATTCCGCAACCACCTCACAAGGATAACCTTGACGAAACGTAAGTTTCAGCTCGAACGCCCGCGGAGTATCGCGCGCGATACCGTCACAAGCCGCTCGACTAACTGACGTAGATGGACATTCTTGGAGAAGGGCATCGACAGCGTGATGCTGAAGCTGGAGGAAGGTGTGGACATGAAGACTGTATGATCCCTCTCACTCTCCTTCCCTTCGACTGGCTGTTCCTCAAGTGCTAACATGACGTTACTCTCTAGTACATGGCTCTGTATACGTACGTCATTCCGCTCTGAAAAAAGAACAACTCGCCATACGCCCTGAAACTGGTCCAACTAACTACCTGCGCAGGGCGGTTCATAACTTTTGTACATCACAGAAGGCTGTCGGAACTGGTTCAGGATTGCAAGCCCATCGTGGAGGTAGGTTTCTTGACTGAATGTTATATGATCGTGCATGCTGACTGTCTTTATAGCACACTTGCTCGGTGAGGAGCTATACAAGCTACTCGGAGAGTATCTTTCGCACCATCTCGCAGCCGTCAACAGGGAGTCCGAGGGTCATTCGGACGAGGCCTTGCTAGGATTCTACATACGCGAATGGACCCGCTACACTACGGCCGCCAAGTACATCAATCACCTTTTCCGGTACCTGAACCGCCATTGGGTCAAGCGTGAGATCGACGAGGGCAAGAAAAATGTCTACGACGTGTATACTCTGCACCTGGTCAAATGGAAGGATGATTTCTTCATGAAGGTTCATCAAAAGGTCATGGATGCCGTTTTGAACCTGGTAGAGAAACAGCGAAACGGTGAAACCATTGAGCAGTCACAAATCAAGAGCATCGTCGACTCCTTCGTCTCCCTCGGCTTGGATGAGAGTGACAGTACCAAATCGACCCTCGAAGTCTACCGTTTCCATTTCGAAAAGCCCTTCATCGCCGCTACTAGGGTTTACTATGAGAATGAATCCCGGCGATTTGTGGCTGAAAACAGTGTGGTGGAATACATGAAGAAGGCGGAGGCCCGCCTGGACGAAGAGAAGGCCCGAGTTGGTCTTTACTTACACCCCGATATCTCGAAGCACCTCACCGATACTTGCCTGGATGTGCTGGTCACGGCCCACTCGGAGCTCCTCAGAGATGAGTTCCAGGTTCTTCTGGACAACGAACGTCAAGATGATCTCGCTCGGATGTATCGACTCCTTTCCCGCATTAAAGATGGGCTGGATCCTCTGCGGGCAAAGTTTGAGATTCATGTCAGAAAGGCCGGTCTGGCAGCAGTGGAGAAGGTGGCTACGGAAGGTGAGGCCTTCGAGCCTAAGATGTACGTGAATGCGCTATTACAAGTGCACACCCGGTATCAAAGCCTTGTCAACGAAGCGTTCAATGGCGAGTCCGAGTTCGTTCGGTCGCTGGATAACGCCTGCCGCGAGTTTGTCAACCGCAACAAAATTTGCTCATCCAGCTCCACAAAGTCACCCGAGTTGTTGGCGAAGTACACCGATTCCCTGTTGAAGAAGGGATCAAAGGCTGCGGAAGAGTCCGAGTTGGAGGAAATGCTGGTGCAAATTATGACGGTCTTCAAGTACATCGAAGACAAGGATGTTTTCCAAAAGTTCTATTCGAAGATGCTCGCTAAACGGCTGGTACACGTCAGTTCGGTATCCGATGACGCGGAAACCAGTATGATCAGCAAGCTCAAGGAGGCCAGTGGTTTCGAATACACAAACAAGCTGCAGCGCATGTTCCAGGATATTCAAATTTCGAAGGATCTCAACGCGAGCTACAAGGACTGGCAAGAAAAGGTTCTCGACGACGACGATCGGAAGAAACTGGTTGATACCAATTTCCAGATTCTGGGAACCGGTTTCTGGCCTCTTCAAGCGCCCTCTACTGATTTCCTTGCTCCTCCAGAGATTGTCAAGACTGCTGAGCGGTTTCAGAACTTCTACTTCGACAAGCATAATGGTCGGAAATTGACCTGGCTCTGGCAGCTCTGCAAGGGTGAAATCAAAGCCAATTACATCAAAAATACGAAAGTGCCTTATACCTTCCAAGTTTCGACCTTCCAGATGGGTATTCTTCTTCTTTTCAACGAGACTGACACCCTCGAATACTCTGATATTCAAAAGGCTACTTCCCTCGCTCCGGAAATCCTTGAACCAAACTTGGGCATTCTCCTGAAAGCGAAGGTGCTCACCATCAGCCCTGAAGGATCTAAGCCAGGACCTGGTACCTCGTTCTCTTTGAACTACAACTTCAAGAACAAGAAGATCAAGGTCAACTTGAACATTCAAATCAAGTCTGAGCAGAAGGTCGAATCGGATGAAACCCACAAGACGATAGAGGAGGACCGCAAGCTACTGCTTCAGGTATGTTTCTAACCACAACCGCTCCTATACCCCCGTTTGCTAGTCATCTGTCTAACTTGAATTAGTCGGCGATTGTTCGCATTATGAAGTCGCGCAAGAAGATGAAGCATGTGCAGCTTGTCCAAGAGGTGATTCAGCAGGTCAAATCTCGGTTCCCTCCCAAGGTGCCTGACATCAAAAAGAACATCGAACTTCTTATGGAGAAGGACTATATAGAGCGATTGGACGGTGATGAAATCGCTTACATTGCATGATTTCTATAAATTCTTTAGTTTGAATCAGCTCGATCTCGTTAGCGTGTTTTCTTCTCAATCCCCCATCCTTATTATTGTCCCAGTCCTTTCTAATGCCTTTCCTTATCTCTGATGATTTCATTCTCGCTAGGAGTGTACCCAGGATGGATTTGTGTTCTGGCTTCGTAAGGCTGATGCAATAAGAAATGATAGCCCTGTTTACTATCACCTTAAGGCTTCGCATGCTTGATTGCTTCGTCTCGCCAACTCGTACGGGGACTGGTACCCGAAAAACGCCTATGATGTTAGACGGAGGAAATGCCCTCAATGGATCTCATCTTCCTAGATACAACACGCGGCTTCAGTCAGGAATATGCACTTCCTACGGTGAACTCTGGGCCTGATCCTCGCGCATGGACTTTCGCAAGGTCTCACTCGTCATCCGCTGTCTTCGTCTGCTTCCGTTCAGGCATGGCGACGGTCCTGACTACTTACCGCGGACTTTCCAGTGTAACTTACATGGTAACTATGAAGGCCCTGCGGTGTAGAGATAATCGATGATATCCTTCCTGAAAAAGAAGTTCTGGTATAGAGGTATGTGAAGTAAATATCCACAGTTCCACTAACACGACGCTGATGCAGTATCCAAGTGAACAATTAGACAGTATTAAGACAAAACTGAACATCTATGCAGTTACATATCTCTCAGAAGTCGGGTGAAATGTAGAGTGATCGACGGCAGTGTCACTGCCACGTCCTCCCGGGTATCAAAACTGAAAAGGAAACATAAGTTGACGGGAATAACCCGCGACATGAATCAGAAAAACAGAGTGTATGTAGGGGCAGGGGGACTAGTTCTGATAATATATGTTGCTGAGGATGAAGAGAATGCATGATAATATTTTGTCCAAGAAAAGAAAGATGCGTGCGTGTTTCTGCGTAAATTACAATGACGTTCGAAATTTATTGCGTCGTGGGTGCAGTGCTTTCTTGTTGCTTTTCGGAGGACACTTCGGTCTTGTTGTCGGCTGTCTTGTCAGCTTCATTCTCGGGTGGAGGCTGACTCGTAGGGGCGCTGTCTTCCGGTTGCTTTGACGCCTCGGTAGGTTTCTTCTCATCGTCCTTCTGAGGGCATGTCTGCGTTGTTGCCTTGGTTGATTCATCTTTTGTTGGCTCGGGTTCACCATCGCCGAAGACAGGCGGCTCTCGAGACAACGGCGAGCGAGGATACACGACGTCCGACTCACTGCCGTCGCCGGTGTGGGGAGCACCGAACTCCCCGCTCTCGCGCCTCAGCAAAATGTTGCTCCATCTCTTCCTGCGGCTTCCACTGCGGGACAGAGCCACCGAGTCTTCGCTGCGACGCGCCTGCAGGGACTTCCGCCGGCCTCGGTCCGCCTCCACGGCCTCAGCGACGCTCGGCAAGGTCGGAGTCGACGGGGAGGCAATCGAAGGCGTCGGCGACGGCGAGGTCTTCTTCTCTTGCCATTCCTTGCGTTTCTCGCTGGCCCATGCGCTCCACGAGCTGATATACGAGCCGGCTCGCTGGCTGACCGCGTTCACGGACGCCTGCGCCTGTGTGATATCCACCGCGGGTGGCTTCCGGCTCGAGAACCACCCGCCCGTGGAGTTCGCCGGTGCCGAGTCCGAGGGCGAGAACGGCGGCGACGGACTCTTCTCCGTGGAGGTCCGTTGCGATTGTCCGGCCCTTTCTTCGTTCCTCTTGCGTTGCGCTTCCCGCATCGATTCGATATCCGCCCAGAAGCTGTTGAAAGCCGCGCTTACTTTCTTCTGGCCCGTGCTGAGGTGTCGGTTGAGCGCCTCGCGGCCCTCGCGGACTCGTTCGTCCAGGTGGAGGTCGGCGACTTGCTGCGAGAGCCGGCGTTGGATGTCGTCGATCGTCAGTCCACCGGCGCAAGGATGGCGGGGCTCAACGATGGAAAATAGGAGCGCGTCGGACGTCAGGCGCTTGAATAAAGCGTAGTTGGATGTATTCCTCCACAAGTTCAGAAACTCCACGTTGAATTCCAGCGCCGGGTCGCCCTCTATGTTGAAGGCCTCCAATTGCGCTCTGCTCCTATGGCCCGGGTCGCCGGCGGTGTAGGAGTTGAGCTCCTCGTGATATTGCATACACGCCAGCAACGCCAGTAGATACTCCTCGAATTGGAGGCGGACGAACTCTTCCGAGCCCATGTAGCCGTGTGTCTTTGGTTGCTGGGGGTGCGCTTCGTCCCATGTTTCGTTGATGATTTGGGTTAGAAGATCGATCCAGCGTCGGTCGGCAACTGAAAGCGCCAGAGCGTTGCGTAGCGAAGGAGTCAAAACATTAATAGTGTCTTCATCCAGCTGTTGCGATTCATTAGACAAGGCCGGTCAGAAAGACATACTATGTCACTCACGTTAATTAAAATGTCACTATAACGGTCTTTCTGTTGGAGAAGAAGCGAGTTTGTAGAACCGACCACGTACGACTTCGTTCCATGGTCTGCCAGCAGGTCCAGCTGCTGCAGCGGGGTATAAGGGCCGAACATGCTTCCCTGCTACAGTCAGATGGGGAACTTATATGTAGGTGAATGAGATACGGACCTTTCCGAATATTTGTAACGGCAGGCCCATGTACGCTAGTACTGCCACAGTAGTCAGTAAGTGCGCCAAAGCATCGACAGGATAGGATTGATCTTACAAGAAGACCTGTCACTCGTCTTTAAAGAAGTCGACTTCTCGACGGTCTGTGCATAGGTATCAAAAGCTGGATCGGCGCAATCTTCGAGGCGATTCATGAGACCCGGGATCAAAGATATGAGCGAGAATTGTATCATGCAGAGTCGTTCACATCTCGATCCAAAGAACAACATCTGTCTAGTATCAGTACCACGAACGGCGATGTCGCGGGTCTTTCGATCGCCCTACCTTTGGCTGTAAAAGCAAGGCTTTGAACAGAACGAGAGTCTGGTACTTGAACTCGTGGATCATTTCTCGCAAAGACAGACCTGACCAATCAGTTAGTACAAATGCCAGGTGCAAGCAATGAACAAATCGCACCGAGATTCTGATCCTTTGACCCTTCCTTCTGGCGCAGGCTGATCACCAAACTCTCTCTGAATTTCTACCCATAAACGCGGTCAGCTCCTGCTCCCGGGCTAGGCATCAACACAACAAACCTTCAAGATATCGGTGTCGGAGAAGTTCCTGTTCCCTCGGAAGCATATCAGCCCTCCATCGATGACGTTGATCCTCCCCCACGAAGAACATACCGCTGCGCAAACCAAGCCGATGTCACAATGGACACCTTTTCCCGCAATTGTCCCAGGCTCTGCGGGTTGTCCGTCACCACAACCACTGCCTTCTGTACTGTCGATCTGGTAACATCCGGGGGGCGGTAGAGGAGGGTGTTCGAGTCGATCTGTCTGGAGCACGCAATGCCGAAGAGAGAGGTCGCGGGTTCGGTGGCGGTCTCTTTGCGTCGGAGAGTGAAGTAGGAGAACTCTTCCGTCGACCTGAGCGAGCCCAATACCGCGTTAACAGAAGACTAAGCTGCGCCGGTGTGAATGTGAGGTCGGGGTGAGGGTCATACATGTGCGCGCCGTCGGAGAGCGCCATGAACGGCAGCAAAGACCAATCGTTTTCCGTAGCAGGGTCGGTGCCTTCATCTCCGAAGCATAATTCAATTTCAGGACCCCTGGTGGAATCAAACCGACAGACGTTAGCGGGCATTCGGAGACTCCCGCAGGTTGCGGCAGTGTTTGTTGGTGAGGTAGACTAGAGAACGGGGTTTGTCTCCGACACGCTGGTCCTTCAGAGTCCAACAAAATCCGGCGCAAACTGTATGCCTCCCAGGGACTCACCTGGCGTGGTGGAAATCTATCACCATCACAATGGGGTCCTGGCGACCTGGGACACGAGACATGGCGTGGAACCGTCCGTCATTCAGAATGGGGTTGATTCCCGTGGAGAAAGTGACACGTTCGACGCTGGAATTCCCACAGCGGAGTAAGACCTGTCTGCGAGGTGAGGAGAGGAAAAGCAAAGACAACCAGATCTACTCCGAAAACGACCACCGTCTGGAAGTTCTGTCGGAGAGGGGGACCAGGGGAACCGGCGCGAGATGGTCGCAGACTGGGGCGGGCGGTGACAGAATCGGAGATTTGGCGATAGCCGATCATCGACAGATTGTCTCATGATGATGGAACCATCCATACTACTACATAGTCTCGTTATTACCTATCTACAGGACTAGTTACACAGACCTCCTCACGCCAAATTGTTGGTTGATATCTCTGCTTGCCTGCAATGAATCCCGGTTACAAATGACTTCAAACCCCTCACACCAGCCGCCTCTAAACCATGCGATGAGAGCTCGGATCAGATCTGCCTCCAGGGGTCACTGCATCATATATAATATGTACTCCTCAGGAGGCGAGAAAAAAAAAAAAAAGAGAAGAAAGGAGGATAGAAGAGAACGGAAGAGAAGGCATAGAAATAGTTCAGACCCCTCGCCAGTCTACATGCCAACAAAAGAAGAATCTCGTTATCATGCTGCATTAGGACCTTCGTATAGATCCGAGCGAGCCCTTAGGCGAAGCCCTGGGGAGCGGTTCCAGCTCCCTCCACGAGAACTTCGCCCTCATTGGCCTGCTCGATATTATGGAAGTCGAGAATTTCCGAGTACCTGGAATCCCCATATTAGCGCTGGCAACACACCCGGTATTCGCGCACATACATCATAATCTTCCAGGTGTCCACGGGGAGATCGGCGTCGTTGAATGACCAATCGAACTTTTCTTGGGCTTCCGGCTCGTCGGTAGGGTCATGGTAGGGAGCAAGATACTCGTGCGCAAGCGCCTCGCCGGCTCGGATACGCTTCTTCGAGTCGAAAACCAGCATGCGCTCAAGGAGATCAATCGCTAAGCCCGATTAGCGTCTGAACAAGTAGTCGGAGGGTATCCAAGCAGATGCGCCACATACCATCCGGATCGGCATTCTTGAATTTGTTGGCGAGTGGTTGACGTTCCCGTTTGGGCAACGACTTCACAAATCGCAAGGTCTGGCGAGTGTTAGTAATGTCCTCAAGCTTGGCGATTCGACAATTCCCAATGGCTCACGTTTTCGCTGCAGATGCCCCGAATGACGTCGTCCGGAGGAGTCCCAAGGAGCTCGGTGATGATGGAGAACTGATTGACATGGTCCTTTCCGGGGAAAAGCGGTTTTCCCTCCAACATTTCGGCGAAGATACAGGCGGCACTCCAGATATCGACTTCCACATCATATTTCTGCCATGTGAGCATGATTTCGGGTGCACGGTAATATCTCGTCGACACGTAACCGGTCATCTGGGGATCCTGAATCCGAGCCAAACCGAAATCGCAAATCTTCAGGTCGCAGTTTTCGTTGATCAGGATGTTGCTAGGCTTGAGGTCCCGATGGACGACACCTGCAGAGTGGACATATTTCAATCCGCGCTGGGAGCTGTCAGCTTCGGCGAATGGACGGAGACCAAGACGCGCGATCACCCACCAGGATCTGGTATAAGAAGTATTGGATAAACTGCTTCTCTAACGGCCGGGATGTCAGGAGTCGGTGGAGGTCGGTTCCCAAGAGTTCGGTAACGAAGTAGCTGCGGCGGTCAATCAGAAAAAAAAGGTCCAGAAGAGCGATTCACGGGATCATAATGCGTACATATCCTCCAGTGGGGAGATGAAGATATCACTTAAACTGATGATCTACTGGGCGTTAGTATGCAGGGAATAAATTACTCCCGCCGGAGGGGAATTGACCGACATTTTCGTGGCGCAGATGTTTCAACAATTTCAACTCACGGTAGGTTCTCTTGGACAAAACCGGCGTGCTGAAAGGTTTCATAATCTTCTTCACGGCGACAGGCTGTCCAGTCAATTGGTCCTTGGCGGAGCTGTACAGAGGCGAGAAACGTGTCAGCCCAAAGTCCAACAGGCGCCTCCGCTGCACCGGAAAAGAGGGGTATCAACTGTACCAGACAAGCCCAAAAGCTCCCATTCCCACGGGCTGGAGATCCGTGTATCTGAAGAATTCTTAAGTCAACGGTCGACTCGTTCCATTTCAGCGATCAAGGCTAGCTGTACCTGCTGGTGATCTCGAAGGTGGTGCCGAAGATCTGGGCACGCACGAATTCCGCCATTTTCGATCTCAAGGGAGGGACGGAACACCACGTTCAGGGGGGTTTTTTTTATCGAAGACTCGCTGTATTTAAAGCTTTTGGGGGCTTTTTGTATTTTATTTTCTTGAAGCACTTTTCGGGTGGTGTATGGGAAGGGAGTGAGGGATATGTGGTGGTGAGGAGACAGATGGAAGGGGATGAAAAGAGAGGAGGAGATGGTGGTGGTGGTATGAGGATGGAAGATTGATTATTGGAGTGGTGAGGCGAATGATACCTTACTACCACCGCGGTTCAAGTACCTTAAGGAAAGTCAAGTCAGGGTTGGTAGTGGGGAACGCGACAGTGAAAACTGCCTCTTCAGGCCGCTTCTCCCCTCCAAATTCAACCTTGGAAATCCCGATGACGTCTGCGACAAAATGGACATGAAAAAATAAAAAAATAGAAAAAAGAGGTGCAAACAGTGCAGAATCCCCCACGCGGTCTGGCTTGACCGGTTTGCTCCCGGGGATTGGTCGGAATTTGCTTCCTCGAAATCCGGGAGGGTTCCAATCTTCTCGTCGCGACCTAGGTACTACAGAGTCTGGTAGGTAGGATTCTGCAGGATGGTCTCCATCCGAGCAGTCGAGAACAAGAGCACAACAATGATACTAAGCTCCCACTGTGCGGTGTACATGACAGCCCGATAGCCGGAATTGAAATCCATCTCAACCGGTTATTCCTGGGATTGTCCCCTTAGATCTGACCAACAAGAAGCCTACAGTGGAAGATCGGACAGGTTAATTCTACGACACTTCCTGTCAGGACCCCAGGCTTTATGATCCTCCAATTGGATCCTGTCTCGATTACACCTAGTCATGGATGGCCATCCGTCTACTCCGGAGCGGAGCACGGTGTAAAGCATTGTTGTAGATGCTTCCTTGTGAGGACTCAATTATGTCATGGTTCGTGGAAAGGGACGGGAAACAAAAATAGAATAGCACGATCACGATCGAAGTCGAGAATCGGGCATTATTGGGGAAATCACATCAATAATAATAATCGGACCAGATAGGTAAGAGACTCTCCATAGGGTATGCTACGACCACCCACTACGTCAGTGCCCTTTGATGTCATCATCGACGGTGGGGCTCATCTTCTCCTACCAACCACTTCCTCCATCACCTACAGGTATGTACATACCTAAGTTATGAGGCTGGCAATTGATTCTCTTCCATCCCGCTTCTCCAGGGGCTTTCGGTGAGCTTCTATATTGGATGGATTGATGGATTGTAGACTGATGATAATCTTCCAGCATACTGAGTGGAAGAAAGATTCTCCCCGCAAGCCTCGCCTTTTGACGTTCGTTCGGCTGATATATATACTTCCGACAGACCTGTCGAGAGAGATGGGAGTACGTACCCTAGGCATCAATATCAACAAGGAATCTTGGGGTGGCTGTTTCATTTGAAGGCCCAGAGCCAGTGGAAATTACTCCCTCAATGGATCGTACGTAAGCACGTGAAGGTTCCCTGTCTTCCGCGGGGCCCTCTCGTTCGGGTCACCGCTGATGCCATGATCATTGGGGAGCCCGTTGGACGACCTGAGGACCGGGCACCGGCCTGGTGGTCTGGTCATTCCAATCAGGGGGATGAAAGGGGATGAAAGGGTGGTGCCGTGCCCAAGGAGTCACTGCGCCTTGGGAACCCCAAGATTGTGGCTATGTTTCCCCGGCAGTTATTATTTTTGGGTGGTACAGGAGTTCTTTTGTTCTTGTTTGGTTTTCTTTTTGCACTACTACCAGTACTGACAAGGGATGGAACTAGGGACAGGAGATCACATCACATTCTATGCTTTGGGCCTAGTGACCATTCAGTATCCTATGTAAATGGCACGGTGTTGGCTGGGAGGCTGCCATTTCGTGACTACGGTCTGTGGCGTTTATCGGGAAGAGTCTGATACGAAGACTGTACAGACCATTAGAAACGGACACTGGATACATGACCTCGGACGCAGTCTAGTCGTAAAGATAGATAATCGAGAATTTATGATAGAGTCTTAGTTACAATAGACCCTTGCTTAGGGCCCAACTGGTTCAGCCTCGAAGGGTGTTTGCAAGGTGTTCCCCATAGTTTCCAGCTGTTCGTGGTGTTCTAACCTTGTTACGGGGAAAGGATAATAATACCAGCTCATACCCACATGAACACCCCCTTCTCAACCGTGGATGATGGGATGGATACAGAACCATAACGAAAGAACCTCCATTCACTTTTCTCCAGGAGGCTCCACTATGGACAGGTATGACGATGGAGCTCATGAAGCCATCTTCGACCTCGACAATGGACTTCTCGGTTAAGTTGAGTCGTGATAGATACCTCGTAGGCGGAAAAGCGCTCAAAACTCAGGCTATTCTCTCGTATATACCTACGTTAGTACCTAGGTAGTCTCCGGACTAAATGCTAGTAGTACTCCGTAACGCCAGCGGTCGGTGACATACGAGTCACATCAATACCGTGGTGGTCACGATTGCCTTTCATCCACCCGAAGCAGAACGATGCTGCTGGGGATCTGCTTCGAGATCTGTTTTGGGCGAGAGGCCTCCTGATCGTCTTGCGAACCCTTAGAGATAGTTATATACTTAAGATTCTATTGGGTTGCTTACATTATCTCATGTCCCCATCATCCACTCTCCTACATCATTTGGCCGTCCCCGATCGCCCTCGCTCTCTTTTAGTGTCGGCTCGTCATCGCTCCGCAGTTGAATCCTGTCACCCCTCACCCCAACTTTCACCACTCCTCCTCAAACGGTCGGTCTGACCGTCAGATCTCACACTACTGCCACTACCGCTGCCACCACCGCTACCGACCACCTCCTCCTACCACTACACTTCCCCTTCCAACGCCTCCTCCGACTTCCTCTCCTTTCTCATCCATCCTGCATCCCTTCTGCGTCCAGCGTACCCTGTTTCTTTTCTATCTACTTACCTGCCGTCACGAGCTATCGCCTCCGCCTCGGGAGCCTGCAGCGGTCGCTCAGACCTCATCCGAGACTAGAACCCCCTGCCTTTAGTCACCCTGCGCCAACCTCGATTCATCGCTACAACAACCCAGCTCGACCGTCGATCGCAAACTCCCGAATCCTTTCATCGCGTCGTCGCCTTTTTTCTTCACCACGAGTCTGCGATCTGCTTCTCATTGCGCCTGGTTCCTCTCTCCCTCGATCTTTCCGACCCACGCGCTATTACCACCCCAAAACAGCCACCGACTCGGTTTTCAAGGGGTTTCAGATACTGGTGATCTGATAGGTGGATGCTGTACACTTCCGCAGATTGCCTCATGGTTTAGATCTTTGGTGTCTCGAACAGATCCGAGAAGATGGGTTCGTGCGTAAGCTCAGAACAGACGGATGAGCAAAAGCGACGGAGTCAGGCGATCGATCGTACCATAGATGAGGACTCCAAGCGACTACGGAAAGAATGCAAGATCTTACTACTAGGTGCGTCGCCCATTCCCTTTCCCACCCGGCGATGTTTGCAGCGACATTAACGCGCGGGTCCAATCTTCCTCCAGGTTCCGGAGAAAGTGGCAAGTCGACGATTGTCAAGCAAATGAAAATCATCCATCAAAATGGCTATACCGTGGAGGAACTCGCCATGTACCGTCTGACGGTCTACAAGAATCTGCTCGATTGCGCCAAGTCGCTCATAAAAGCCTACGACCAATTCGGTCTCGTTCCCACAAGCCAGAAGGTCCGCGACTATATGGACTTCCTGAACGACTATAATCTCGAACCCGACCCCAATGTTCCCCTGGATCCCGTGGTAGGCGATGCGATCATGTTCATCTGGAAGGACCCGTGCACCGCCACCGTACTGGAACATCAGAATGAGTTCTATCTGATGGACTCCGCGCCATAGTAAGACCCCAGCGCGCCTCCCATTCCTCCGACGATGTGAATTCTAAACCGGACGCGTCTAGTTTCTTCGATGAAGCCAAGCGGATCGCTTCCCCGGATTACATCCCAAATGTGAATGATGTTCTTCGTGCGCGAACGAAGACCACCGGTATCTATGAGAGCCGGTTTACGATGGGCCAGCTCAGCATACAGTATGCCACCCCATCCCCATTGTTCGGGCCGAATGATACTTATAGACGCCACAGCATGTTCGATGTGGGCGGTCAGCGCAGCGAACGGAAAAAATGGATCCATTGCTTCGAAAACGTCACGTCTATCATATTCTGTGTGGCATTGAGCGAGTACGATCAAGTGCTCCTCGAGAATAGCAACCAGGTAGGTTTCCCATGTCTCTCCTACCGCCGAGCGTTACTAACTGGTGGCTCGAAGAATCGAATGATGGAAAGTTTGGTCCTGTTCGACTCGGTCGTCAACTCGCGATGGTTCATGCGAACAAGCATTATCCTTTTCCTTAATAAAGTGGATCTGTTCCGGCAAAAGCTTCCCCGATCACCGTTGAGCAACTATTTCCCGGACTACTCAGGAGGAAACGATGTGAATCGTGCCGCCAAATACCTCCTGTGGCGATTTAATCAGGTCAACAGAGCCCACCTGAATCTTTATCCTCAGTGAGTACCTTGGACGTATTGTTCTCGTGGTGAGACTAACCGCGTATCTCACTTTAGCCTGACCCAGGCGACTGATACAACAAACATTCGCCTGGTATTTGCTGCCGTAAAGGAAACGATTCTACAGAATGCCCTGAAAGATTCTGGTATTCTATAGTTGGTTTCCGGCTCTTTGCTCGATTATACCCAGTCTCAGCTTCCGTGCGATCGTACCTAGCAGGTTTGAAGATCTCACAATCTCTTCCGACAGTTCAAGCACTCCTTTGTCCAGCCCCGCCATTTCTTAATTGTTATTCTCCTTTTTATAGTGATTACCGAACAGGCATCGGCGTTACGGTGCAGCTCTTGGTTACCTAAATCTGTTAGGCGCTGGGTGGCTTTTGTCCTTGGGGTCTTTTGCAGCACGGTGTCATTTGGTCTCTTGTCGTTGTTCCTTATACCTTTATGAGGGCTATGTTTTTCATCTTTTTGCATCGAACAACAATGTTTCCCTTGGTTTGGAAACCTTGATGGATATCCATGGACTAAAAGTTTCTGGCCTCGACACTCGTGTCGGGCTCTGATATCTTGAGACAGTCATGCGAAGGACCTCTCCTACATATGTCATCTCATTCTATACCTCTTGTGTTTACTTTATGCATCTTGTGGCGGCCTCTCTGGCATGTGTTAGCTGATTTATACCATCATGTTTGTAGCGCATACCTGCATTCAGTCAACTTCATTTGTGTTTCCTTCTCCGGCTGCTTTCTTACCTTCAACCATGTGCGGATTCTTGTACCTGGGGGGCCACAACGCTGAACAGCGTCGATACTTCTACCACATCAACTCAGCTGGATTTGACGACTATACGCAGTTGACCCCCTGATCGTGATGCACGGATACTGACCGAGACCGAAGATCAGACGTCAGTCAGGGCTTTCGATCCAGAGCAAGATTTCCATCCCTTTTCAGAGTTCCTAAATGTGTATTTACTTGACCTACCCCTTAATGCTGTCTCACAGTAGAGACGACTGGCTAATCTACAATATCTTTACCAAAAGCGTGAGTATGTTGATAGGCCTTGAGGTGTTTGCTGACGTACACGTTGCAGAGAACTGGCGCTGAGGCTTACTTTGATCTTAGCAATACGCATGCTATTGAAATGCACGATATTCCGTCATTATGGACTTTATATACTCGATCTATTACTGCAGGGTAAAGTACAGCGAGTAAAATCACAAAGGCCGGTTCTCCGGTCAAAGAAGGCAAAAGAAACGCTACACTCAAAACAAGTCTACCGGGCATCTCCAATAATCACATCCGCCGCCTTCTCACTGATCATGTAGATTGGCAGGGCGATATAATAACCCGGGATTTTGGGGAAGACGGAGGCATCGACGACACGGAGGCCGTCGACGCCACGCACGCGGAAATCGCCGTCCAGCACGGCGTTGGGGTCGTCGTCGGTGCCGATGGGGTTGGTGCAGCAGGCATGGTGACCCCAGGCCTCGCGCTTGATGAAGTCCTTCATGTCCTGTTCGCTGCTGACGTTGCGGCCGGGCCACACCTCCTCGAAGCTGCCGTCGAGCGGGATCATGTCGTCGAAGACGGTGCGCGAGAACTGCATGCCCTCATACACGGCCTGCAGGTCCTTCTCGTCGGCGCCGTCGGCGGTGGTGCCGGTGTCGAACGAGTTGAAGTTGATGACGGGCATGTCGCGCGGGTCGGCGGAGCGCAGCTCGACGGTGCCGGCGGTGTTCCCTGCGCGGGCCTTGAGGGTGATCCAGGCCCAGTGCCGGGCGTCCTTGAGGCCCTCGTACGAGTAGTTGGGGAAGTAGCCGCGGAAGTTGGCCGGGGCGCCGGAGATGAGCAGGTCCGGGTCGCCGTCGGTGGTGGACGACTTGCGGATGATAGCGATGGCGATGCCGTTGGTGGTGTACGTGCCCTTGTCGAGGACGTTGTTCTCCCACTGCTCCAGACACGGGTCGGGCATCTCGTACATGAACGTGCACCGCGACGTCAGGACGAAGTCCGTCTTCGCCTCGCCGACAACGGTGGTCTCGTACCGGTCCTGCAGGTTCTTGCCCACCCCCGGCAGGTCGACCACCGTCTCGATGCCCCATTTCTCCAGCTCCGCCCGCGGCCCGATCCCACTGAGCTTCAGCAGCTGCGGCGTGTTGAACGCCCCCGCCGCGAGGATGACCTCCCGCGCTGCGTTCACGCTGCCCCGGGTGCCCGGCGTGCCTGTCGGCGCCGCCCGCGGGTCCGCGCGGTACAGACTCTTGCCGCGGAGGTAGTCGACGCCGATGGCGCGGGGCTTGCCGCCAGCGGCGGCGGTGGTGTTGTCGAAGCGCACGTTGGTGACCAGCGTCTCGAGCTGGATGTCCAGGTGGTACTTGCGGGAGCCGTCGTCGTTGACCGCGTTGATCGTGTCCATCAGGAAGTCGCGCGGCCCGGTGCGCCGGTAGTCGGGGACGTCGACGGCCAGCGGCACCTGGTATAGACCGCCCCACTGGTCACGGAAGGGCAGGTTGGAGTTGAGATCGCGGAGGAGCACGTCGGCGAGTCCGGTGACGGTGTTGATGACCTTGCCGAGGAGGCTCTTGCCGGCGGCGGTGGCGGCGCCGAGGATGAGCGACAGGAGCTTCTGGTCCTCGACGACGAGCTCGAGGCGGGTCAGACTGGTGGTGAGCCAGCCGTCGAAGCCGTGGCCGGCCAGCGAGCTCGGCAGGTAGCGGTTCCGCTCCAGCTTCTCGAAGTACTTGCGCATCTCGTCAGGAGCCCACGAGTCGTTGCCGGTGAGGGTGGCCAGGTCTTCCCAGTCCTTCTCGTACGGGTAGATGGTGCTGTAGCGGTCAGCCTTGGTGCGCAGTCTACCAGAATGATGGGATGAGGAACATACATCATCGCGTTATGAGCCGAACAGCCTCCCAGCGTGCCCGCGCGGGGGTACAGGATGCCCAGAGGCTCCGAGTTGGCGGGAGGGTTGGGTCCGACGTGGAGGTCTCCGGAGGGCGTGCGGTAGGTCATCTTGGAGTCCTGCTCCTGGCGCTCCAGGTCCTGGTAGTGGTGTACAAAGTAGTCCCAGCGCATAGGCTCATACTCGGTCGACTGCAGCTGCAGGGCGGGCACCTGGAACTTGGTCGCGTTGCCCTGGTCGTCACCCGCTTCGAGCAGCAGCACCTTGTATCCTGCAATGGCCAGACGGGCGGCCAAGGGACCGCCACCAGGGCCGGAGCCAACCACCACATAGTCATACTCGGTGGTGGTGTTGGTCACGTACCTCGCGTGAAGCCGCTGGTGGCCATAGTCATGGCCGCTGTGGAGGTTAGTACTTGTCAACAGCTGCCCAATGAAGGGTGTCCAGAGGAGAGGAGGTGCTTACGAGGCAATCACAGAGGCCAGCAGCGCAAATAAACCAAGACTCCTGAGGCCAAGCATGGTAGCATGCAGTGAAGAGGCGAGACACTTGAGCCTGCAGAAACCACTGGGGACGAAAGGACACTCGAAACCGTGATTCTCTTCTTAATCCTTTTAAGAAGAAGCACTGAGCAAATCTCCTTTTTGTCTCTAGCTCGAGGCTTGTCCCCTGAAGCCATCCTAATTGCCAATACGCTCTGCGGTATAACGGCGTCGTCCACACACGAAGGGCTAACGAGGGATCAGCGTCTCTGGTTATTACCCAAGGGTCTAGTTCGCCTTAGCTCCTCCGTACGAAGCGGGTTCCCTCTAGGAGTATGATATTATTGTTATAATTATGGCTATTATTATATTGCTTCCGGCGAGCCGGCGGAAGGGATCCGAAAGTATACAGACTGGGCATCCAGAGCCATCCATACTCTGTACGGAGTAGATGTGCGTGCGCGTCTCCCACGAGAGGCGAGTCAACCAGAAAAACTTTGATGTCTCCATCCATCGACACTCCACTACGGAAATGATCTCTTTCCGGACGGATGACAGGTGCACATACCATGGATATGCATGGCTCTTCAACTGCTGCGGGAGTCAACCGAGTGCATCCGGCACGTCCTGGAAAGAACATTTCAGGGGTTCATCATGGCACTGGCCACACACTCCCACACCGGTGGTATCAAGTGCATACGAACGGACAGGGTTCGGGGGCGACCCCACAGACGACGAGGGACGGACAGCCGGGCATTGATATCGGGTAACAGCTGTGTATTACGGGGTATACAGACTAGGGCTGTCCTCCGTACTTTCAGCCACAGAGACACCCAGTGGGTCAGGGGCAGGGCCGTGTCCCGTCCGCCTGGCGGGAAGAGCTTGAAGTTACCTGAAGAGGATGATAGACGGTCCATCGTCGCCATGTGCAGCCTAGCGGCGCGCGGGAAATTGCTGGGCCAAGCCTCGACGCGGCTGCAGGAGCTTTTAGTGTCGTTTCTCGCACCGGGGCAAGAGTACCAGCAACCGTTGGGATGGAGACAGGAGTCCTTCTGAAAGCCGGGCTCCACCTCTCCATCAAGTGCCATATTATACTTGTAGAACTCCCATTACCGGCCCGGAAATCCCACACTATGCTGCTTGCGGAATCTGCTCATATTCCTCTTGGGTTCAGTCCGTGCTGATCTTGATAGTCGGGCCTCCAATGACCCCTGCATGGCAGCCCGCTACTATGCATTATGCCGTGCGTTGCTGGGATGGTACGGAGTATGGGCTTAGCACGACGTACTAGCTTTAGTAGGACTATTATTATTGCCATTATATGGTATTACCCGTTACTATTGCCACGGCCCGTGTAGCCCCGCTGCTGATATGCCTTGGGCTGAATGTCGACCATCCAACGGCTGGTAGGACAACCTAAGAAATATAGAAAGTCGGCTATGAAGAACGTGTTTACGGCGTATCGCATATCGCGGCCTTGCGAGGGAAAGGAGATTGCACACGGCGATATCCCCCCATCTTGCCTCGGACCTCCTCTTCTACAAATGACAGAATGGTCGAAACAACATGTGTCGTTGCTTTTAGGCTGATCATAGACAAAAGAAAGCTGATATTAAAACAACTCTACTCTAAACATACTCCCGGTCACCCCCAGCCCAGACTCCCTCTAGGTCGTATGGTGCGTGAGGTTCACCTGGCTCGAGTTGTCCAAGTTGTTCAACGGGACGAAATCCGAGTGCCCCCCTTTCACCCTCACCGAGACCTTCCCATCCAGACCCGACCCGTTTCCCAGGGACCGAGAGCCGTAGCGTCTGCTGCTGGAGCCGCCAGTGGCAGCCGTGTCGCCAAAGATGCTTGGCGACACGCGACGCAGGAGCGCACGGATAGCAGGCAGACAGGCGCAGACGATCCCTACATGGCATTCAACGGTGCTCCAGTAGCCGATTGGGACGTAATCCCCTGTTGCGGTGCGCGTTAGACATGTGGTGCCCTCACGTTAGTTTCCAGGGGACGGGTTGCTGGTACGTACAGGTCAGGTTTTGTGTCGACGCGAAGTGGATCAGCGACTCCAATCGGAGGATGCTAACCAACGTGACGCTGAGGAGATTAGCAGACTAATCGTCAGGGGGCTCGACCAGGAGACTCACAATATGCCGAGGGAGAACATGCACATCACGTAGAGCTTCTTCCGGATCGAGAGGTTGAGCTGGTACAGCTCGCGCAGCGGCAGCGCCATGACGATGATGTCCAGGATCATGTTGAAGATCGCGGCGCACCAGCCCTGCGCGTTGATGTTGTTGCACTTGTAGTCGCCCGAGCCGTCCCAGTGCTCCCAGGCGCCGCGCAGCGGCGAGCATTGGAAGACGGAGATCAGCACGAAGGAAATCAGATAGCCGACGTTCAGGGCAATCACCACGTAGGTGGCAATCCGGAATTCCTTCCGCGGAAACACGCGCAGGTAGAAGCACAGGATGGAGATTTTGGTCAAGGGCAGAATGCTGAGATAGATCAGTTCGTCCCAGAAGTATAGCTGGTTCTTGTCAGTGGCGGTCGCTCTTGTTCCGACTGGATGGATGGGGCATCTCACATATAGAATCATGGTAATGTTATGGAACGGGAGCGTCCACATGTCTTTACCCAGGCCGTAATTCGCGACTACGCGTTGTTAGTCAAAGATATAGAGTGAAGCCTCGGGTAACACTTACGGACTGGACTGATTGCAGTAAGCATACATGATAAAATCTAGACAATGTCAGCTGCTGGTGGCGTGAGACAGTGCTATTCAAGCGACATACAATGGTTCCCGTCATGGTCCAGTCATCCAGGCCCAATTTACCGCCCATGCACGGCAGTCTTGCAATCATCCTCAGAATGTACGCAAGGAGGGCGATGGCGCCTCCCGCCACCCCCGTGATGGACACAGCCTTCGTCCGGTCCCGGATGGGGGCATGGCACGCTTGCGAAGTGACATTCTTTGTTGCTGAAAGACGATGGCCAAGGTTAGCTCGCTATATCCACTATACCAGCGGGGTAGCACATACTCAAAGACTCCCGGATGGTGCAGCTAACCGTCACACACTTGGTGAGTGTTTCTGTCAGAATGGGGTTTGTGCAAATGCAGGTCTGGTTCGTGGGCGCGCATGACGATGCCTTCAGAGCCGTCGGAAAGCACTCCAGCTGCACAAGAGTTCTCATTAGCACATGCAACGGAGGTATCGGGGCGAGGGCGATGTTCCTTACCGCACACTTAGGCATCACTGCGGCCAATTCCTGCAGACTGGAGGCGGCAGCCACCGAGAAGAAAACGGCGGCCACGCCGATTACCCGGGACAATCGCATTGTGGATGACTCGATAGCCGTCAAGAACAACCGCGCCTGCGGTTGAAGGAAGAGAGGACGGTAGGAGACTGAGGAGGTTCGAGACGTCAATCTATTTAACTGGGAGCAGATTATCTATGGCTTCTCCTTCTAGCCCTGAGCTGATCGTCACCTATATGGCCCGTCATTAACCTGGCCTGGCCAAAATTCTCAAACGTCCGACAGCAGTTCATGGGAGGGAGACTTGTTCACCTCACGGAGAGTAGCCGGGGAACTAGGCACATATAGTCAGGGCTGGAAAATACACGGAAGAGCCCAATGCCAGTTCCACGCACCATCTCGAACGTGTTTGGTGGCAACAGTTCGAACTAAAGTCCTTTAGCTTGGCCATGGCCAGTCTGCCAATGCATGGTCGTCGGGGAACGTGTGTACGATTGCGATCTACGCAGCACAGTCTGGCCAGCAACACGGAGACCGGATCAAAAGGGGGGACAGGGGTCAGGATGCTGGCCTCTGCATGAATGCTTTCCCATGCCACGTCCTCTGCAGAATATGAGCCCAATGGGAATTGGGAAAATATTCCGAGTCAGTAAATTGGGATAGTTGCCGATCCCACCGCGGCTCTGGAGGAGTCGAGATCGGCGCCCCCAAGAGCCACCGGTGTCAAACTGGTCCCTCCCGAAAGAGTCTAACATGCCAACTAGTAAGAATAAAACGAATGAAACGGACCAGACCCGCTTTCGAGTCATTATTATAGCCGGTCAAGACAGACCCTGGTTACTGTGGACGGGAGGTTGGATTTGACAGGCCCCAGCTGGTATTCTAAGCGAAAACCGGAACCACCGTATCCACCTCGCGGACTCTGGAAGTCGTTCCCCAACTACTGACGAGATGGGATCAACAATCGAGAAGCAACCAGCACGACGACGATTCGGGCGAGACTGTCAGTCGTACCTATACCCCGTGTTGTTATTGTTCTTAGCGCAATACGACACAGGCCGGTTCGTTTGAGGCTAGGGAAGCCGTCTTCAGCAGACCCAGAAAACAAGATTTGGAAGGATTATTATCCTTAATGAATCCCGGTATTGGTTGAATATGGGATTGAGAGATTCTATCTCATGAGAAGCAATAATATTACTCCGTAGAAATACCGCCATCACAGCGGAGTTCTCGGGGAGGACCTTCGTGAGATTGAGTGGATACCGATGGGCCTCATCCCAGACCCAAGCACGGCTTCTGAATCTGTTTTCATAACGAACTAGTTCCTCAGCCTATCTGCCGTCAGGGAGAGCTCTGCCTGACGGTATTTGGCAAGTCAGGGGCGTTGGATTAATAACGGACATGCCGATCCCACCGGGATTAGTAGACGGTCTCGTAGAACCAAAGAAGAACAGACAGTTAGACCTAGTCGGTATTCTGAGCTCGTGTAAGGCTTTCGTGTTGCCGATAGGGGAGCTTCAATCTTTCCTTTCATCTCTCACATTCGTTGTCGTCAACCAAGGGCCAGTCAGTCATTCCTTCAATCCTGTCAACACCCTTGATAGTCTCTCTTTTGGCCATTTTGTTCCAAGTCGTTCCTTTGAATTATTCGTTCGTTTCTTCTGGCCGTCCTCATGCTCGGTAATTGGGCGTCTGCTTTGACGCTGGCCCTTCTGGGCCCTGCGACCCTGGTGGGAGCTTTTCCCTCGGCCGACCATCTGCACAAGCTGATGGGCCATCCGGGACATGGACACCCACGCAATGCATCTGGATGTCCGTATGCCGCTCATTTGAAGGATTCCAACCATGGCGGCGAAATCGACAAGCGATTCCTGTTCAGCCTTATGAACGAACCCATTGACAGTAGGCGGTTTTCTCTTCCGGAAGAAGGACCAATTCCCTGACACGCAACTAGTCACCGGTGAACATGCCTTCCAACCTCCCAACTGGGAACTTGGAGATCAGCGGGGACCTTGTCCGGGTCTGAATGCTCTGGCCAACCACGCCTATATCCCTCGTAGTGGAGTGGTGTCGGTATGTAAGGTGGTGTGCATTGGTCCGGAGACAGACACTGACCTCGGAGTAGTTCTTTGAAGTGATCGGTGCCATCAACAAGGGTTAGTCGCCCAACCAATCAAAGAGTATGCAGCGCATGGCAGAGTCTAACACAATCGAATGTAGTGTTCGGCATGGGCGTCGATCTGGCAACCATCTTGGCCGTCATGGGCACTGTCTGGACCGGTAACCCTCTTTCGCTCAATCCCAGCTTCTCTATCGGCGGACGGGACACTGGTGTGAACAACCTGCTGGACAACATTGGAGGCCTTCTTGGTCAGTACCGCTCGCCTCATTCGTCGCATCCCCGGCTGACCGTGCTATACAGGCGAGCCCCAGGGACTGATTGGCTCGCACAACTTCATCGAATCCGACTCTTCCAACACCCGCGACGATCTGTATGTGACTGGGGACAACTACCGCCTGAACATGGACAAGTTCATGGAGTGGTACAACATGTCCACGGACGGCACCTTCAGCATGGACCTGATGGCCAAGCGCGCAAGCATCCGCTGGGAACAGAGCAAGAACACCAACCCGGATTTCTACTACGGGCCGGTGACCGGCCTGATCGCTCGTAACGCCGGATATCTCTTCCCCGCCCGGCTCTTCCGCAACCACACCAAGGAGAATCCGGAGGGTGTCCTGAGTAAGTTGCCCCGTGGCGCGGTGATGTTCCAAGGTGGTTCGTGCGCTAATCTATGTCCGGAACGTTCCAGCCAAGGAGATCGTGCGCAACTTCTATGGTATTTACGGAGAGGAAGGAAACCTCACCTACCGCGAGGGGTGGGAGCGGATCCCGAAGAACTGGTACAAGACCCCTGTGGATTATGGCTTGGTGCAATTGAACCTGGACACGGTGGACTGGGTGGCGAAGTACCCGGAGCTTGGAAGGTAGGTGGGCCCCGAATGAGACCCCAGTATACTCCGTAGAAGATTTGTTTGGGGGCTGGCGGCTAATCAAGAATCGGCAGCGTCGGCGGTAACACGGGTGAAGTGGACAGCTTCGCGGGCGTGGATCTCTCCGACCTGACGGGCGGCGTTATCAACCTGACCAACCTGCTGGAAGGCAACAATCTGCTCTGCTTTGTCTTTGAGGTGCTGAAGTTCGCCAGTCCGAATGCGCTGTCGGGTCTGTATAAGACGCTGGCAGAGCCTCTGGAGCTGATTACCAACGCGCTGGATGTGCCCTTGCTGAACATGAGCTGCCCGGCGTTTGCGGACCTGCAGATGGGAGGCGAGCCTTTCTGGGAGTCCATCCAGGATCATTTCCCTGGCGCGCTGAAGAGCGGCAGCTCCTTGTAAGGGAGCTCAGCGGATGAGATGGGAAGTGATGATCGTGCTTGGCGATGGTTGGTGTATTTCCGTCAGTCAGTGTTATGGTACAGATAGTGGAAAGCTTACTGTGATAATGAGTAGTGGTTCCTTTATATGCAGAATCAGTAATCTGGTGATTGTGGTGATAGTGGTGATGATGAGTTTCAATTTTCCCCGCGAAAAAGCAGAGACCGATGTATACGTCATCGATGGCCAGATTCGAAGAAGCATCAACATTCTCTTCTCTCTGTCTCTCTGTTCCTCTTGATCTCTCCATCTCCTGTTCCATGGGTCCCCTCTCTCCATCCATCCTCTACAGCATTTCGATACGATCTACGCGCAATCTCTCTCCACACGGGGATGAACCGATCTCTTCTATAGGTCCCCTTCCCCACAACGGTCTAGACAGCCTTTCGCCCATCGTATGACGCGCCATGACCAGGAGTCGTGGTATCACCAGGGCCTGTGTACCTCGTCTCCTCCCAAGGTTCCCCTCTTTGCTGTCACGGGGTATGCAGCTGTCAGGCATTGCAGCCGGATTTCGCCTTGAAGCTATGACCGCTCTCCCCTCTTTGTCTTCTTCTTTCCCCTCCTGATCCCGGTCAAAAGGGTGGTCGTGGCTCTGTTCCTCCTTCCTCGTCTTCCATCTCGGTGACTTCCCCTACGTCTTATCTCTCACTCGGCTTTCACCTCCTACATTGATCTCCATCTCCCACCATGCCTGAAGAACGTCGTGAGAGAAGACCATCGGTCGGGGCCCCCGTCTCCGAGCTTCAGGGTCCGGTAGGCCCGGGCTTCAGTCGCCCAAAGCACAAGCGCACCTATACCGGACTCGGTCCCAGTGAAATCAAGAGCGCCGAAGCGGCCATTCCGGAGCCTCTCCGAGAAGCGTACGTCCCCTTGCCATCCTTGTCTTATCTCATTCTCTTACGGTGATGAGCTAACTTTTTGTCGACAGATGGAGAAAACACGTACATTATCCCCAGACTCGGCTGTTCTGGGATGATCTATACTGACTATCATCGATTCCAGTCCGCTAGCGGGTTTACCAACAAGGATGAATTCGAGGTAGGCGCAAAGTTGATAGTAACACGTTGAACGCCCCTCACAATTCTACAGAAAGAGCTCGTCCGCCACGTGGAGACCACCTTGGCTCGTTCGCTTTACAATTGCGATGAAATGTATGCTTTCCCTTCTGCGACTGCAATTATGTATCGCTGACACATGATCTAGGGCTGCGTACGCCGGGACCGCGCTCGCATTTCGAGACCGGTTGATCATTGAATGGAACAAAACCCAGCAACGACAGACCTCGGCCGACCAGAAGAGAGTTTACTGTGCGTCACCAATGCCACGAATACTTTTCACTTCCCTAACTTATGCCTCAGATCTCTCACTGGAGTTCCTGATGGGTCGAGCCCTGGACAACGCTATGCTCAATGTGAACATGAAGGATGCTGCACGGGGTCAGTCAGTCCTGAACTAACCGAGATCGTTTGAAATTCTAACGTCATGATCAGACGGTCTGAAGGACCTCGGTTTCCGCATTGAAGATGTCATCAGTCAGGAACACGACGCCCGCTCTCGGAAACGGAGGTCTAGGCCGGTTGGCGGCTTGTCTCCTCGACAGTCTCGCAACCCTGAACTACCCTGCCTGGGGCTACGGTCTACGTTACCGCTACGGTATCTTCAAGCAAGAAATTGTCGACGGTTACCAGGTCGAAGTCCCCGACTACTGGCTTGATTTCAACCCCTGGGAATTCCCCCGCCACGATATCACCGTCGACATCCAGTTCTACGGCCATGTCAGGAAGTACAAGGATGACAACGGCAAGACGGTCAACTCTTGGGAAGAGGGCGAGGTCGTTCAAGCCGTAGCGTATGATGTTCCAATCCCAGGCTATGGGACTCGCACGACGAACAATCTACGTCTCTGGTCAAGCAAGGCCAGCAGTGGAGAGTTCGACTTCCAAAAGTTCAATGCGGGTGACTACGAAAGTGCAGTTGCGGAGCAGCAGCGTGCTGAGACTATCTCGGCCGTCCTGTACCCGAACGACAACCTCGAACGAGGAAAAGAACTCCGGCTGAAGCAGCAGTACTTCTGGTGTGCTGCGTCTCTGCATGACATTGTTAGGAGATACAAGAAGACCAAGCGGCCCTGGAGCGAGTTCCCTGAACAAATTGCGATCCAGCTCAACGACACTCATCCAACTCTGGCTGTGGTGGAGCTCCAACGCATCCTAGTCGACCTCGAAGGCCTCGAGTGGGACAAGGCGTGGGACATTGTTACCAACACATTTGGCTACACGAACCATACCGTCTTGCCCGAGGCTTCCGAGAAGTGGTCGGTGCCTCTGATGCAGAATCTCCTTCCCCGCCACATGCAGATCATTTATGACATCAATCTCTTCTTCTTGCAGTCGGTGGAGAAAAGATTCCCCAATGAAAGAGACCTGTTATCTCGCGTCTCCATTATTGAGGAATCGCAGCCCAAGATGGTGCGGATGGCATACTTGGCCATTATTGGGTCTCACAAGGTCAATGGTGTGGCCGAGCTGCACTCCGATTTGCTGAAGTCTACTCTCTTCAAGGACTTTGTGGAAGTGTACGGGCCTGACAAGTTTACCAATGTGACGAACGGCATCACCCCCCGCCGCTGGCTGCACCAAGCCAACCCTCGGTTGTCTGATTTGATTGCCTCAAAACTCGGTGGTCACGAATTCTTGACCGACTTGACCCAGCTTGACAAGCTAGAGAGCTTCGTTGATGACAAAGAGTTTCGGAAGGAATGGTCTGAGATCAAGACTTCGAACAAAGTCCGTCTGGCAAAATACATCAAGGAGACTACCGGCTACAGTGTAGACCCTACCGCTCTATTTGACATCCAAGTGAAACGCATTCACGAATACAAGCGCCAACAGCTGAACATCTTTGGCGTCATCCACCGGTATCTCACTATCAAGTCTATGACTCCGGAGGAGAGGAAGACTGTCCTTCCTCGGGTCTCTATCATCGGTGGTAAAGCCGCGCCAGGATACTGGATGGCTAAGACAATCATCCATCTTATCAACAACGTGGCGTCGGTCGTCAACAACGACCCCGATGTTGGGGATCTTCTGAAAGTCATTTTCATTCAGGATTACAATGTCAGCAAAGCAGAAATCATCTGTCCCGCGTCGGACATCAGCGAGCACATCTCGACTGCCGGTACCGAAGGCAGTGGAACTAGCAACATGAAGTTTGTGCTCAATGGTGGTCTCATTATTGGAACTTGCGATGGCGCCAACGTGAGCTGAATCTCCCAGAATTTCATTCCTCTCCCACTAATTCAATCACACAGATCGAGATCACGCGAGAGATCAGCGAAAACAACATTTTCCTTTTTGGAAACCTCGCCGAGGATGTCGAAGACCTGCGTCACCGCCACCTCTACGGCGACTTCCAGCTGGATCCCGACCTGGCCAAGGTCTTCGATGCAATCCGCGGTGGCATGTTCGGAAGTGCCGGTGACTTCTCTGCGCTCATTGCGTCCATTGCGGAGCACGGCGACTACTATCTCGTCTCAGACGACTTCAACTCGTACATTACCACGCACAAGATCATCGATGATGCCTTCCGTGACCAGGACGAATGGATCATCAAGTCCATTACCAGCGTTGCGCGGATGGGATTCTTCTCGACTGATCGCGTGATCGGGGAGTATGCTGACAGCATCTGGAACATTGAGCCGCTTGCCGTGGAGGCGGAAGACTGACCTGTTTGACCCTAGATTACATGCTCCTGTTGTTGTTGATTTTTTTGTTGCATTCATACTAATCATGCCTCTCTGTTCATTGTTACTGCGAGCTGTCGCTGATATCTCATCGTGAAGCACTACAGAGCAAGCACTGTTGCATTGTCAGCTCCATTCGGGATAGCCAGGTCACGTAAGCGTCTATGTCACATAAGTGTATATGAAACACGAGAACCAAGTCCAGGCCCATCAGCACTAAGCGTAAAGTACAATGTAGACTGGCCAGATAATCAGTAACACGCATGCTTCGTGGGTATTTCTAGCACAACACGGAGATATGATATGACCCTATCCCACTGTATATCCCCGCTCATACCCTACATCAAACCAAGATAGCTCTATCTAATCTCAGCTTCACGACGCGCTTAGCTCTTCCACCCGCCGCTGCAGCTCGGGCACCGCACGGAGATGGAGATCCAGCTCTTCTTTCTCACTGTAGATTAAACAATCAGTACCCAGTCAGACCCAACCACGCAGGGGAATCGACTTACTCTTCCAGCTTCAAGCGTCGCTCCCAGTCCAGGTTGGTAAAGATATAATGCCCCTGGCCATCAAACTGCAGGATCTTCTTATGATACTGCCAGAGACTGCGGCGGTGCGAGACGGTCATCAGAGTCGTGCCCAGCTTCTTAGCGGTCTCGTACATGACGCGCTCAATCTCCAGAGTAACGGACGAGGTGCACTCGTCGAGGATGGCGTACTTGGGGCGGTGGTAGAAGAGGCGGGCCATGGCGATGCGCTGCTGCAGGCCGCCGGAGAGCACATCGCGCCACTCCTCCTCGGCGTCCCAGCCGCCGGGGCGGTCGACGACGGAGGCGATCTCGACGATGGCGAGGATCTCGTACAGATCGTCGTCGGTGACGCCCTTGGCGCGCATCTCGCGCACGCCGTCCGGGTAGATGACCTGCTGGCGCAGCGTGCCGCGCGACAGGTACGGCCGCTGTGGGATGTAGAAGATCTCGTCGAAGCGGGGCTTGCGCACGACGCCGCCGTACACGGGCCACAGGCCGCCGAGGATGCGGAAGAGCGACGACTTCCCACACCCGTTGGGGCCGACGATCAGTAGGTGGTCGCCCGGGTGCACGGTGAAGGACAGCTTGCGCACGAGCACGTCGCCATTAGGCGAGACGATCGGCACGTCCGTAAACTCGATCGACTCGCTCTCCTCGATCACGCCCCGGCCCGAGAGCACCGTCGCGTTCTCCTCGATCGACGCCGACGACACCAGCTTCTTCTCGAACCGTCCCGCCAGCAGGTCGTCCATCACCTCCAGCAGCGACGACACCCGCGCCGTGTGCCCGGCCAGCTCAGAGATCTCCTTGTACGAGAACATCAGGCGACCGAAGGCGTCCGATGAGGAGAGTAGCATGCGACGGTTGGTGACGAAGCCTGTGTTTTGTTAGCGCGTGTTGGTTAGCGAGGGATTTAAGATACGTACTTTCGGTGCGATCACCCATCGTCTGGGTGATTTGTCCGGGGATGCGGAAGAAGACGGGGATACTACAGAGGATAAGGCCCAGAGCACCCCAGAAGTACTTGATGACGAAGTCCTCCATGAAACCATGGTACAGCCGTCTCCGCAAGATGCGGTTGACGTGTTTGATCAGTGTGAAGTACCCCTTGTCCAGGGTGTCCTTTTCGGCCTCGTGGCCGTGGTAAAGAGCGATTTCTTCGCTGTAGTCAATGAGCCGCGAGTGGAGGAAGCGGAACTCGCCTTCCAGGCGGGCTTCATCCGCGACATATTTGCCAAAAGGCGGCGTCAGCGCCCGCATGACATTCGCGGACAGCTGCACCAGCAGACTCATAATGAAGAGGCCCTCACCGCCCACGTTCTTCGAGAGCGAATAGTTGTAAATCGCCATGTCCAGGACAGGCTTGGCGAGGTTGGAATACAACTCTGCCAGACTGTCCGAGAATCGAGAGACGTCGACGGTGATCAGCTGGTCGGGGTTCTTGATGCGGTCGTCCAACGCCGAGATGGCGTAGAACGTCATGTTATTCAGATATTTCTCGTGTATATGGTCTGTTAGGCGTTTCCGGTAGCTGAGGGCGAGTCTGCACTGGTGATACGAGAGCTAAACGCAGTTAGTGACGTCCATACCACCCACAACAAGCGACTCAGTCGAGCTCAACGTACCATGGAGTTTGTAAATGTGGCAGGCACCGCAACGATCATCCACCAGACAAGGCCGAGGAGGAAATCCTTCCCCCTCCCTCGTACCAGGTTACTGACGAGCCTCCCGTCGAGTTCGGCGACGTACAGACTGAGCAATGTACGAAGCACCAAGAACACGCTGTGGCCGAACAACAACCGCAACTCCTTGCTATTCCAACCGGGTATCACGATTTTCAGTAGACGCAAGAGGTTCCTGAAAAATTCCCGGTTGACGCCGACTTTTTTACGCGGCCGGTCGCCGTCTTCACCCAGACTGCTGGTCCCAGGCCGTCTCCGCAGCTCCACCTGGTGCTGGGACGCGGCCTTCTGCTCGGAGATGGCATTATGGATGCGCTTGGCTAGGGCAGCAAAAAAGGCGAGATAGACGGTGCGAGAGATCTTCGTGCGGTGGCGGAGGTATAATGAAGTTAGACTGGAGAGCATATGCCGAATGGAGCGCTCGGGCGGGAGCAGTTTCGACTGCGCAGCCATCGCGACGGAGGAGGTATAAACACCGATCTTATCCCGAGTCGACGAAGGCAAACATGACCAGGACAACGGCCGAGGTTGTTTGATGCGTGACTATTCGCAGGGGAGGGAGTGAGAGCGAGGATGAGCGGGAGAGAAGAGAAGGGGGAAGAGGGACGATGGATGACGTTGGAGAGTGAACAGGCGGGCATGTGAACGCGCCCACTCCCCGGTTTTTCTGGAGCCGAGGAACTCCACATCGGGTCTACCCCAGACGGAGTAAGGATGAATAACGTCTACATCACGGACTCAAGATACAGATCAGTCCAATCAAAACTCCTCAGCTGAGATCATATTGGTATACAGAAGTCAACAGGCTGATGTACACCACCCATGACCAAAGCAGATACAGATGCAACACACGTAGAATACATAGGAGAATCCGTTCGAGTCAAGAGAACTAAAACAGCTTAGGACAGTACTATATCCGGAATAAACAGCAACAGAAGCTATAATCATAAACATGAGCATCGTCTCAGATTTGCAGCGAGGAAATAGTCGCCACAGAGCGGTTTCACCTCCGCCGACTCTACTGCCCTTCCGGCACAGTCGGCCGAGTCTCGTTACCAGAGTTAGAAGTCGGTCTCTTTCCACTGTTAATCTGGGCAGCAATCTGGCTCTGTCTGAAACGTTCGAACGCCTCCATGTCCTGTCTCTGGGTCGCCCACAGCTCTTCAACGGTGGAGCCCAGCTCCTCAAACGCCTTGTCGGCGCCAACGCTCTCAAAGTGAGAGCGTGTCTGCTCCTCATGCAGCCGATCAAGCTTCTCTCGGAGAGCCGTGACATGGGAGTCGTCAAAAGAGAGGGATGGGTCGTCATCATCCACAGGGTCAAACGAGGGATTCAGGAAATCGCGGCGGAGGTTCTGACCAAGACGATGTACATGGCCTTCTTCCGAGGTCATCGCTCTTGAGTGGAGCGAAGTTATCGAACTGGTTCGTGACAGACGGAGAGCATACTGATCCGTCTCTTCGTCGTCGATGGCATTTTCGTCACCAGGCTGGCCCATCACCAGAGTGGTGCCGTAAGCAGGTGCACCGTGGGCGTCATCATCTCCTGAGTTTTGCGAGGAAGTCTCCTGGTTGAAAGGCTTCGCAGGTGGCAAAGCCACGCGGGTCTCTGGGTATTCATCCTCGAACCGCTGGATCATCCGCTGTAATGTGATATCCAGGAACTGGAGACGGCCTGAAGTAGGAGCTGAGTTAGTATCATTCAAAGATAGTGGACTGTGTCATCAACATACGGTAATTAGAATCATTCCCAGCACGATCCTCGCGAACAAGCGCCGACTGAATGCGCATGCGGATGTTACGAGCCGACTCCAACAGGTTCTTCGACATATCGCGGGGTCGCTTGGTCACGTAGGACCTGGACTTCCTATGTCTCGGTGTTGTTGTACCGCTGGGCGGGCCAGACACATCACCTGGCATACCCTGGTCCAGATTGCCGAGACACACGCCCAAGGCTTTGACAACACCAGTGCCACCAATAACGTAGTCTTCGTCAGGGGCAGGATCATCATCGTCTTCACAGATTTCGTCGCCAACGTTGTTGCCAACTATGTGCTGTAAAATCTCAGGCACAGGGACAGTCGCCCGTGCGGCCGACGAATCAACCGGTTCGGACAACTCTGCTTCAATAGCGTTCCGCTCGAGGTTCTGCAAGGAATACGCCACAATTTGGGATGCTAAAGCTTTGACAACTTCGTTGTTCTCTGAGCTTGGAATTTCAATATCGACAGCGATCATCGTGCGTGACACGCGCACAGCAGCCATCAATGATGCGTAGACGGCACAGGCTTCCTCCTGGTCCGCAGGATCAGTCGCAGAAGCCAGAGCCTTGATGGATGGATTTTCGAGGATATTGAGATGGCACAGGATGGGACACTCAGGAAGAACTTCAGCAAGGGCAATTGCGTGGTCGGCAGATAAATTCACGTCAGCCAAGTGGATACGCTTCAACGAGGGCATCTTGGGTAGGAATCGCCTGAAAGTAGCCAGCGCATCCGGATGTGACGAGAAGAGATCGGGGTTGTGAGAGAAATCAATAAAACGGAGATTGAATAATTGTGACAGCCCCTGAAGTAAAGGATAGATGGTCGAAGGAGTTAGAGAGCAATCAGCTAAGCTCAGAGCATATAGCGGCAGCTCTCTCTCAATGCTGGACGTGATTAAATCCAAGTCATCTCGAATTGGGTTTCCACCCAGATCGAGGCCTTCGCATTTGCCTGACTGGAGATAATGGACCACGTGTTCGACGCCCTCTCTTGTGAGCTCATTGTTGGCAAATCCCAGTCTCCTTAAGCCAACTGTAGCCGCTGCATCACAGATCTTCTTCACATCTTCTGTACTGGGGCAGCACGCATTGAGCAGCAGCTCCTCAAGATGATCGCCCCCAAATCGCTCGCGGAGCGAACTGGCAAAGACCGATGCGATGTCAATCATGGAATTGCTGGCAGTACCCGGCTGCTTAGCCGGCGCGGAAGGGTCGTTCGTTGAGATGGTCCCTTTGGGGAACGGAATACCCGACAAATCAATAGCTTTCAATGACTTTGCCAGGTGCATGAAAAGAGAGATATGGCGCCACCCCTCCTTGCTGATTTTTGGGTTATTCTTCAAGGACAGCCTTTCAATGACACTGTTTCTCTCTTCTTTTGCCAATAGTTTGGGGTCACATCTCTTGGCTTTTCTGCGCCTCCGCCGCATTTGTTCCACAGTCTTGGTGGAAAGGAGTGCGGCGAGAATGGCTCGGACTGACGCGTCCGTTAAAGCGCAATTCTCCATAATGAGCTTGCGGACTGGTACAACAGCCAACCAGTCGCTAAATGTAGCGATGTCTTCAGAGGTCATGGGGAAATCTGTAAGATCCAGGACACCAACGGTGCCTGGGGATTCTGCTAGAATCGAGGACGGAGAGGAGATCTCATCTACAATGCGTTTCAACACAGGTGTCTCCCGCAGCTGACAACATCGTCGATAGATCCGAACAGGGTCAGTTGTAGGCTGACTCTGTGTTTTCGAGCGAGGTACGCCTGATGCAGCAGGCCGTGGTTCCTCTTCGTTGTCGTCTCCGTTTAGCTGGAGAGGAATTGAACCATTGGCCTCTGCCAGCCTTCGCCTCCTTTCTCTCCTTTGCCTCCGCTCCTCTTCAGACCGCTTTTTCTTTTCCTGTTTCCGAGTAGGCTCTTTTCCTTCACCGTTCGGCTTGCTCTCGGTTGACGGGGTCTCCGACGCTCCTGTGCCCTTGCCAGAAGGGACATTCTCTTGACCCCGTTTCTCCTTTTCAACCACCGCCGCTTGAGGGTGCTTCAAGGCAGATGCTTCGTCTTTCTCCTTGCCTTTGGAGTTGGAACGTTTCACCTTTTGGCTGCTCAGATCAGGGACAATCCGTCGCCTGCTGTTGCCGGGAGGGCTCTCCTCTTCCGACGACTCCCGATACGCCACGCCGGCAATCTCGACATCAACACAGAAGGCTACCCGACGCAACTTCGCCTGGTCCAAATCCGGCACCTTGCATCGGTCTCGACCTTGATCGATATTCATCACGCGGCGCTGGCAGACGGCACCGTTCGCAACCGTCCTGGCCGCACCCCCAGAGCCCGCAGACGACAGCTTCCGAAACGCGCTTTGCAGGAAAGACGGGCCACGTGGAGAAGTTGAGGCGACCGGACTGCTGACCTCTTCCTTTTTCTCCTCCTCCTTGTCCCGGGGGGAATGTGCGGCGCCGAATGGGTTATGCGAATCGAGCTTGGAGACGGGCGAGGTGGATTTGAGCGTCGGTTGGGCCTTTATGTTAGATTGCGACGGTGGCGTCGACCCCGAGGAGAACTTGGAGCTGAGACTGGAGATCCAGGAATTCCTTCTGCCGATGGGCTTCGGCGCGCTTCGTTGAGGGACTGGGGATGCTCCGTTCGGCTTCCCGTCCGCCGCAACACGGTCGCCATTTCTTAGTTCGTTCTCCGCGGATGTGCTTGGGGGTTGCGATTCTTGTTTGGGCTCGGCGGGGCGAGTCGCGGCGTCTTCACGTCTCAGTGGCGGGGAGTGTTTTTCGATGGAAGCCGGGTTCTCCGGTTTGACGGACGGTGCGGCTGAGGACTCCGGTTCGGGGTTCGATCGGTCGCTGACCGTAGATGAGGCCGACTTGCACCGAGACAAGTTGTCTGTGTTATTCGGGTTAGAGAAATGGTGTTACGTGGCGGATGTAGGGCGGCGGGGGCGGAAGAGACCGGGCGGGTTGAAGCCTCACCTTTTTGCGTATGATGGAGCCAACTGACATCGACAGTTTCCACCCCCTCCATCTTGAATCGATGTGATCGGGGAGAGGGAAAGGCCAGGTGCTTGGTAGTGGAGGGAATATAGGGCGTTAGACAAGGATGGCGACGGAGCCTATATTATAATAGAGTGCATAGTCCAGTTGCTTGGAGGGACGATCGATCGTAGATTTCGGTCGGGACGGATCGAACGGTAAGGGAGAGACTCTTATAGTCGGACAGAAACGATGAACAAGGCGATATGTGCCTTTGGACGTAGGGGGGCGATAGAAAACAGTGTCGTTCCCTGCGAAGAATTACCAACCCTGACGGCGGGGATGCTGCATGACGAAAGGACGGCGCATGGCGGACATGGTGAAAGGAGGCAAATGATGGACGAGAGGGAGAGGACAGGCGAGGGAGGATTGGGGATAAAAAGGAAGTAGGGAAGAGTGGAAGAAGTGGGTTAGGTAGATCCGGGTGATTAAGTTAAAGAAAGTAGTAGGGGAAATCTGGGTCCAGTGAAGATGGGTCGTTCTACAGAGGCTACCTAGTATGGTAAGGTCCTAGACTAGTTAACTACCCTATGGCCGGTAGCTAATATTCGCATGATTCCACATCCATCATGAGTCGTGTCCGTTCCCTCTTTTTCTCTTCAGGAGGTCCCATTCTACGTACCATCCTCCTTGGTAGACCGTTTCCCTCTGGTATTTTATCCTCGCCCTCTGTATCCTCAGCCAAGAGACGATTCGCCATCCCCCCACAATCACCTGTGCCCCATCTTTTAGGTAGGGGGACTAGCCCGCCGGAGGGGTCGGAGGGCACCAGTAGTTTGGCACCATGCCAGCGACGACATCGTCTGTTGACCCTATCGGAGGTTGAGGTTCTCAACACTCGCACTTTGCACGCAAGGAATCCCATCACACTCATTTGTCACACCCCATACGTAACCCCGGGCCATGGAAGACGCTGGAAGCGGCTTGAGCGATGCCTTGGCTTTTGCCATCCTATGTAACCATGAAGAAGCTTGTTCCTGCTGCCAGCACATCCTGGTGTAAATCGGTCATGTGTCGGATCTCCCGGGTAATGTGTCGTGTCTGTAGGGTGTCTTAATAACCCTCTGCGAGGACATGCAAAGACCGATCACTGCGATTACCCGGAAGCATACCGCACGATTGGGTCCGAGTCCTGAATTCATGCGCTATTAAACTTCAACATATAGTTGGGTCAAGCTTGAGTTTAAATCGGGGAGGATGATGGAAGAGAGAGAACTCGAATGTCGAAGATCAGGAGGCCGTCAAACTCCATTGTCCACTTTTCCCTGCTTCGACCCACCGCGAACCCACCGATGGTGCTGGGTTAACATCACAGTCGGAAGGGTGATGAAGGGTCGATGTGTAATCGAAGTCGGTGGGAGAGTGGAGGCTTGGCTCAGGTGGTGAATTGCCTGTTTGGGCCTCGTACTCCGTACTCCGTACAGTAGATGAACTACTCCTCTGCCCACCTGGGAATCCCCCAGCCTCCACGGTGCAATTCTGACTACGAAATACTGGTTTTGACTGAGTCGTATGATTCCGTGGGGATAGACGCTCGGGACCTCACTGGATTCGCTCCATACAGGATTCTTAGTCACTGTACTCCGTAGGTGCCCGGAAATATATATCGACTCCAACAACTCGCCACCAGCACATCATATTGATGCAGCTGCCTCAGTACCGAATAGGCCTCCAACGAACGACATCGAACACCGTCCCGTACAATAATGCGATCTACCCAAGAGCCCACCATATTCATTGTACGGAGTATCGACATCACTCCGAGCTGCATACCGAATGGGGATAAACGGTCCGAGACGAATTGGTAATGGCGGTGTACTTAGGGCAAAATCCTTGGGCGTTACACACCGCTAGCATCCACGGAAAAATTTCGCACGAAATACAGCTAAGTAATCAGATTCCTCCTAGACCGAGTCTACTGACTACAATTGTTGATGGTTCTTCGGAGCAGTTCGAATGATCAAGTTCATTTCCATTGTGCACCCAATTATTGCTCCGTAAAACCCAGAACGAAAAGTAACATGCGGTCGTAACAGTTCATCAAAGACTACAACGGGATATCTGAAGAAAACGCCGGTGGGCGAGAGAACAAAAGCCTGTTCCCCCCGGGGATTGATCTGAGAAGATAACGTAAACTTTTGTTTTTGACTATCGTACCCAGTTAAGCATCAAGCACGATGGTAACTTAAGCAGCAAGCTCACGGATCTTCTGCTCCACACGGGCCTTGCGCTCGGCGTGGGACAGCTTCTTCTGGCGGTACTTCTTGCTCTCGGCCTTCCACTCCTCCTTGGACTTCTTGGAGCCCTCCTCCTCATCCTTCTTGAAGGGGTCCTCGCGGATGGCCTTGTGGGCCTCGGCGTAGAGGTCCTCGAGGTCACCGGCGTCAATTTCGTTCTCGGTGTACTTGTGGAACTGGCCGCGGAAGCGCTCCTCGTCGTCATCGGCAAGGCCCTCCATGTACTCAGCGACGTGGCCACCGAAGATGTAGTTGCGGAGAGTCTCGGCGTCGAGCTCCTCAGTCTCAATGTCGAAACCGGGGAAACGGTTCTCGGAGTGGGGGACCAGGATACCACCGTCGGAGGCACCCTTCATGGCACCGAAGACACGGGCACCAGTAGAGGTACGGGCCAGACCGACGTCAAGGAAGGCCTTGAAGGGGCGGCGGGTGTTGCCGTCCTCGGTCTCGATGGCCTCGGTGAGGTTGTACTCACCATCGGCCTCCTCAACACCGGTGAAGTCCTTGTCAAGACCGAGCTTGGTCAGGGTACGGCGGGCAAGGAGGAGACCAGTGGCGTAGGCGGCAGCCCAGTTGGTCAGACCGTTGGTGATGCCATAGCGCTTGAGCTCGTGGGAGTAGGCGCTGGCGAAGACCTTGTCACCGGAGATCTCAGAGTAGACGATCTGGGTGATGATGTCGCGGTTGGTGAAGCGCACAACGAGGCGGTACTTGGGAGCGTTGTACTTGTTCTTGGCCTGGGTGATCAGGCGCTTACGGGCGTAGTAGTCGGTCTTTCCCTCTCTGCGACGACGGTACTTGGTCTGGTAGCGGCTGGGCGACTGTCAGCATAAGATTCCACCATGGGGGGAAAATATATTTTTTTTTCTGACTCACCTGTAATACGCGCTGTTCTTGACGAGCTTGTGGAAGGCCTACAAGAGACATGCGAGTCAGCAATTTGCGCTTCAGAGTTTTCCACCGAAGCATCTTGCAAAGACCCGTTTCGCCGACCATCTGGTGGGCTGCTGAAAACCCCCAGAAGACAGGAAATGCCAGTGGATGGATTTGAACAACCCGAGAGGTTGTCAATGTGGTGTAATAACAATAAGACTCACCATTTTGACGGATGCCGCTGGATGAGGACCGGGTTGTCGACGTGGGCTGGAAAAGGAAGAAGAGAGCGAAGTTTGTGGGCAGCTTTTGTGGAAGGCTTCGCTTAGCGTGAGTTGCATCCCGGCGCAGAACTGGGGTCGGCGACGAGTGGCGGGCGGAAGCTCCTCCGCAGAACAAGACCGCTATGGTGGAATCAACGGACTCTCCCACCACGACGACTGAATTTAACTGTTTCTCTCAAATTAAGGAATGTAAAAGTCTCTAATACATAGAGAATTCGAATCTGTCTCTACTTGGTATCTATCTGTATGAAACACAAACATGACAATCGCTCCGCCTCTGCGTCGATCTATAACATGGCCTTATCCTGGCCCTCCAACAATTGCAGTCCAGTGATTCTCTCCAATTCCTTGACGGCGTCTTGAGTCCGTCCAAGATTGACCTTGAGTGTCCTCAGCCCGGATTTCTTGGCCCACTTCAAGTTCTCGCCAATGTCGTCGAGGAAGACAATGTCGGATGCGCTCATTCCAGGCAACCCTCTCTGCTTTGCGATCGCATCCATATTCTGGATCGCAACCTCGTATATTCTCGGCTCAGGCTTCCTGAGTCCCGTATGTGCGGAAGAGATAAAAAAGTCAAATTGGCTGCGCACTCCACTAGTATCCTTGTTGTACGGGTGATCCGGCGGGAACTTGACTGTGTTCGACAGGGCTCCCAGGACGAATTGGCCGGACTCCTTCAGTTTCTTCAGGGCGGGAGCCATGTAGGGGTCGGGCTGTCGGGATATGCGCATCATCTCCCAGAACAGGAACTCTGCGTCAATCGCAGGTAACGGAGGAACGGGCGTCGAGGCTCCCGTAGGCTTCTGTTTCTGAAGCCGTTCATGGAATTGCTTCCAAAGAGCCGGATTCTTGAGATCTGCGTTGAACCCAGCGAAGAAAGTGGCATCCATTGGGATCTCGCCGCGCTCGAGCTTGTGCCAGCTGCCGTGAGGAGATGTTCGGGAGATGCTGAAATTCACCCATCCCGGGGGGATGCCGTTGGCGATCTCATAGTCCAGAATGGCCTGGAATGGTGACACCACCTGTTGGCCGTTAGTGAGACACATCCAAAGTATAGTTCTTGTGGAGTCGTGCGCCGTACACAGACACCTCCAATGTCGAAAAGTAGGCCCAGAGGCCGTCTGTTATTTGCCATAGCTCGTCACCCCTGCGTCAAGACCAGTCAAAAACAATGCCTGATAGCGAGACTCCTCCACAGGAGTAAATTTGCAGAAGAGAAGCAACTCTGCTGGGCTGGGGCTGGTATTTGTTGGTCGAGACGCTTTTGCGGAGTAACCACTGAATTGGGTAAGCAGATTGCCGAGGTAAGTTGTACACCGCAGATACGATTAGCGACCGAGGAAGTGCACAACATCTCGGGACATAGAGTGAAGAGTATAAGTGTGGAGGACATTGGTGTTTGAGGCCATCCCAGCATAAATGTCCTCCCCTCCTTCCACGGCAGCGGTTGAGGAGTTGTCGATGGTTGCTTTCGTCTTCCCTCCTGCCAACAACACTGGGCCGATCAGAAATCACGTGCCACTGTTATCGATAGGATCCGTCGCATACACCGTGTCGCGTTCTGAAGCAGAAGACGTTGTCGCGATGGGGCAATGGACTCAACTCGCACCATCTCAGAACTCAAGTCTTCTTTTCTGAGGGCGCAGGTGCGTATTCTCTCCGAGAGTCTCGAAGCGCCCGAGGACTGGAGGAGTTATGCCGCGGAGCCCACCGGCGAAGAGGACCTGAGTGACAAGGTGGTGGGGGATGCTTTACAGAAATGTATGGCTCCTGGGGCTCCTTGCCGTATCCGCGTGCTTGGATGCTGACCATAACATACAGTGAATGCGTCCTTGAAGCAGCATAACCGCATTGTCTATTCTTCTCAGGCGATCCAGCATGTCGCACAACAAATCGCCAGCCTGTACTGGTCTTCGGTGATCCAGGCAACACGCGATCAGAATTCCTTGGAGAGAGGGGTTCCCAAATCCGTGGATCTGTCTAGCCATATGTGAGGAGTCGAATGCGAAGGATGCATACCTGGACGACTACTGACGGCAGCCAGGAATATTGCCGAATTGCCAGTGGAGCTAGCAGATGAATCTGCGAGTGACGAAGAACGCCGCAGGTTCGGCCATCACGGATGATTTCAATGTTGTCGCCTGGCTGATGATAGTGATACAGATACCAGAAATTACGAGAACGACTGATTGAACTGGACCAACGACGACAGCAACGGCTGCGACGTCTTGACCAACTGCAACGGCTGCAACGGCTCCTCGAACCATTCCGGAACCCCTCGGACACTATCCAGCCCAATCTTGTCACCCGCGATGGGGAGTTAGTGCAGGAGCTGGAGAAGATGAGAATGCTGGTTGCGCGTGTTGGTGGCCGTATTCACCAGCGCAAGAGGGATCACGATTCCCATGAGGATCAGCCATCATACCCACTCCCGGGATCGGATGAGAAGCTCGAGGCGTTATTTGACATGGCTTAAATGGCGCGGATATATGTATTAAAACCAGGAATGGGCGGGACCTCAAAGAAGGAAGAACAGAGCGTTGAAAAAGTAATATCTTAGCAAGCTCTCATATGAGAAGGATGCTGGTATAGCCGCTGCCTGGCGTGTGTGTCACACAGCAGACCTGTTGATTTCTGAGCATGTAGGAGAAAAGAAGAGGAGAAAGTTCTTTATACTGAGGAAAACACGGCGTTTGATCTATTATTAATTTTTCCATCTTATGCATTGGGTGTTTTCTTCAACGGTGCAAGGGGGAGAACAAAAGCCGGAACGAGTTTCCACACTGCAGCAGCAGCAGCAGCCAGCAGGTACCAGTATCGGGAGGAAATGGAGAGAAGACGAAATCAAACAGACTCCCGCCACAGCTGCATTCACAGTTTCTCGTCACTCATTTTCTGCTGCGGTGCATCTTCCATCTCCAGCCTTCAGATAGTGAAGTCCATCTGATTGTTTACGGTGGAAGATGGAGGATTCGGGTTGCCGGAGCTCAGATTCCGAACCTCCGGCGCTTGGCTGTTTTGGTGATATCTCCTGCGCCGCTCTCCCTCCTTCAGATACATCTTCATCATCGACATCGCAAGGTCCTTCTGCCCTAGATCCTCCCATAATCCTGCCTTCGATCGACTTCCGGATCCTACCTACCTCTCGCTCTCGATCCGTCACCATCGACGCCTCAACCGCAGCCGCTTCCAAGGCACCTTTCGTGCGTGGGCATCGTCGTCGCTCTACCCACGTTACTCGTCGTGACCTTGAGAAATTCCGAAGAGACGTTCTTGGAGTCGAAACTTCGGAACTCCATTTTGAGGACGATCCTCAGCCTCCGGCTGCTGCCAATCCGTCTCTGGACCCTCAGCTCGAGCACCTGAACCGTGCCTTCGACGAGGCGGCGATGTCTATGAACCATAACAGTGGTATGGCCGGTAGCAATTCTGGACAGGGCCCCGTCTTTTCCAACATTGTGGAAAACTTGCCGGCTTCTTCCAACATGGCGAACCCTCCTCGTCAATCCCTCCCCCCGGCAATGCCGCACACCCCTGCCCAGGTCAATGGCGCGGGAATGGCTGGCATGAACGCGGGAATGCCCATGAATGCGGGCCACCAGATGGACCTTCACCACCTTTACGATATGGTGCTTGAACTGAGCGATGTGTTGAAAAACAACCGCGAGATGACCAATAGCATTGTTGCGACCGCCGAAGAGATGTCGGTACGTTTAAGGCACTTTCCGGAGGTGTTTAGGTTTGTGTGCAGCCGGCTGATGGTCGACAGAAGCGTTGCGCGTCTGAGGGAACTTCTCCAAGTCTTCAGCAGGTGAACGGCGAGATTAGTGGTAAGTCACCCCAAAGCTTCTGTATGTTTTAAACATTAACACCAAACGTAGCCGCTCGGATTGCCGAGCTGGAGCGCGCCCTTGCCAAAGAAAGGCGTCTTGTCGAAATCCTCAGGAACGAGCAAGCCGAGAACACGAAGCTTATAGGTGAATACGAAGCCGCTGTCGGGACTATGGTGGAACAGATTCGGAACTACTGTCAAAACAACAATATGCACTTCCTCGCCCAGAAACGTCATTACAACAATCTCCTGCAGGCCGAACGTGATTCCCACTTGGAGAGCCGTCTGGACCGCGATTATTGGCATGCTCAGACGATGAAATGTGCGGAGATGATCCGCACTGCCTACCGGCTTCGTTGCGAGGAGGAAGAAACCCCTGTTCGGATCATTGCTGGTCTCCAGAACGAGGTTCGTGCTTACCGCAACGCCCTGGGTATGGAGCCCGAGAAGCCGGAAGAGGAGTACGGATGGGAGATCCTAAAAGACGTACCGGCAAGCACTGAATAGAGATATGGCCGACTCGTGCATGAGTGATGATGATCTATTTCTCTTGAGGCTTTTTATTTGTCTTTTGACAGGGCGTTTGGCGTGGCTGCTTACGACTTACCGGTGATACCCGCCCATCTATCCCTACATTTTTGTACTCTATTGCATCCCAGCATGAAGTTTGGATCCAGCAGTTTCTTGGGTTTGCAGAATCTTGCTGGTCAAGATTCTGACATATGGAATTGGTTCGCTTCGCTATCACATATGTTCTTTGCGTGTTTATGTTCACCTCGTTGGACCCTGAAATCATTTCAATGCTTGGCTTGAAATCAAGTCATCATACTACTATACAGAAGAGACACCACATTCTTTGGTTCATTCGGTGTAGAAGACCTCATCAAGGACCTTCCACCACCCAGGCCCTTCGGCACTGCCAACAGCTCCGGGGATGGGGCTCTCCTAGAAGATGATTAGCATCTGCTACTCAATTTAATTCTGAAAGTCGAAGACACTGTACCTGCATCCCGTCTGTCATAGCCCACCATTCTCTGACCTTGGGGTTCGCTCTCATTCGCTCCATATCGTCCTCAAAGTCCTCGCCGACATATTTAAATGTGGCAAACAACGTCCGGTCATTATCGAAGAAAATCGAATCTATTCAAATACATCAGAATCGCGTTCTTCAAGTTCAGACCGGTTGACATACAGTCGCAAATGTTGCAGTCCTTGATCTGCTGCAGGACTTCGGGCCAGACATTCGCGTGGCATTCTTTATAAGCTGCCACGGCGGAGGGCTTAAGGTGAACGATCTGGGCGATTCTCTTGACAGGCATTTTCTTTTGTTACCGTGACTGGGTGTTGCTTTGTTTGGTGTTGGGGTGCGTGGCTCGAGGTTTGATGATGTGGGTTAGGTGTTCCTTTCAAGACAGTAAATGCGTGAAGTACGGATAAAGCTTGATATTACGGTTTAGATATCTATTGAAAGGATTGAGACGTGGCAGGTTATGAACGAAAGCCATAGGAACTGAGTCCCTCCTAATGGCAGCCCACTTCTCGGGGGTCTTTAACCCGAGAAGATGACATCGAGCGATATGCTACGATCCACACTTTATGCATCTTTTGAAGAGTGTCCATTAGTCTAATTCCGACAGAGGTATCATATCAATATATCCAACAAATCCCAGAACATGTATGCACCGTAACAACAAGAACTATTCCATGCCTTACAGAGGCGCCTGACAAACTCCCATCGATTCACCTAATTAAGACATGTGAGAAAAAAGAAACAGAACCAGATCCCAAACAAGGCCGAATCTACCGAACCATCTGCTCCCTGGGGACCGGACGGATCCAGGCCACGAGCAGATTAGTCGCGATGCAGAGCACGCCGATGATCCAGAGACTGCGGGCGTAGTCATGGCCGTTGTAGCGGAAGATGATGGCACCGATGATTCCACCGAAGTTGCCCATGCCGCCAACAGCACCAGAAACGATACCTATACATTGCGTTAGCTTTCTTACATTCCGTGATCGCGGACAGCGGAAGAGAAGGGACTCACCATTGGCAAAGGGGTAGACGTGAGGGACGACGGCAAAGTTGGCACCATTGGCGGCCTCGAGGAAGAAGGCCATGCCGGCGGTGAGGCCGAACATGGTGGCCTCGGTCTTGGGGTTCGTCAGGCCCATGGCCACCTGGAAGGCGCCCATGACGACGCCGAGGAACGACAGAAAGATCTTCTTGGACCAGACGGAGTCGGTGTGGCGGTAGAGAAGATCGGCGATGAAGCCGCCGGCGGGGCGGAAAATGACGTTGAGGAGACCGAACATGGCGGCCCACTGGCCCGACTTGGTCTGCCCCATGTGGGGGAAGTTGTCGGCGTAGTACTTGCCCAGGATGGAGTTAATGGAGAGCTCGGCGCCGAAGGAGCAGGCGTAGGGGAGGGCGACGGCCGCAGTGTGCAGGTTGAAGATCACCCTGAGCGCCTCCTTGAACGAGGGGGCGACGACGGTTTCGGTGCGGAGGGCGTCCATCTGACCGAGCATTTGCGGCTCGCGGTCGAGGGCGGTCGACACGGGCGTGTCAGTGCCTTTCTTCTCGACGTCGACGGCGATGTTGGTGAGCGACGGCGCCACGGAGGGTCTCACGGAGGTCCGGCCCGAGGTGAGGTCGACGATGTTGGGATCCGAACCGTCATTCTCGGACGCCCAGAGATGACGCTCCGACCACTTGCCGGTTGGGGTGTCTTCGCAGGTGAACAGCATGCCCAAAGCGAGCGCGACGATGATGATGAATGGGACGACGTAGGCAACTCTCCAGGCCTTGTGAGCAGGGAGGCCCTGAGCATGAACGAGGGAGTCGAAAATGGCGGGCATGACAAAGCTGGGAAGAGCGGTGTTAGTCAGAATGCGGTGGAAGGAGTGCGCAGAATGGAATGGGAAGCATACTATGTGATACCGCCGCCTGCGTTTCCCCATCCTGCAGCGAGGGAGTTGGCAGTTCCCACAATCTTCTTGTCAAAGAAGCCGGTGCACCAAACCTGGCAGGGGACGAAGGTGCCGCCCAGAACGCCGACAAAGAATCGCAGGGCAATCAGGCCTCGGGAGTTCGTGACGAGGCCGGCCATCGCTGTTGGGATAGAGCCGGCGAGGAGAAGTCCAATGAACACATAACGTGGACCGAACCGGTCACAGAGTGGTCCAGCCACGAATCTCACGAGGAAGCTAGAGGGAAAGTGTCAGATGAGAAAAATCGCAGCGCTGCAGGCATACGACTTACGTTGCAAGGAGGGCAACGATGTTGGAGTTTGCAATATCGTTCTGTGTCATGTGGAGGTCTTTCGAGATTGTGACCGTCAACTATGAGATTTGTTAGAGATATGGTTATTGTTTGCACTTGTCTGATGAAGGGAGGTAACTCACCAGTGGTGGAAAGGCATACCACGACAGGAATGCCACCAGGAAGCCCAGCCATGAGAAGAAGAAGACACGTCCATATTGGTCGAAAGGGTTGAGAACTGGGATTGACTTGGCCTTGCGGTTGCTGGGGTTGATCTCTGGTGAGAGAAAGAGTAGTTTGATCGACTCCATTCTGGTCGACCGGCCAACTATATGGGAATGGTGTATTTAAGAACACAAGGGAGCCAGAGCAATTAGGAGTATAGACTAGGGTATCAATGACGAAAATGGAAGCACCACCAGGGTGTGATAGTATGATCAATAGTGGGGATCGTTCAGCAGGAGCTTTCAGCAGAAACGATGTGCGATGGAATTAGGAATCGTGTTGCAATGGTCTGATATAAAGAAAGGGGAGAGACACGAGCTGCCCATATATAGCGATGTCAATTGAAGTCGATAGACTGATGCTTGAATCATAGAGCATCCGATAAACAGGATGATTTCTCTGAATCACGGATGTGGAAACGGAATGTCACCTATCTCCTAGGAGATCACGACGGGACGTTCTGCAAGCATGCACGTCAGGGCACTGGGCCCTTGGGGGTCAAGTTTGGCCTAAAGAAAGAGTAAAGTGGACACTAAGCGCAGCATTCAGCATTTCCCCGGTGTCAATTCCATTGTAGGAACGCTCTGGACGGGAGTGGTCCGAGGAGAGCCCAGCCGTCGACTCTATCTGAGAGGCCTGATATGTCTGTGCTCCGGGAGCAAACGGAGCCAAAGAGTATATCCTTAGGAAAGTTTAGGATTAACCGCCATTTGCCACCAAAATTGGGTTCACTGGGGTCAGACCGGGAGAGTCGAGAGCACGCCCCTCGGAATTGTCCATCACCAGGATCGACGCCGGTACACGAGATGTGTAGATAAGAAGCCGATAGCCACCATGTCGTCCCTTGCGAGAACTCCGCGGGCGACAAAGCTTGGAGGATTGGATCCTTGGCCGGGGAGGGTCGCAGATCGACGTCTGGATGAACTTGATAACCCATGCGGTTCTCATTGGGTGTCCCGGCGGGCGTTTATCGGGACGTACAAGGGGCTCAACGCCACATGGCCCAGCTGAGTGAGCATCATCCACCGTGGACGAGAAGCGAGACCGATGTCATGGCCTGAGGGAGTCAGGCAGCTGTCCCAGCACCACTGTAGGAGGGACAACCCGGGAGTTGAGCTCCGCGGAAATGCGGCGAGGAGGGTCCGTATTTATGGGACGGGACTGATGGAGACAGGAGACAAACGCGGGAGCTGATGGAAGAGATAAAGATAGTCAAGAGGGAGATATGATATCAAAGCATCAGAGGCAGAGATAAGCCTGGCATCGTATGTTGGAGCCAATGAGCACCCGTTAGTCACGTGACATATGTAGCCCTAAGGCAACCGACGGAAATGCGGTTTCTAATCGGCTGGTTCGCGATAGGCTCACATGCGCCGTCATACGTCGTTCTATCTTTGATTGATCAGAGTGGATCTTCAGTCGATCATACTTAGTTATATGTACATTACCGCTGTCTCTTGTCTGGAACACACATCATTTGAACTCGTGGTATTCAGTGTACTATGCAAGGTATATCGAAGCTTCGCTATTCCGTAGAATAGGCAATCACAGATGAAACCACCAACGCCAGATGCGCTCCCACTGTATACACACACATATCCGAACTGCTATATCATCTCCGTCGTCACCAATCAATTACATTCGCAGCCTGCGTCCCCTTGTTCCCAAGCTCTGCCTTGTCCGCGATCTTCTTCCCTCGTATCCCCTTGTACTTGTCGTACTTCAGGAACGGATCCTCCCCTTCGCCCTTCTTCACCTTCCACTTCTCCGTACCGAGCACGGCGTCCAGCTCGTCCACCGGCGGAAGCTTCAGGTAGACCCATCCATCGTCCCGCTGCTCAACAGGGAAAGTGGCGATATTCATGCTCTCATCGTTCGAGCACCGTCCCGCCTGCTCTCCATTGAGCTCGAAGTTGCGCTTGTGGTATGGACAAGAGACCCAGTATTTGCCGGCGTCATCATCTCCGATCAGCCCGTCGGACAGGACGAACGCCCGCTTGTGGGGACACATCTGTTGCGTGGCGTAAAACTTGCCCTTCACTTTGAAGATGGCCAGCTGGGTGTCGCCGCGCTTGATGTTGGCCGATGAGACGGGAGGCTGGCTGTCCGTAAAGTGATCAGCCTTGATGACGGGCTGCCACGAGAGACTTGACCACTGATGGTTCTTGAAGTCCTCCTTGGCGCTGTCCTTGGGCCAGTACGCGGGACGCTCCTGATCACGTTCCTTGATCACTTCGACCGTCTCAACCGTCTCGTCGGTGTTTGCGAACTGCTGGAAGAACTTGCGACGCTGAGGGTCCTTCACCGTCTCCGTCCACTCGCAGAAGTAGCTGTCCACGAGCTCTTGCATCTGTTGCTCCATCTCTGCTCCGATGCCCAGTTTATCATCGATGACGACCTCACGCAGGTAGTTGATGCCACCAGGGAGGTTCTCAACCCAGCGCGCCGTACGCTGCAGCTTATCGGCCGTCCGGATGTAGAAGATGAGGTATCGGTCCAGAATGGGAATGACCTTCTCTGGGGGCACGTCCTTCGCAAGGAGCTCCGAATGCCGTGGCTTGGCGCCACCGTTACCACCCACGAAGATATTGAATCCCTTTTCCGTAGAGATAAGACCGAAGCTGGGCTGTGTTAGTATGATCAAACGGCATGCATGACAGGGAGATGGACTCACTCCTTGTTTTGGGCCTCTGCACACTCGCGAACACAACCAGAGACAGCGCCCTTCAACTTATGAGGAGCTCTGATACTCTTGTAACGCTGCTCCAGCCGAATAGCCATGCCGACACTGTCACCAATACCGAAACGACACCACGTAGTTCCCACACAACTCTAGGGCGAGCGTCAGTAAAAATTCCATCGTCAACGGTGTAAAAGCGAAACGAACCTTGATCGTTCGAAGAGACTTGGCATAAGCGTGTCCGCTCTCCATGCCGGCATCGACTAGCTCAGTCCAGATGTCAAGCAAGTCCTGCTTCTTGGCCCCGAACATATCGATTCGCTGACCACCAGTGATCTTGCAGTACAAGTTGTACTTCTTCGCCACCTGACCGATCGCGATCAGTTTATCAGCAGTGATTTCACCACCGGGAACACGTGGGACAACGGAGAAAGTCCCATTCCGCTGAATATTTGCCAAGAACCGGTCGTTGGTGTCTTGCAGTTCATGGGTCTCCCGGTCCATGACGTGCTGGTTGTAAAGACTAGCAAGGATCGAGGCAATAGCGGGCTTGCATAGTTCGCAGCCAAGGGAGTCAGGGTTCTTTCCGACCGACTTCATAATTTCTTCGAAGGTCCGGAGTCGCTTGATGGCAACCACATTGTAGAGGTCGGCTCGAGAGTAGGGAATATGAATGCACACTGCCAACGTTAGGAAGAGACTTCTGGAAGATGGCTTGTAGTAACTCACGATTGTTTGAAACTTCCTGACCCATGTCCAGCATGGTCTTGTTGAAGATAGACTGCACCAGGGGCATACAGCCACCACAGCCGGTGCCGGCTTTAGTGCAAGACTTGACTTCTCCGATAGACTTGCACTTGCCACTCTTGACGTTCTCCACGACGTCCGCTTTGGTGACATTGTGGCACGAGCAAATCTGGGTATCATCATCGCTATAAAGGATCAGCGAGCTGTGGGAAACTCGTTATCAAATGTGGAGAATACGCACAGGTCATCAGCATTTTCATCACCATCCTTCTGGGCACCAAGGATGAATTGGCTTGGCGGGACCTCCAAGGGCTTCTGGCTCTTGACCATTTGGTTGAGTTTGACATAATCCTTGGTATCTCCAATCATCATTCCACCAAGCAGGTATTTTCCGTCCATAGTGAACAGGTACTTCTTGTAGACTCCACCAAAAGGATCTTTGTAGGTCAGAGCCTTCACTTGGGGCTCTTCCTTTTCACCGTTCGTTGTCTGAGGGCCAGTGGTGATGGATGGTCGGTGGCCCGGAAGGAATTTGGGACCGTCACGGTCGGCGAAGAAGTCACCAAAGCTGGCAACATCCACACCAAGGAGCTTGAGCTTCGTGCTGAGGTCGGGGCGCTTGAAGGTCTTGGGGTCCTTATCAGGGTTGGTTAAGTTGAACGACAACACGTCAGCCATCTCAATACCCGGGGCAATGATCCCAAACGTCTGATTCTCCCAGCTTGCACACTCTCCGATTGCGTAGATGTCAGGAATGGAAGTTTGCAAACTATACAACGTGGTCAGATCAGTCCTACCCAAAGAAGACCGAATGCCTTACCTCTCATTGATTACAAAACCTCCTCGCCCGGCGCGTTGAATGTTCGCCGATACTCCCAGTTCATCACGAGGGCGAACTCCAATCTATCCTTTTGTTAGCGCTTCGGAACAACCGCCGGGAAACCAAAAATATAACATACGGCAAAGCAAATGCAGCAGCAGTCAAGCTCCTCACCATCCTCGAAGACGAGGCCGGTGACATTGTTGTCGCTGTCGGTCTTGATCCGAGCCACTCGCTTTTCGTGCAGGACATCCAATCCGAGCTCGCGGATTTTACGAGTCACCAAAGTGCCGGCGTCACCATCGAGTTGCCGAGCCAAGACCCATTTGTTGCGGTCGACGAGCTTCACATTACCAAAGTCTTCGAGATCGGTCATGGCTTTGGCCGCTTCGAGACCGAGTAGGCCACCACCGACGGTGACTGCGGTCTCACCTTTGTGGTGGGAGGCGAAGTCGATGAGACGTTCCAGATCAGAGATAGTGCGGTAGACAAAGATACCTTTGGCATCGTAGCCTGGTGTGGAGGTAGGAAGCACCGCGTCTGATCCGGTAGCCAGGACCAGAATATCGTAGGCAATGACATCGCCCGTGGAAGTCTTGACAGTCTTCTGATCTGGGAAGACGTCTGTGACGCGGGTGTTGAGATGGTAGTCGAAGGATCGGTCCTTGAATGATCCGTACTGTGTAGAGGTAGGGTGTTAGCATTGGTCCGTCCTTATCGCTGTGGAGATGACATGAGTGTAATCGAACGTACCCATTCTTTGGGGTTGAGGTAGAGGTCTTCGATCTTCCGATGTTCGAAGAAGGACGACAGACCAACTCGGTTATAGGCGACATGCTCTTCTTCACCGATGACGACGATGTCGTATTTGCGTCGTTCCGCGTCTTGTTTGACAATCTTCTCACTATAATAGAGGGTCAGCATGGGGTGAACGGGACCCTGCAGCCCTAAGGCGATAAGAGATAACCATATCGATCGATCTCTCACCACTTGCAGAGATGGATCGAAGATCAATCCACATACATGAACGAGACAGCAACCATCCCCAGTCCCACTACCACAATGCGTTGGCGGCCATTGAGGCCGGCCTGACGCGGTTGGGGATCTGGCAGGGATTCGACGACGGGGGAGGGCGAGGTGAAGCCATTATGAAGACTACCGTTGACCGCAGGGCGGCTTCCGGGCCCTTCTAGGAGGGGCATGATGGTAGAAGGTGTCAGAGACAGCAATACTGAGGCAGGATGTAGAAGGGAAAGTGACACGGGAGAGGGAATAATCGAGTTTTATTATCTGTGGTATGATCGTCCTACATGTCCCCCCATGATTGTCCCACCCACACAATCCCGATTACATTCATCTTGGCAGGACCGATTAGGCTTCAGTGCGTGATGAAATGACGAGAGATGGACTGGTATCTCCGTGGTGGTGTTGGACCCTTTACTACGACAATAACATTCAATGTGTCTGCACTGACATTGGCAAATTGTTCTATAGGAAGGAACGACGGTTGTGAATGGCCGCTTTTAGATGCCGCTCTTATCGGCTGGCGCTGAATGGCCCATCCGATCTGCTGGGAACGGGATCGACCCTCCGCGGAGAACCTTGATTGGATTGTCGCTTATCAGCCGTGCCTGATAGCAATCTCGCGACGTCTGATTGGCGGCCGCGGGAACCTTACGTGAAGCCCTCCGTATCTTTATATTTTATCATTTTTGCATCTGAATCGGGTGATGTTCGTACTAATCGGGCAAGGACCGGGTGTCTCGGGAGCCCATCGTCCATCCCGCGGAGATTCTCTCGTCCATCTTTCTCCGAGGCCCGTCAAGCAATGCTTCCACTTCCCGGTTGGGCAACTCTGAGACGTACACAGACCAGTGCAGTGGAATGAAGGAGTTCCTTCATGTCTGCAGTCAGCAAGCATCTCATCATGGAAACCTGTTGTTCGGTGGGGGCAAACCTCCGGGTTCTTATACATAGCCATGAATCATACCTACCTACCTACCTACTAACCTACCTACTCCTCAACTGACTCTCCTATCAATCACTCTCTCACCTTACTCTATTCACCCATGGTGTTCCCCTGGTAGTTCTTCCTCATCTCCTGACCACATATTCCTTCGCCTTCCTTCCTGCGAACCTTCCCATCCACCATGGCCACCATCACCAAAGTTCGGACGAAATCTCTCGTCGCTGCAGACCTTCCTCGCAAACCGCCCCTGATCAAGGTCGAGGAGGAAGAAGACATTGCCGCTGCCAAACAAGCCAATCTACCTCTCCCGCCTCCTTCTAAACGGCCAACCGAAGTCCTCAGTGTAGATAAGGGCACCCCTGATCACCATGTGCCTCGCGACCCTCGACTTATCAGATTGACCGGTGTCCATCCATTCAACGTTGAGCCGCCCCTCACAGCCTTGTACAAAGAAGGTAAGTCCTCCAGGATCGAAGGCGGACGCTCTTCGTTTCTCTTCCTCACACCCCTTCATTCTCTACTCATGGTGATCCACTGACCCTTCGACTAGGATTCTTGACCACCCAGGAGCTCTTCTACGTCAGGAACCACGGCCCCGTGCCCCAAGTTGCAGATGAAGAGGTCCTCAGCTGGGAGATCAGCATTGAAGGGTATGGAGTTAGATGCTAGCCCGGCACTGGCCCACCCAACCATCACCCTCAACTAACAAAATACCTCAAATAGGCTCGTGGAGAAACCCATAGTTCTGAACTTTCGGCAGATTTTGCAACAATACGAACAAATTACCTCCCCGATCACACTTGTCTGTGCTGGAAACAGACGCAAAGAACAGAACACCGTTCGAAAATCCAAGGGGTTCTCATGGGGCTCAGCCGCCCTGTCAACTGCGCTCTTTACTGGGCCAATGATGGCTGACATTCTGCGGAGCGCCAAACCCTTGCGTAAAGCCAAGTATGTCTGCATGGAAGGTGCTGACAAACTGGTATGTTCTGTATTCTAGACCGTTCCATAACGATCTATGAGCTGATGTATTCCCTTGCTTCATCTAGCCAAATGGCTACTATGGCACTTCCATCAAGCTCAACTGGGCCATGGACCCCAACAGGGGTATCATGTTGGCACACAAGATGAACGGAGAGCCTCTTCGTCCGGACCACGGCCGTCCTCTGCGTGCGGTTGTGCCGGGGCAAATAGGCGGGCGTAGTGTGAAATGGTTGAAGAGACTCATTCTCACCGACGCGCCCAGTGACAACTGGTACCATATCTACGACAACAGGGTCTTACCGTACGTGTTCAGCCCCCTGGGCTATCGCTTGTCATTGGCTAAGAGTATTAGGACAATGGTTTCACCCGAGATGTCCGCTAGTGACCCAAACTGGTGGCGGGATGACCGATACGCTATCTACGACCTCAATGTCAACTCCTCTGTGGTGTACCCTGAGCATAAGGAAGTCCTGGACATTGCCACAGCAGGCCCATCATATACAGTAAGGGGTTATGCCTACGCGGGTGGCGGTCGACGGATTACCCGCGTCGAGATTTCCATCGACAAAGGCAAAAGTACGCATTTGGCAATCCTATTATCATGACATAACGCTAACTTCAAACCCTAGCATGGCGTCTGGCGGACATTGAGTATGCTGAAGACAAGTATCGTGATTTCGAAGGTAACCTTTTCGGTGGTAAGGTTGACATGTCCTGGCGAGAGACCTGCTTCTGCTGGTCCTTTTGGTCTCTTGATCTCGCCATCTCAGAACTGGAGAACACCGACGCCATCCTGGTCAGGGCCATGGATGAAGCTCTGAGCATCCAGCCCCGTGATATGTACTGGTCCGTGCTGGGAATGATGAACAACCCCTGGTTCCGGATCACCATCACAAAAGAAAACGGATCGCTGAAGTTCGAACATCCAACGGACCCCACCGGGCCGGGTGGATGGATGGAACGAGTCAAGAAGGCCGGAGGCGACTTGACAAACGGTAACTGGGGCGACCGGATCGAGGGTGAAGAGCCGCCTGAGCCTGTACCCGTGCAGGAAATCAACATGAAGAAAGAAGGCCTGAACCGCATGATTGATTTAGCGGAGTTCAAGAGCCAATCCTCTGACGAGAAACCACTGTTCGTTGTCAATGGTGAAGTCTACGATGGCACAGCGTTCCTGGAGGGACACCCGGGAGGCGCGCAGAGTATCATATCCTCTGCAGGTTTGGATGTCTCTGAGGACTTCCTTGCAATCCGTAAGCCAACCAGATCACCGCCAACCAGGAACGATTGCTAACCACCGAACAGACAGCGAGACCGCAAAGGCAATGATGCCAGACTATCACATTGGCACCATGGACAAGGACTCACTAGAGGCTTTGAAGAATGACAACTCCCAAGAATCCGATGAGCCCCGTGAAGTGTTCCTCCAACCGCGATCATGGAGCAAGACCAAACTCATCAAAAAGGCGGAGGTATCATGGGACACACGCATATTCACCTTCGAGTTGGAACATGACAAGCAAACCCTAGGTCTGCCTATCGGGCAACATCTTATGTTGAAAGTTCCCGACCCATCTCGTCCTACCGACTCCATCATCCGTTCATACACGCCCCTCTCTGATACAGACATGCAAGGTGCCATGGAGGTGCTGGTCAAGATCTACTTTGAATCGAAGGATGTCCCTGGAGGCAAGATGACAATGGCGCTCGATAAGCTGCCTCTAGGTTCGGTGATCGAGTGCAAGGGCCCGACTGGCCGTTTTGAATATCTCGGAAATGGCCGTGTCCTGATCAGCGGCAAAGAACGCCGTGTTCGTTCTTTCAAGATGATCTGCGGAGGAACTGGTATCACGCCCATCTTCCAAGTCCTGCGTGCTGTGGTTCAAGATCAAGAGGATCCGACCAAGTGCGTTGTCCTCTTTGGCAATAGACAAGAAGAGGATATACTGTGTCGTGCCGAGCTTGATACTTTCGAGGCATCCGATCCTGAGAGATGCACCGTTATTCACAGCCTGAGCAAGCCGCCAGATTCATGGACCGGTCGCCGGGGGCGGATTAACGAAGAGCTTCTTCAACAGTACGCAGCTCCCGAAGAGGAGAGTATGGCGCTCATTTGTGGCCCGGAGGCCATGGAGAAGTCCGCACGAGAAATCCTCTTAAGTAAGGGGTGGAAAGAGACAGATCTGCACTTCTTCTGAATAAGGGACAGTATATAGACACGGGCGTGTGGCGTTTGCGGGTCATGATTAGGACAATGTTGCATACAATACGAAGTAATGCCTATAGATCAGATCTTGGTCTTGTATCTTCTATTTCAAGCTTTGAGAATCTTGTGTTTCATTGTCAAAATTTGCGATGAACACTAGAATGATATGTGGACTAACGCCAAGGGTTTAATCCAAAAAAAAAAAAAAGAGAATACCCACAACTCCAGAAATAATCGAACCGGAAGTACTGTTCACTGACTTTGCCTGAAGAATGTCCAAAATGGGAGGCGACTCCCAGACCCCAATTGTAGACCGACGCCCCGGACCATAAACGTAGTTGTGCAAGAGAAGTAAGGGGTATATTGCATGTGTTGTGCGCCTGGCCTGACTGTTTCTGGTTGAAATGCGTATGTAAAAATGATAGTGTCATGTTCAGAATGGGGATGAGCCTGCATCTCAGAGCATGTCCTGAGTGGTTAGTGGTACCACCTGTGTCCTGCATGGTATTATACTATGGTAACATATGAAAACAAGAGTAAAAAGGGGCGAGAGGCGTAAGCCAAGAGGTATACCGGTCAGAAGCTGCTGATAAGGTGATCAGCAGTGTGGAAGGACAATCTTGACGTATGGTTGGTGGGCGGTTTAGTTCATATACGTATAATCATGCCTTTGTACGTCAAGACCTCGAAGCCTTTTGGCGAGTAGACTCTCTCCAGGCTCAGAACCTCCATTGGAAGATGCACCGGAGTTCGACGGATAGCCTCCATATCCGGCGTTTCCTTTGCTGAGTTTCGTGTATGCTGCAGGCACATCCTGCTGCCATTCGAAAGACCGTGTCTCCGGAAATGGAGTCGCCTCTTCCCTTAAGGATGGGATAGGCTGGAAAGGGTGCTGTGCTTGCCGAGGGCTCGGCGTGTGCTCAGAGATGAACTGCATTTCGCCGAGCTGCCCAGAAGCGCTAGGCCACTTATCACGCATATTGGTGAGAAGATGATGCGGGTACGATTCTGTACCCGCCATTGGCCTTTGTCCTCGTTCCATTAGCGATTTGGAGGTCGCGTCTCGAGGCGGTTTGTAAGGCGAGTATCGGGGATCTGGATATTGGATCTCATTTCGAAGCTTCTCCTTACCGTCGGGGACCCGATTGGCAAACACGACGCGAATACTCGAGTGTAGGTAAAAGCGGCCCCGAGATGGACAGCAGATATTGAGATGAATGAGATACCGCAGAACTGGTTTGTCATTTGGGTCCTCTGAAGTGTTTAAGGACGCTTCCGGGCGATCGGTGCCATAGTTTTTTCGAGCGCTTAAAGGCATGTCAATGACCGGGCCTGCCGAGTAGCTTCTTTGCCTTATGAACGTTTTGGTTCCCGGTTCCATGTCGCTGAGGTCATAGGGAACAAGAAACAGCTTGACAGCAGTCTTGTTGGGATTTTTGATGATTATCTGCAGCTGACCCTGCTGTGGTATGCGATAACAACCACCAGGCGGGCTCCTCGGTGACTCCGCCCTGCGATGTTTTTTCTCTCGCCTGCGGAGAGTATCTTGATCAGTCGATCTGGACGGGCAAGAATTCTCCATTCTAGCGTCATCATGAGTGTTCGCTGGATTCGCATGGCCACGGCGACGACGGCTGGAGCTTGAGACGTCTCTCGCTAGGTTGTTGTCGAGGTCGATCAGTCCTACGTACGGACTAGGGCTGTCATCTGAAATTGAGCGCCCGGTGCCTGATGTAGGGTAACTGTAAAATACCGCAGGGAATGGCACTGTCACATGTGGGGGGCATTTCAGGTTAGGTTTGCATTTTCCTTTCCCGAGGACGCCGATCTGAGCCGTGAAGTCGAGCGGTTTAGATGGGTTCATCGACATTCTTCCACGAAGGATGGATTCCTCATAGGAGCCAACCATCGGAGCGTGAGGTTTAGAAGACACCTCAGAAGAGATTGACGGTCTTCGAGCCCTGGGGAACGGCGATTGAACTGAGGATGCAAGCTGCAGGCTATATGGCGACGTCAAAGATCGCCTGGGATGATGATTTGGCTGGTAAGAGTGGTCTTCATTCCATCTTCCAGACAGATGACCCGATTGAAAATCCAAACCTCGATGAGATGTGGGTGATGATTGCAGTTGCATGAAAGCTTCGGGTGGCAAGGTTCGGCGACGGTTGATCTTTTCCAAATTCTCTTGATGATCCACCAAGTCATTGCGAGAGGAGAAATCCAGGTCCGTATTATTCGCCTGGTATACCAAAGGACTCGTCGGCGCCTTGAGAACGTAGCTAGAAGAAAACGAACCCAGCGAAGGTGCTCTGGCGCGGGTGATCTGTGCGGGCTTCTCCTCGGGTATGCGAACAGACGCGGTCTGACTTCGGGTGGCCGAAGGAAAAACGGATGCGCTAAACCATGGAGTGGTGGGGGAAGAGCTCAAAGGAAGAAAACCGAATCCACGATCATTACTAGGCAAAGGAGACTGCGGTTGGTGTTGCTGATGCCGAGATTGCGAAGTGCCTTCTCGGAAGTCGCCGGAGTGTAATGCTGACCGAGGACGCTCAATTTCGGCAGGCGATGCCAGCCCTTGGTCACTTGGGGAGAACGTGTCGACTGATTCTTTGTTCCCGACTGTCGCTCTTCTCATTTCCGAATTCTCATCTACTGGACTATACTGACCAGGACTTGTGCTTTGGGCTTGGTACTATACGTTCAAGTTAGCATAGATGAAAAGAGCAAATGCGAGGTACCTAGACAAAAAAGCAAGCCGTCGACTTCACAGGCACATACCGATGGGTATTGCGTCCACGATGGACTATCAGCGCTCTTAAGATAGCGGATCAGTCCCTCCCGATCCGTGATTCCCAAGCCAGGAAAGTTGACACCTGAAAAGGTGGATCGGTCTGGAATCTGGTGGGGATTCTGTAGCGGCGGAGATATGCTGCGTTCCTCGCGACGAGGGGGCTTAGATGACGATATCCCGTTTTGTTGCTCATGGTTTCGTATCGGGCGGGGGTCATCAGACCACAGGTCGTAGAACCGCTGACGAGGATCCTGAAGAATAGGCATGGTCACCGGTGACTCAAAGCGCGGTATTCCGCAGGAAACCGAAACATCTCAACCGATAAACCGGGGGACCAATGTGGGAAGAGTGACGAGCGGCTCGACGGGTGAAGTGGCGGAGGAGCCGTTCTAGCCCGTGGAGGTGATGTATCACAGGTAGACAAGGTGTGACCGACACGGGAAGAGACTGCGGGAGCACGAGAGGCCCGTGAAAGAAGAAGAACACAAACAGACAGAGAGAGAGTAAGAAGAGGGTGTTAGGAATCAAGGAGGAGAGAGACGGGGAGGAAAGAAGTATCATGACGAGAGGATGAATTCACGGATGAAACGAAATCGACTCCACCGGCCCGATGACGGATTCGATCATTGCCTGTTCGGGACTGCCGTGATTCCATAATCGGTACTGTTACGGTCACGTCATACCATTTGCCTGACCGCCTTTCTCATTAAGCCTGCAATTAGCCACACCGCCTTCGTATTGTCTTTACCGCGCTTCTTTTTTTTCGTTCGTTCTCTTTATCAGTCCACCACGTCGATAGCCACCAAATTGTGGCCCAACACACCGCTCCAACCGCTCAAGTCAATACTCCCTCGCAGTGACTCACACATCCAAGAATCTGCAGGAATAATGGCACCCAAACGTTCTCGGGACGACCCAATTTCCGATGACAAACCCGCCGCGGAACCTCCAATCAAGAAGAAGAAAGGTTTTACTGTTGGACCAGCAAATCTTCCTGATGGCACTTATCGTCGCAAAGGTTGGCTCTGGACCCGTCAGATCTACACGGCGAGAACCTCTACTAACGCTTTTCTCTCATGTAGCCCAGAAAATCAAGTCCGATTTGATTCAAAAGGCAAAGGTGAAAAAAGCCTACGCTAAAGTCAAAGCCGAGGAACTTGCATCCGCGCCCTCCAAGTCGGTCTACGAAACCATCGACCATGATACCGACAAAGACGGCTCCTCGCCGCAAGAACAAACCGCAGTGGAGATGCATCCCGAGCGACAGGCCATGTTGAACGAACCCGAAGCCGAGAAAGCACCCAAACCAGACCACCCACAAGACCGGAACGGTCGTCGCAAGCGCAAACCCAAGCCGTCTGCGTTCGCCAAGGAAATGGCGATTGCAGAGCAGCGCCGAAAGGCGGCTGAAAAGCGGCGGGAGGAGCGTGAGTTCCGGCAGAAGGATCGTGAGGCCATGGCGCGCGCGCGTCGTCCAGACCAGCATGGCAAACGGCGGCTAGGCCGAGAGAGTCAAGTCTTGCTAAGTCGCGTGCAACGAATGGTGGGTCAGACGTAATAACGTCAGTGAACGTGGTGATGGTATGGGAAAAGTTTGAACATGTTGGACATGATACCCTTTAGATACAGTATGTAAGATATTGAACTGTTTTTGATGACTTATTCAGGTCTGTTTTGCCGATAGTCTTGATCGTCTTGATATTGAGATTTTTCTAAACGTAGAAGTTATGGATAGTTCCCAGGAGGGTCTACGACTCTTGCTGCCCTGATCGTACTTCTGATATGGGTTTCTCGAAACGTATGCATTATTTTATTAATTAAACTGATAGAGACCATCACATCATAAAGAAAGAGTCTAGCAATTTCTCAAGGAACTTGACTCAGGGCCGCAGGACACCACCGCTTGTAGCAGACTGATCCAGAACCCAGCTCGACAATATCCCTCCATCAACCCAAACAAAAAAAGCCTTGCCCTAGCCAGATGTAGAAAGGGTGTTGGAGTTCGCGGCTTGCTGCAGGGCGCGCGGCCAGCGCGACATAAATTCGACATCATCAAGAACGCCTCTACCCTGGTTGCGCACGTACTGGGTAGTGGGATCGACCCGCGGCTCATAGTCCCATGTCTGGATGGTACCCTTGATAAGGGCCGAGTAGACCAAGCGGCGGCGGCGCTGTGAGTGCAGGACATCCTGGCGTATCTTCTCCAAGTTCCAGTGGGTATTGATTTCCGCGAGGAAATAACCCAAAGCTCTGACGGGGTCCATGCCTTCGGGTGTGGGTGGCAGCTTGACAGAACCGAGCACAGACTGATTGGTATCTTGCGGCTTTGGAGATGCTCGGGGGGTGCCCTCCGGGGTGGGTAGTCCAGCCGGCGAGGAAGTCATCGGTTTAGTAGGGACCATTGGGCTTGAGACTGACAGGACTGGTAAGCCAGCAACGAGGTTTGTCTTTTCTTCTGGGTCATTGACGAGATCGAAAAGCATCGGCGGATCGATGGCCGAGTACACAAACTTCCAACGGCCGCGGCGAATCATGATAATTGGTGCTTGGGTGCCCTCGCCCATATACTCGCCGTAGACCGTGTCAGTACGGAGGCCTTCTCTGCCGGTCAAATAAGGGACCAGGGAGACTCCATCCATAGGAAGACCTGGAATGAGTTGGGCGCCCACGAGATCAGCGAATGTCGGCAGCAGGTCCATCGTCGACACGTTCTCAGGGACTCGATGAGGAGCGAAGCGCTTGGGAGCGTGGAAAATCATCGGAACGCGGGCGGAGTTTTCAAACCAGGTCATTTTATACCACAGTCCTCGCTCACCAAGCATATCACCATGGTCGCCCGTAAACACAATAATAGTATTCTCAGACAACCCGGTCTCCTCGAGCACACGCAAGAGTTTACCAATGTTAGTATCCACGTATGTGCAAGCTGCATAGTAAGCACGACGTGCGGCACGTATACGATCCTCAGGAAGCTCTTTGTTCCACAGGTCAATACACTTGAGCACGCGTTGTGAGTGTGGATCCTGTTGATCATGCGGAATAGCTGAATGCTTTGGCAGAGGGATCTCGACATCCTCGTACAGATCCCAGAATTCCTTAGTTATTGCATAAGGATCGTGGGGGTGTGTCATGGAAACTGTCAGGCAGAATGGTTGATCATTGCGGTATCGCACCTGATCATACAGATACTGGGTTGACTTATAGATCACTTCTTCATCAAAGTCAAGTTGGTTGGTGCGCACCACAGGTCCCGCGTCCAAGACGGAGGACATATTATGGTAATAGTCAAGACGGACATCCTGTGGATAGACTTAGAATAACGAAATACAATTGACTGATCCTTGATTGAGGTATTGATGATTCAGTCCCAGGAGGGGAGGCATACCGGCTCATCCCAGTTCACCGACCAACCATAGTCACCGGGGTAGATGTCACTAGTCAAACGCTGCTCATAGCCATGTAGCTGATCTGGTCCACAGAAATGCATCTTACCTGCCAAGGCCGTATGGTAGCCTTCGCGGCGTAAGTAGTGGGCATAGGTCGGGACATCAGCGGGCAGGTCTGCAGCATTATCATAAGCACCAATTCGGGACGGTAGTTGACCGCTAACCATGACAAAGCGTGATGGAGCGCACAGTGGTGAGTTGCAATAAGCCGAGTCGAAAACTACACCATCACGAGCCAACCGATCGAGATTCGGGGTCTTGATGGGTGATGTTGGGTCGTGGATGGACAACAGAGGAGCCGCCATCTGGTCGGCCATGATATAGAGGATGTTGGGTCTCTTGGCCTCCATGTTGGGAAGATCGCAGGTAGATGGTTAGGTAAATTTTGGGTCTTCTTGAGATGGCGGAGGAAAATTGATGGAAGTGGGAACTACTCGAGGAACATGATTGAGGGCTGGGAGAGGGTTTGTATAAGAAAGCTGGACATGGTGGAGCCTAAGGACGTCAAGCTTGAAAGAGCACGCCGAACAATGACCAGATTGGGAGTAGCGAGTGGTCTCACTGAAGGAAATGGAGGATTCCAAGCTACCATCTGACTGACTCTGTAGCAGGATGGCTGATGGACGGAAGTATGTGGAGTTGCTTGGTTGGTCGCATCTTCATACAAGATGTGTTGACCACCTTCTGTTCCAGTCGTAAAAGGGAAGTATAGCCCGGAGAATGGCGGTATCATCCGTCTTCACTTCAGCCCATCCACGCGTATCTATTTGAATATCGGCTGACTCGAGCTGAGGCGCAATCAACCTGGCCGAAGCTGCCTGATGCACGTATCTGAGATGATGATCCCAAACATTGCCTTGGAACACGAGAGGTCAGCGCCTCATATTGCCTGTTGTCTTAGCGTTGGCGCATCATCACGGGAGTGTACTCGAAGTAAAAAGGGAAAATCTCCCCTAGTCGCCTGGCCCAATTCCCAATTGCCGACGACGAATCATGACACGGGGTTTTAGTTCTATAAAGTAATCAATCGGATGGATAGGTCGCTCATGACGATATTATTCATTTGGAGAAAACCGAGAGTTGTTTGTGCCATGATTAATTGTGATCAATGGTCCCACTTGGAGACAGCCGGAGCGCTTTTGCCTGTTCAGCCAGAAATGGGAATCCCATCCCGACTGGACGGAGGAGATTCTCCAGCTTGGCACAACCAACAATATGTATAGCCTCGCTGGTTGTTCATGTATACGCGTGAGGGAGGGTTCTATTGCAGTGAGCACTCTACTGATTGCCCCAAGATTTCTAATGGTGGAGATTCGAATGATCATCCTCAAAGTATGGTGGAAAGTACTATCTAGGAGGTATACAGCATGGTAACCATACTATTGATTGAGTGAATGGCCTTTATCACAATTGAGTCGTCCTTGCAATATGCACTAGGAATGGGGCCTTCCCATGGGAAGCCTATACGGGCATAATTCATGTATCACGAGATAGCAGGGGGCGATCAATGCAAATGCCATTTGGAGTATGAGGATTAGATATGAATAGAGCATTTCCGGTGATGATCACTTACTATTGCCTGATTCCGTCCTTCCTCTCTCTGTCGACTATCTCACTTGTCATTCTCATCCACAGATTATCCAATTCTACTATATCCAAGTCCACATTGAGCCCTTCGATTCTCCAACGACATTAACAGCTTTTGAGATAGATATTGTTCGCTATAGACTCTACTTGTTTACATCGTGGATCCTCGCACTTGCAGAGATGAACGATCTTGACTGGCCTGCAATTGGGCACAAGCCTGAAATACCCTCAAAGCAGGAGATATTGACCTAGAGGGTAGCTCAAGCTCTACCACATCCCTGAAAGTGATGTATGCTCACGACTCACAGAAACTGTAGGTCAGCAGATAGAAATACAGTCGAGAGATGCTATCCAGTATCGCACATGTAGTTGGCAAAAGGTAGGCGCCGCATATTGATATTGTGGGAACATCTCATCTGATCCGTTAACAGACGGCTGGGTCTCTTCTCGCAGTACATCTGCATCGCCACCATGTCATTTTCCTTGGCCATTTTCAATTCTTGGGCTTGTCCCAGGGCTACTGTTAACAGTAAGCGTAGCGTTGATAGTGCTTTACACATTGTTGACCATATGGTACGTCGCATAGCCTGCGAGAATGGTTCTCAGACCCTGACCCTGGGCTACAGGAAATTTTGCCTTCGAAATTCCGAAGTCCGCGACGTCTGCAACATTGGAAAATCTTTATTTTGGGGCTCCGACATTGCATGGTATATGACTGCATTCATGTTCCTGCTGAACAACACCTTCATCCGGCTCAGCTCGCCCTCAGCGTGGTGGTTCGATTCTAATCTTTTTTCAGGGATTGCATTGTTTAGGTAGTAGGTGCCGAGTATCCAATACCATGTCGGACGTTCGCATTGATCACTGCCGTGGCTACGTTTCTGTTCTCTCTACCGAAGACATTCAACGCACTCTCGAAAGCAGCTACCTTCTCTGCAGCGTTTACCTTCCTTTCACCACTTCTAGCCATGATATTCTCCGGGATAGAGGACCACTCGTACAACTGGAGCCCAGAGAAACGGAACCCGGTGGTGATCCTCTTTCCAGCAAAAGGTACAACCTTCATGCAGGGGATCGGCGCGTTCCTGAATATCTGTTTTACATTCGTTGGGCAGATCACATTGCCCAGTTTCATCGCGGAGATGAAAGAGCCGGGTGACTTTCGGAAATCCGTCATCGCGGTGACAGTCGCAGAGATTATCTTGTTTAGCCTGGTAGGAGCCCTGGTTCACGTGAACGCTGGGAACCGATACATAACCTCGCCAGCCTTTGGGTCCATTAGCAATGATGTTTATATGAAGGTTTCCTACTCGCTCATGGTGCCGATATTGGTCTTTCTAGGCGTACTCTACTCTTCCGTCTCGGCTTGCTTTATCATCTTCCGCAATTTCGAAGGTACTCGTCACAAGGGTAAGCATACCGTCGTGGGCTGGGCCGCCTGGAGTGGCATTCCGATGGTCCCCTGGATTCTCGCGTGGGCAATCGCCGAAGTGATTCCCTTCTTTTCCAGTTTGCTGTCGATCATGGGTGCCATATTTGGTTCCTTCTTCGACTTCATCTTCTGGGGCGTTGCCTACCTCCGCAAGCGCCACGCCGACTACTGACCCCGGTTCTACAAGAGACGAGGTCTCCGTGGCTGGCTAGGATTCGTCTTCAACGTTGGACTGGTCCTAGCTGGTTGTTTTTGCTTGGACCGGTACATACGTATGGAATCCTGGCTCTTGCTTGGTTTGCTTCTTCATCATTGGAGAGGTGCGTCTAATGCTAACTGTGAAGGCATGTAGACTTCGATTCTCTCTGTAGTTGAGAGCTACCAAGCCGGCGGACATTGGCAGTGCTTTCGCATGTGCCAGTAATGCGCTGCGAGAGTAAACGTCGGACGATGAACCCGATGAACTTCCATTATGGTAGCCTGTCCCCAGATATCCCAACGCGCTTCATATTTATTGCTTCTTCCGATTTCATCTCTTGAGCCCTTGCGACGAGTCCGACGCAACCCAGTATAGAGCTGGAAGTCCATTCCATGTTGACACGGACCTGTTACTAGCTCTGATACTCTTTTTATCTCATGTGATGAAACATACAGCCGTCTGTGTGAATCTTCCTCGGTGTAGTACTTTAGTCTGGCCGATCACCAATCGGTTTTTCCCGGAGAGCTCGCGTGAAGATGATGGATAGAACTTCCTGATTCAGCTGGCGGCATCGGACTGCCGCTTTGGGGGAAGCAATGCCTGATCAGGCGATGATTGTTCTGTAGAGGAACATGACCCAAGGGTGGCCGGGGAATAGTCCGATAGGAGTCGGCAACGTGCATTTGGTGGGGATCATCGGCACTTCCGGTGCAGTCGGGGCCCAAGCCGGGCAGGAGGATTTCCTTCTCTTCCCACAACTCACCCACAGCTTCATCCTTATCAGGTGCCGCGTCCTTTTTGTCAAGTCCTTTCCATCCACATCCTGTACTTGATCTCCAGGACCAACGATCCGTCTTGGGATTAATCTTGTCATTTGCACGTCGGAAAGACATTCGGATCATCATCCCAGCCACTACATACAACCCCCACTTGGCTTCCAGTGACATCCGGGGCTTGTAAAGAATCGTCATGAAACGCTTCACCGACAGTGTGGTCCTACTCCACCGGGGTATTTCATCGACGATCCCAGTAGGGCTCTGGCGCTAAGGCCTCGAGATGTCCACTCCGTGTCCAGTCTAATCTCCTCCGGGGTACTCCTTCATCCATGTGGGCCGTATTATTGCGCTGTCAGAACGGGCTCTGGGTGTAATCTCCCCAAAGGCTAGGCGATAACCAACCTGAACGAGTGCATTATTACCACCACCCAAGACTACTAAAGTACCGGTGGGCGGTAGCTACGTACATGAAGCGGCTGGCGTCGGGCCGGTCTTGCCTGATATCACACAGAAGGAAATCCTCGACCTCAGGTCCCCTTACAGAGCAACGCAATCGAATCGAACCGTCTTTGGAATCGGGAAGCGAAACAAATGACCTCTTCCCCATCAGCCGAATGGTCTCCTCTCAGGTTACAGACCCCCAAGACCCCGTGTACCCACTGTCGATCCAAACACCTCAAGTGTATGTCTCACGAGGAGCGCCTCTTCTCTGCCAGAGACCCAAATTAACCTCCCCCTTTAGGCACGTATGGAGATTACGAGTGCCAACACTGTCAAGATTATGGCCTGACATGCACCCGCCTGGACAAACCACGATCCTGCCTCCAGTTTCGGCCAGGCATCCGCAGCCCGTACCGGAGAACATTCTCGCCAGGCCAGGTTTGGGTCAGACCCAGCCACGGGTGGAGTAAGCAGTCAATCTATCTCAAGAAGCATCCCACTCCTAACTTTCGATGTCAGCGAGACTCCGGTTCCTGGATGAGACGGTCGACGTTGTCGCCAGCTACTGTCCCGTGAATGCCGCGGGAGATTCTACATGTGACGAACATGTGAGTCAGGACAAACACATTAAATGTTCCAGAGCAGCGAGATCACACAGCCAGGCATCAGACGTTGACAATTGGGAGCACCCCAACCACGGCCTGTTCCCCGAGAGCGAATGTCAACATGAGGCTGGCGTCCCCCCTAATGTCTCGTCCGCCAACACCATCAGTTGGCCGCCCGTCGTGCTGTCTCCGGGGCCCGCTTTGGACGCAACTCCCGTCGCGACTCCGTCTGAGGAGAGGTCGGTAGACCAGCCCGTAGAGCTCCCGAGTGATACTGACCTGCGCCTCCGAGCCATTTTGCTGCGATACTTTGCAGAGGAGATAGGCCCCCGGTTTGACGTCTGCGATGATGAGCAAACTTTCAGCCGGTTAGTCCCTCAGCACGCTCTCACGTCGCCGCCGTTGCGGAGCGCCATCATGACCACGGCCGCCCGCCACCTGACCCGTCTGCAGAGATATCGCAACTCCTCGGGCTTGATTGAATGGCAGGGCCATGTCTTGCCGGATCTGACGGAGGAGTCCGCCGTGCGCTTTCACAATGAGTGCATCAAGGAACTGCTCCGTCTCAGCGCAGACGCTCAGCAGGTCCACAATGAGAACCTGCTAGCAGCGGCGATTATTCTCCGTACCGACGAAGAGATGGATGGCCCGCTCCGCGGGGGAGAAGAAGACACGGAAATCTTCCTCGGCATGTTGAACGTCTTCATCAACGCCCAGGTGCTCTCTGATTCGGCAGTACCTCGCAGCCCGTCTCCGAGATATGGCACCGACTCTCACAGAGGGCACACCCCGACCCTGTCTCCATCAGCCTCGCAGTCTGTCCCGTCTTCAAGCGCACACAACCCCATCATCCCATCATCCTCCAGCCCGCGTGTCCCGCAGCCAACAGGACTCCGACAAGCTGCGTTCTGGGCTGCTCTGCGTCAGGAGCTCTTCACCTCCTTCATGAAACAACGCCCGCTCAATTTCCCCCTGGATCATTGCCATGAATACCGCGATCTCTCTCCCACCGAAGACGTGATCTGGGCGGACCGACTGATTATTTTTTGCGCCGACGTGCTCGAGTACTGCTACGGAACCGGTCACTGTCGCGTCAGCGACTCCCCATTACAGCATGACCATGCCCGCTGCCGCTGGCGCGACCTAAAGGAGTACGAGCGACAACTAACCTCCGCCCTTCCCGACACTTTCGAGCCGGTCTATTGGCGGCCACCGGACCCCGAAGCTGGAGAAATCTTCCCCGAGATCTGGCATCTACACAGCTGCCACGTCACCGGGACCAACCACCTGGAACTAGCCCGGATCTTACTAGCGGCCTTTGATCACAGTCGACCGAAGCTGGGGCCTACCTATGCCGCCAGTCAGAGGGAGCTGACGCGCACGTTGAAAGGGGCGGTTCTGAGGATGTGCGGGACCGCGCGATGTAACGGCCGCTCTCCCCCGGCCTTCATCGAGGCCCTCATGGCAATCGCCATGTGCGGGGGATACTTTGACGACCCGCGGGAGCAAGACGCGTTGCTGGGGATTCTGAGGACGATGAGACAGGAACACGCGTATCCGACAGGCAAAGTCGAGAAGGCGTTGATAGAATCCTGGGGCCATGTCTACTATGACTCTACGGCAGTATACGGTGCTTTTACTAGGTGTGGGGCGGAGAGTGGCGAATGCTCATCTCCCCAGTAATGTTCCATATGCTATCGTCATACAGGCGCGGAGTGAGAGTTCATAGTAAGTAGGCTAGCCCATCACTCCACCGAATTGAGACCCTGTTGAACATAATCGCGCCGAGATGTATGAGGTATTTCATTGCCTGAGCTCTAGGAGAAGTAGTTATAGGACTAATAGAGTCAATCGTACTGTCTAGCGTCTAGTGTAGCAGACTATGAGTACGTAGGTGGATTCTGATATTCTTTCCTCGTGTTATTAACTCAATAATATCTCTTCACATCCAACCTCGCGAGCAGCTGATCAAAGACTACAGTAGAAGACTGTCGCGATGAAGACGTCATCCCCGATCGACTCGTAGTCCTGCTCGCCTTGACTTCGTCCAAGCCACGTAGATATCCAACAAACGCCGAGGTCTGTTTTCGAAAGAGAGCATACAGGCGGTAGACGGTGGTTTCGCTCTCGTGACGCACGCCTCTCAACCCGTCGATTCTCGACAACGGAGCAAAAGCGAGAATCGTGCCGAAAATACTCTCGAGCAATTTGGCAGCTTCCGTATGCCTTTTGCTGAGGAAGAGCGCGAACAGCATTTGGTCGAGGATGTCTTCGTGGTAGTCCCGCAGCCCAGGAACAGAATGAGCGACTTCAATCGTGCCATCAAAGTCTCCCTTGTCAAGGCATGTTTCGATCTCGGTTAGGGAATCCTGAAATTTGCGCCATGTGGACCCAATCCCGATATGGAAGCAATAATCGCTTAATGACAGTACGAAATGCTGGCAGTCGATGCGGAATTTCTGAAACACGTTCCGCGTGTCGCCAGAAAGTGAGTTCCTGGCGGTAGAGTCGCGGATGAGGCTCTTAACGACGGAGACCATTCTGAGAAGTCGGAGTAGATGTTTGAAAAGACGATCGTATTTGGCGAGCGACCGGTACGTGATGATGGTGCTAATGACATCCGAGGGTTTGTATTGCAAACGAAGGAAATCCAACGCCTCGATGGCGTCTGGATCTTTGCATTTGACAGCTTCTTCATCGGTCAATTCCCGGATAGAGAAGCTGAGGCCCCCTGGGAGCTCCTTTTCCCTGCGAAACTCCGCGTTTTCCGTGCTGTCGCGCTGGTCGTCGGCGTTGTAGCATTCGTCGAGAAGCCCTATAAGCACCAATCGTAGTTCTGAACTCGCGGGAGGCCAAGTGTCTCGGCTACCTAGACGCAAGCCGGCGTGGACTTCACTGCGAACAACGCCAGTTTTTCGTTCGCCGCTTTTCATTTCGGGGTCGAAAAGGGAGTGGGAAAGACGCGATGCGAAGAACCCGTCGCCGAGAAGCTGGAAGCGCCATTGCAAGCCTAAATGGTATCGGAGCTGGTGCTCTTTGAAGAGCATATGGAGGCAAGAAAAATCTATCAGGGATGCCTGAGAGGAAAGGAAAGGGGCCATGGAGAGATAGAGAGATGCCGCCAGTTCTGGGCCAAAGGCGTTTTCATTACCAGTCACAATCGAACCGGCGTCGACTAACTGGCCAAGGGGATCGCTTTCGACGGAGGCTTGATTGTTGAGTAATCCAGTCACTTTGGCACTGTCCATGTCGAACAGATCAAAGGCTCCTGATACGACATTGTCACCATCCAGTACGAGGTGTTCCGGAGTAAAGTCGCATCTTTCCTTCTCGAAGGATCCATGGCGATTATACTTGAGTATTTCGGCACGAAGTTCTCTCTCGTATGTTTGAGCCTTGCTTTGTATCCGCTCTATCTCAGCCCACGATCTCGCACAATCAAGCGTGGAATTGCGAAATTTGCCATTCGCAATAGGATGCCGAGGATGAAATCGTTTCAGGAGACGAAGACTCCGTCCACTCTCGAAAATCAACTTGGCTTGGTCTGAGGGAACGAAAGACGGCATCTGTTCCGGACAATATATGTAGTGATCCATTTCCGCTTTGGAAATCTGTTTATCGCTCTCTTCTGGGTGTCTTAAGGACACGAAACTTCTCCCGCTCCGTGCGAATTCCTTTGACGTGGGAGTCTCAGAGCGGAAACCCACCCAACTCTCGATGTGGTCAAGAAAAGGCCTGGCGACACGAGTAGCTATCTCGCGAAAGAGATTTTCCATGTGCGCAAATGTTTGAGAGAAATGCGCAGCTCTAGCCAGAACAATGGAAATTATCTGCGATTCGGTTGTGGGCCCCTCGATGGATTCAATTATGTTTGCCAGGGCGGCCACGATCTCACGACATGGCTCAAACAATGACTTGATCCGGAGAACAGACACAGCTTGTTTGTAATTCCGGACAAGCTGGGCTTCTAGTGTGTAGACAATCACTGCGGCAGCACTGGAAAGAGTGGACAGTGCAGAAGGGATACCCGAGCCTGAAGGTGTCTTGATAACGAAGTTTCGGACCCTCTGCATATCTGTACCGCATCGTATCATCTCATCAACCAATCCACTAAGCGCAGTAAGACTTATTCCCGAGACCCGGACATCCTTGAACACCCGTTCGAACTGTGCCTGTTGTTGGTTGTAACGAAAGAACATGGAACTCCAGCCCAACCCCAGTCGAAAGAGGGAGCGAAAGAAGTAATCATGACGAGCTGTTCGCTGCGACTGAGCGGCGTAGTCCGATGTGCTCCGTCGATTCAATGCCGCATCAAACCCCCAGGCTCCTGATTCGCTAAAGTATGCGGAGGGCGGTTCGCGGTATGATCGGTCGCCATATTTCTCCCACGACCTCAATGCATCTTTCTCAATCGGACCAGAGTTCAGGCTATCCAGCGCCCAGATATTCTCCGATTCCTCCTCGTTTTGTTCGGTACTGGGGTCATATTGGCTATGGATGGACGCATCTGTTGTCGACTCGGATGGGCCGTCTGAATCGGAAAAGTCGAGTTCGGAAATGTCCAGCTGGTGAAGCTGAGAACCATTCTCTCCTACCAATTCCAAAGGACTTTTGAAGAACCCGCCGACAAGATCTAGATCGCATTAACGGTCAGCAGTCGCGTAGTCGAAAATAGCACAGGGTGCATACCGGGCAGCCCCTCGTCCCATGGCACAGGATCTAGCGGCTGGAGGGACTGCAGCGTGAACTGCGAGATCCTCCACAGACCTTCGCTCGAGAATGGGTCGGTAGCGTAATCATCGTGGTCCATCGTCAGGGCGCGACACTCGCTCCACGGAGCAGACAACCGGCGGAAGTTCTTATCAGGCACGACGCGTTGGCCGCGCGAGGTCACGACACATTAACCGTTCCAGGTTTAGCGCCTGCCCCAGCCCATGCACGGACCACCGCTTGTTCGGGAAACGAAGCGGCAGAACTTCGCGCTTGTCCGCCAGGTTACTGACAGAAGCTCGACCGCCGCCACCGCCGGGCCCCCCACACTTTCACTCGCTGTCGTCAATTGTCCTGTCCGAGATGCCTCCCAAGAAGAAACCCAAGCTTACGGCGCAAAGCGACTCTGTACCGCCGTCTGCGAGTACTCCCGCCAGCGACAGCACTACCCAACCGAACGCGGACTACGACCCCGTCACGGACCCATGGACCGACGAGCAAGAAACAGCTCTCTTGAAGGGTATCATCAAATGGAAACCCGTTGGTTCGTACACCTACGATGCCCGCGAATCTCTTAGGAGGTTACGGACCGGTACTGACTGGAGAGCTCTTCCCAGGCATGCACAAGCATTTTCGTATGATCGCCATTTCGGAGTTCATGAAGAGTCAAGGTTACGCGCCCTCGCATGCAGAGCATACACGGATACCAGGGATTTGGAAAAAACTAGGGACGCTGTATAATCTTCCAGCCCTCGATGAACGGGTTCGTGATCGCAGCCACGCTCTACCACTCGGTTTCGGTCACTGATTCTCATAATGAACACCTTAGGAGGATTCCCTTATAACCGATGCATCCGACGATGCCGAAAGCACGAAAGAACTTTATTGCCCCTTCGAACTCCCCGATGATGAATACGGCGAGATGATGTTTGAGCGCAGACTAGCGATGGAAGGGTCTGCGTCCCCAGTTCACAGTATCCGTGCAGAGTCCCGGAGGGCCAGTACAGTAGCGGATACAGATGGTCAGTCTTCATCGCGCTCGGGACTTCATTCAATGTTCCGTCGGAGCTAACTACGCATTTAGAACCCCGGTCCTCTCCAGCACCGTCGCGAGGACGAAAACCGGGCCGTGGCGGGCGTCACTCGACACGAGGTACTCGATCGTCGCGTCTCCAAGTCGAAGTCGAACCCCCACGAAAGGAGTTTGGGGCGCCCGAAGAAGACGAGGATTCGGATGAAGAAGGTGGAAACGACGAAGGCGACGAAGAAGGGACCGATGGCGCAAAGGAGGATAGTGAGGCCGACGACGATGGCGAAGGCGGTTCTCCAACGACGCGAAGCACCCGAGCACAAACATCTCGCTCGAAACAGAAGGAGAAGAGAGCGGCCACGACCGGTTCCAGGAGAGGTCGACGGCGACAATGATTCACTTGTACAATTCTGTATTGATACCTCGGATGACTACGGGCTGGCGTTTGTTTTGTCGGTTGAGAATGCGCAAGCTGCGTGTGTAGTACAACTAGTCTTCGTCATTTCTCACGGTCGCATCACCCATGATTTATTGCGGGCATTACTGCCTTACCCCCAGAAATTTGCGCAATGGTTCGTCTTAGGGTAGAATGCGCCATGTAATTTTTACAGAACATGTACTCAATATTCAAGACGGCATCTAATTGGAAAAGATAAATACATAGTGGGACATATAATAGATCACGGTATTGGGTCTAAGTCATTCAAGGGCTAATAAAAAAAGAGACGGGGAAGATAGTACAAGGCGTGGCTATACAAATCCCTTACAGCTTCTTCATGATGGCCTCAGCGTACTCGGAGGTCTTAGCCTTGCCACCCAGGTCACCGGTAAGGGCCTGAACATATACATCAGCATGCTGCCACGGCTACCCATGATGGGAGCAAACGGTTGGAACAGTGTTTCTTACCTTTCCTTCGGCGAGAGTGTCGAAGATAGCCTTCTGGATACGACCAGCGTGCTCATGGAGACCCATGTGCTGCAGCATCATGATACTGCTGAGGAGAAGGGCAGTAGGGTTGGCAAGACCCTTGCCGGCGATGTCAGGGGCGGAACCGTGGACAGCCTCGAAGATCGAGCACTCGTCACCAATGTTACCGGAGGGAGTAAGACCGAGACCACCGATCAGACCGGCGCACATGTCGGACAGAATGTCACCATACAGGTTGGGCATGACGAGCACCTTGTCGTTGTAGGGGGTGGGGTCGGTGACAATCTTCAGGCAGGAGTTGTCCAGCAGCTCAGCGTCGAATTCCACATCGGGGAAGTCCTTGGCGATCTCGCGGGCGGTGTTGAGGAAAAGACCGTCGGACATCTTCATGATGGTGGCCTTGTGCACAACACGGACCTTCTTCTTGTTGATGGAACGGGCATACTGGAAAGCGAAGCGGAGGACGCGCTCGGAGGCCTCCTTGGTGATAAGCTTGATGCTCTGGACGACGCCATCGACAACGACGTGCTCAATGCCGGAGTATTCACCCTCGGTGTTCTCACGGATCAGGACGGTGTCGACATTATCGTAGGGGGTCTTGTAGCCAGCGATGGAGCGGCAGGGACGGACGTTGGCGAAGAGGTTGAAGGTACGACGGAGAGTGAGGTTCAGAGAAACATGTCCCTTTCCGACGGGGGTCTGGACGAAACAAACGGTTTATCAGCATGGTGTTCTGTTGCATGCGCACTCCAGGACGGCACGTACGGCGAGGGGACCCTTCAGGGCGACGTAGTTGCGTCTGACGCTCTCAATGGCATCGTCGGGAATGGCGGTCTTTCCGTCCTTCAGAATGGGAGTGACATCGACGGGCTCCCACTTGATGGGCGCCTATATGAAGCTTAGTATTCCGACACGGTATCGCACGGCTTGGATGAAGTGGGTGTTACGTTGGCGGCAGAGAAGATGTCCTTGACGGACTGGGAGATTTCGGGACCGATACCATCACCCTCGATCAGAGTCACGGTGTATTTTCCCTGGAGAGAGAGACAAGAGTCAGTGTCTTCGTTTGGGACGGGCTCGAATGGGATTGTATATGTTGGTTTGCATTGCGCGGAGGTCTCGGATCAAGGGAAGAATCCGTCCAAGAAAAAAAATTGGAAAAAAGCGCGAAACATACATCAGCGCCCTTCTGTCCCTTGAACTTAGCGACACGCTCATCGGCAGCAGAGGCATATCCACGCAGCTACAGAACGAAGTTAGTATCAATGGAGAAACGAGACCAATTCGCAGGGTTTACCTGGGTGAAAGGCGACGCAAGGCTGGGGGCCACACGTGGTGTCCGCAGACACTGGCGGGCGGGCGCAACGAGATTTCTAGCGGCAATCATGATGACAAAACCCCGAGATTCGCGACCGAGGAAGGGTATACGGAGAGTGATTAATTAGAGGAGGAATTGGAGATATGGGGGGGTAATGGAGAAAGGGAGGGGGGGAAGGGGAAAAGAAGAGAAGATAGAAGAGGTGGTCGGGACGGGAGCAGCGTGTGTGAAACCACGACCAGTTCGGCAGCGCCGCACCCGGTCCGACCGGCGGAATAACCGCGTTGGGCCTCGAGGACAGCAGAGTGTCCACTTTTGCCTAGATCAGATAACCAAACAACCTCCTTCTTCGTCCTCCGCCCTCTAGGTACGGAGTACACCCGCATCGTCATCTCCTGGGAACCCATTTTTCATGGTCATTTACTCAATGCACTAAGTCCCGCACTCCTGCAGCTCTTCTGCATGAATCTCCCCTTGTGATCCCTCTTGTCCGGCTGTCGATCCATCCTCCACCCTCTCTCCTGGACCCTTCCCCGACACCTGTCTTCAGATCAACATGGCGAATGTTGACGTAGCCAACTACTATAATATCCCTTCGGCATACCCGGAAGAGTGGCCAGCGGAACTCGACGAAAGCGATGAGTCCGATACCGAAACCCTGGGACGACGCGGTTCACGATCCCGATACTTCGCCCTTGAGCGGAGCAACAGTGGTTACAAGGGCGCGACCCCCGGATCGTACAAAGGTCCCAATGGTAGAGACAATGCGGCCAAGATGGATGAGCCCGACCCACTGGGGACAGGCGACAGTGTTCTCAAGATCTTGAAAAGGCGCGGGCTGTCCCTAGATGAAGAAAGTCGATTGCGCAATCGGTTCCTGTTGTCGTCCACCGCGTTCTCCCCTGCGCTCTTCCTATCCCAAGCGCACTCCGATGATTCAATCCAAACTCTACTCGATGGGTTGGGCTTTCTCTCCCGTTCAATTGACCAGAAATCCGCCTCACTCAAGGTCTTAGTCGAGGCCAATTTCGAGCGATTCGTCCGCGCAAAGGCGACAATTGATAGTGTCTATACAGAAATGAGAAATCAAGGGAAATCTCAAGACCTGTCAACTGCTCGAAGCTCACGCAGGTCAGGGCATTTTCGCGTGGCTTCTGCCAACATCACAGACCAAGTGCCCGGGAAGAATGCCCTCACCAAGGAGAGTGAATATGGCATGAGAGGAATCCGGGCTCCTCTGTTGGAAGCTTCGGTCAAAGCGGAGGAAGTCTGGGGCCCGGCGTTGGGAGGTCGTGAAAGAGAACAAGCTCTGAAGTCGGTTGTGGACACGATGGAAAGACATCGAGACGTCTATGAAATCGGTGCTCTTCTCTCCAAGTCCATCAAACAACGGGACTACGAATCTGTGTTCGAGCAATATACCAAAGCCAGGACCCTAGCGAACAACGCCAAGAATATCGCCGATGTCGCCATGAGCAAGAACCGATCGCTCACAGATGAAGAAACGCATATTATCTTAGCCATGGGACGGATGTGGATAGATGTGGACCAGCAAATCCAAGCTTTCAAACGAGATCTGTGGAAGCGTCTTGGTGACGTCCCTACCACCTCCACGACGGTCACTGCCTCGGGCCCTGTTGAAGAACATATGGAACTGATCGGCGCTTTACTAGAACTGGGTGTGGAGGACAATCCTATATGGGTCTGGCTTCTCAGCCGGTATGAATTCTTGAAGACCAAAATCAACTCTTTCTGCGAGCGTTGCAAAGCAGAAATTGAGATCCTCAGGCGTCGACTGGCCAGCGGTGAGAAGCCAACTCCTCAGGCTGTGGCATCATATCTGCGGCTGGCACCGCGTGATGGCGCTGTGGCGAACCCTACAATTTTGGATACGGATCAGGTCATTGAGCTGTGGGAGTGTGTGCATACATTCTTGACGCGACTCTTGTCATCACAAGGAGGGATTCTCGGCGAAGTCTTGGACTTCTGGGAAGCTGCACAATCCTTCATTGACGGGAGCAAGCAGAAACTGCTCCCCACTGGGTTTGAAGGAGAGAGTCGCAAGCATCACCGCCTCTCTTCGAGCGATTCAAAGCGTTTGGAACAAGGAGTTGTTGAGTTGGTCAGTTTGATTCGCGAAAACGTACTATCGTTGTTCGCAGACCCTCCAACGGAGGACATTCCCGTCCTCCCCTCTCCAAAATCCCCTTCCACTCCCAACAGCCCGATGGGTTTGGGTGTGACCCCTACCGAGTCCAGATTCAAGCTTGATCCGAGGAATATGCCTCTTCCCTCTCCCAAACGCGGAGATCCCTGGGAGGACTTTGCGTTTTGGCCACCGTTCTCGAATTCCCTCAGCGGCGTGCACTATCTTGGACAGTTCCTAGTTATTCTGGGCACCGCAGCGAGTGAGATGGCGGCCCTAGGACCGGTATCAAAAGACGGAGGTGTCCATGATCTCCTCAAAACTTTGGTGAGTGTTTCGCGGGAGCGCTCAGTCCGTGCGGCATGCTCTGCTTGGGGCAAAGACGCAGAAGTGTGTAAGTTGTTGGAGGACTGGACTCGCGACCAGGAACGCAGAGATTTGACCAAGATGCCGGGTTTGTTTGTGGCATTTGAAAATGCTATCCTCGGCGGAATGCAAAAAATACTCTACATCTCGGAGGCCATGGTCAAATCCGGGGATGTGGATGTGGTCACGCAGCCGCCAGCAAAGCTCCTCCAAATGGTGCGGACACAATTCGTATCCAGCGTGTACAAGGCCTTGAGCGGCTTGGTTGAGAATGCGGAGCACCCTGCAGCCCCCGAAGAGGAGAATGAATGGATCATCACTGGTAGTAAAGCTCGGAACTACTCGGCCTCACCGGTCCTCGTCGCCGATGCTGTCGACTCCCGCAATAGGGTGAGTTGTTTCTCTCGTGGTCTTCTTTCCAACGCCGTGTTCTAACGAAAATCCAGAATGTGCGCATTCTCCTCACGCTCTCGAACATCAAAGCGCTTCAGTCCGATCTGGTGCCCCAGCTGGTGGCGAACTTCGAGACCGCATTCTCGGTCAAGCTAACTGAGGAAGCTAAAACGATCCGAGACGTACTTGGTCAGATTGACGAACGTCTGTTCCAGTCGTACACCAAGCCAACGGTGAATACCCTGAACGCCACCATCCACAGTGGAATTTCCTCCCCTGAATGGGAACCTACTGCCTCTCGACCGGAACAAGTCCGCCCTTACGTGTATAGTACGATGCTGGCCCTCGTGCTGGTCCACACCGAAATTACGACTACTATCCCATCCACCTCATCATCATCGTCAAGCCGCCATCCCTCCACACGGTCATCGCCACTACTTTCAATTGTTCTCAAACATCTCCTGACCCAGGTCTCTTCATCACTCCTCTCTGCTTTCAGCTCACGGTCATCATACACTCTAGCGGCATTGATGCAGGCTACCCTGGACACAGAATTCATTGCACAGACCATGTCACAGTATTCTACCGAAGATGCGTCAGCCGTGCAAAGTCAGATCTATGTTGAATTAGATCAACGAACGACGCATGAAGCTCGGGCTCGGCTACAGTCGGAGCTGGGTGAAATGCGAGGTATCCTGAAACGGTTGAGGGAAAAGACGAAGGGCGAGTTTGCTTGCTTTAGGAAAACGAAAAGCAATACAGGACAGAAACCCTCTGCTTGAAGTAAGATGGGCGCAGGTGTATGACTGTGGATGCACCTAACAATCAAACCAACCAATTCTAGCCCACTTTCTTCATGGTATAGATCAAGGACAGTAACTATCTCTATCCAAAGACATCTGTGGAACCGTCAACTGTTCAGCTCTATACAGTAGGACATAATTACACAAATACAGGTTAGGTACTTAGACAAAGAGCTTCTCACAACGAGCGGTCCATATATCTACAATGTTCTAGGTACAACTATGAGAAATATTGGAAATGGCATAAATCCAAGACCAACCTATCCAAGCAACGTAGTCAAGTCGTCTCTCTAGCAGACCAGAGACCAGATAAGTACAATAAGTATTAAATCTATTCCACCGCCAAGGTTTAAGATGACAGGCGAGCCATCTTGAATCAACCCGCGTGCTGGACAATCTCGCTCACGAGGACACCATCCTTGACGTAGGACACGATCTGTTCGGGGACCGGGCACTCCTTGGTGTCGTCGTCTGTTCCCTCCTTAGGAGGCAGCATGACATTAATGGCCGAGCACTTGCTAGTAAACACCTCGGTGCCCAGACTTTGGCTGCCCAGATACACCGTAGCACCGTCCACCTGATCCAACAGAAGAGTGGGCACCACGCCATCGATCTGCAAGGCAAACTTGGGGGACTTGATAACGTCAAGGCTGCTCACGAGGGAGTCAACAATGAGCGACAGCCCATTGCAGTTGTCGATGGAGATGGCATTGGCTTTGCTAGACACCTTGATCACAGTTTTGTTACACCGAGAGATGAGGATGGACTGATTCTGCTGAGCAGGGATCTCGACAATCTCACCAGGGTTATCGAAGTTTTCGATAATCCACTTGTTGCCCTCCAAATCCTTGCGGGGCGGCTTGCGAACGCGCATGCTCTCGGGCTTGGGCTTCTTGCTGGGGGCAGGGGATTTGGATCGGGTGACGCTGTCCTGTGAGTTGGAGCGCTCCGGAACAGTAGATCCGGCGCGCAGGCTGGGGTTCTTGTGGGTCATCTGGGACTTGTCGACCTTGCGGAGGTTAGAGGTGATGGTGTCTCCCTGATTCAACTGTTCGAATACGGCCGACATATCCGGCGCAGGAGCCGCGGCAGGAGGAGGGGGGACACCCGGCGGTGGAGGAGGTGGTGGAGGAACGCCACCTCCTGGCACGTTCAGAGTTGGCACAGGGGGAGGTGGAGGAGGAGGAGGCGCTGTGTTTCCAGAGCCGGCGCCCGATCCCGATTCATTCTTGATTTGTTCAAGGGCTTCCTGGGCATCGATCGTGCTCGTTTCGTTCCACGTAAGCCCCTTGGGATAGTGCTTCTTGAGGTACGCTGCTAGCGCCTTGAAGATCTGGTAATAGGACTGTATGTACTGAACATGAGTGCGATCCCTAGAGCAGGTTAGCATGGTATTTCCGGCTCGCACCGAGAAATGGGCATAACGTACTTCTCCTTGTACTCCTTCAAAACCTTGTTGCCGTAGTACTCAATGCCTCCCACGATTTCCGTGACAAAGTCAGCTGGTTTGGGCTCGAAGAACCAGCCAAGTGCCACAATGCCCTCTGCGACGGCACTGAGATGGTTGAACAAGGGAGACGGTCTGTTGGACTCGCGAATGATGTTGATGGTATCGGAGGCATTGTGAAGGCCCGTCAGGAGTTCGGGGGGTTGGTAATCGGTCTTCTTGGCTTTGGTTGAAACATATAGGTAGGTCCGCTCGGCCTCGAAAGCTTGCAAAACAGCTTTGGACTAAAGAGAGATAACGTCAGCCAGATATCCATAAAGCGACATGTTCATTGCTTTGGCTAACCCACCTGTTCTGCAACGAGGCTACCGATCTTCTCTCCGAGGTCAACGAAGTTCTTAACATCCTGATTGATCAACGTGTCGAAATCCTGGATTTGCGGCGGAATTGGAGGAGCAACGGGAGCAGCTGACGGAGCAGGCTGGGGGTGCGGGGAAGCCACAGCTTCAGGGGCACCTGCGGAATTGATAGCCTTGGGGGAATTGGGGTCATCGAGTGACATCGCCATGTCCTCTAACCGGGAGGTTGCGGCCTCCAGCCTGTTGGGTGATATACATGGTTAGAACGACGAACAACGGCGCAAGGGTGCAGAACGGAATGAGATCAATATGTAAACATCATAGATTCCATAACTTACCGCTTGATAAGAGTGGTCAAGTTATGCATATGGCTTCCCGTCGCCATCTTGAACGGACCGTCGCGCAAAGGAGGCTACCTAATAATGACAGACTCTGGGGAGAGATGAATGTAGGGGAGCTACAACGACCCTGTAATTGAAGTGTCGCAAAGTAAGGTCAATTCTTGGAGGTAGAATTAGATTCCACAACCTCGCAACAGGTCGGAGAAACAGGAGGCGAGAGTTGTTGGAGAGAGATGACGATGAATGGGATGGGAAGCTGGAAATAACGGAGTGCTCCTGACCCGTGCTGCCTGAGGCCGCCAGGATCCACATGGCGGGGCGGTGACGGTACAATACATCGGATTACAGTACAGCCCACTTTGAAGGGACGGGAATCTGCAGATGACGTTGGCCGGTATCAGTCTGTATTTCCGATCTTCTCCTCAATGAATGCGATAAAGGATTTGGAACATTGTTCATTCTTCTTGATCCCTAAATATATTCGTTGTCAGTTGCTCTGAAGCCTGTCGCCCCTCGATAGTACACTCCTTTTTGCGACAATGGCAGGAATCGTCGCACAACCTCATCACCATGTCGAGTTCTGCACACTGGGCATGTTCATCCTCGGTATGCTCCATCACGAAACCCTGGCATGAACCCGGCAAAGTGAGTACGATGCTTACGGCTACTGGCCCTTGGACACAGATGACATTGAATTTGGGGGTATCAGACCCAACGTGAAGAACGTCCTCGGCGGCGCCGCCTCGTTTGCGGTCGTCGGCGCACGTCTCGTTGCTGGGAGGGAGCACAGCCAATCGGTCAGTTGGATTGTAGATGTTGGGTCTGATTTTCCTTCAGATGTTCTGGAGGTCATCAACTCGTGGGACACTGCCTGTGTGATTCGAAAAGATCCTGGACGATTGACCACCAGGGCATGGAACGGTTACGGTGTGAATGAGAAGCGGGGTGTGTACTTTTCTCCTTCAATATACTAATACCCTGCTGACAAGCTGCAGACTTCAAGTACCTGACACCCAAGCTCCGACTGGAACCGTCGATGCTGTCTGATGTGCAGGTGTTTTCGAAAACTTTCCATATGGTGTGCTCTGCTGGTCGTTGCATATCCATCGTGGAGGACATTATACGCCGGCGTGAAGAACTGCAGCGGGAAGGTAAGGTTCCTCCTGGGGACCACACGAAAAGACCCATATTTGTCTGGGAGCCTGTCCCAGATCTCTGTACCCCGGAGGAGCAGGAGAAGTTCCTCGCTGCCAACCAGGTTGTAGATGTTGTGAGTCCGAACGAATTAGAGCTTGGGATGATGTTCGGTCAACCAGGCTGGAGCGAAGAGAGCGATTTCGGCAAAGACATAGTGCGCAGAATCTTGGATTCTGGAATAGGCCACAACGGAGAGGGCCATTTGGTCATTAGGGCGGGAAAAGACGGCAGCTATGCGTATTCCAGGGCGCAGCGGATCTGGCTACCTGCTTATCACCAACCCGACACCACTGGCGCCGCCGCTGTGATTGACCCTACAGGTGCCGGAAATTCGTTCTTGGGCGCATTGGCCCAGGGCATGGTGACTATGGGAAGGACACCCGCGAACGTGATTGATTCAGTGCTGTCAAAATCCACAGCTTGGCAGGAAGCAGTGAAAGCCTCGGGTCAGCTGAACCCCGTCCTACATGCCTTGATCTTCGCAACCGTGGCGGCGAGCTTCGTGGTCGAGCAGATCGGTGTGCCTCGAATGTCAACTTCTACCGATGGGAAAGAACTTTGGAACGAAACTGAATTTCCGGAACGAGTCCGTCTGTACACACAGCGATTGTATCGAACAATCGAAGAGTCTCCCACAAAGCACTTCCGGATCAATTGACCAAGTGAAGAACGCCCTTCTATTGTCGTACAGCCCACTAGAATATAGAACATGAATAAAGAATCTGCAAATGCCATAAAAACACCTCCGCACTTTCTGCCACTCCTTGATTATTCCATTTCTGCCGCTTTATGACTCGTTCTTCGCGGCTTGCTGTCTCTCGTGCTCGATGATCTGTTTGCTCCAGCTGCTCAGGAAAATAACAAACGTCAGTTTCCGCATAACACAAGCAGAGGACATTCAGGATAGGACAAGACTGACTAGCGACTAGGGAAGAATCTACCGGGCTCCGGCATCTTGTCCCGGCGCTCCCGGTCGGCGCTGATGCTCCAAGTCACAGCGGCGATACCGATAACAGCGGCTCCCATAATAGCAGTGTTGACTCGCCAGTTCGCGGGTTGAGCGTACCAGCCTCCAGCAGGAGACCAGACTTCCTTGGGGTACCTGCGGCAGAGACTTGTTAGCGACCACGGGCGTCCTCAATTGTTCGGGAAAAGTAGACCGGAGAATACATACGGGATCTTGCCGCCTCCGCCCATTTTGTTTAGGACGAGTTTAGAAGAATGGGAGGGAAAGGAATCAAAGCAATGGAGCGAGATTCGAAAGGTGGTGGTTGAAGCCGAAATGACCGTCGACGTCCCTCGTCCCAGATCCCGTGACACTAGTGCCCGATGGGGATTAGCGGCACTCACACACGACCGCCAGACCCCGTGACTTCCGCCGAAGCTCGACTTTTCTCCAGGCGCCAAAAGTTCGTCCGGCATCAATTTGGACCGGTCCTGTGCTTCAGTCTCCCACGCCCACCTTCCCGCGCCCGTTCGGTACTACCGCTTTTTCAATCGCCCTGGGTTTTAGGCTCTCTTCGAACCCCCTCACTGTCCAGATGAAGAGGCTGCAGCTCCTACGATGGAGCAGTTCGGGCCTCTGTCCGCGGGCCAGAACTGGTGGCCGCCTGCAGCAACACCTCTATTATAGCCTTCGGCGCCAATCCACGGTCTCCCCAGCCCTCCAGGCCGATGGCCAGCAATTGATGGATGAGAGTACATTGGACTCTTCAATTCCTTCTCCTCAAACCCAGAAACAGTCAAAATACTTCCTCCCTTCTCCGCCGGTGGAGGCCGCACGCGAGTCCGCAAAACTTGCCGCACTCCATGCCCGACTTTACCTTCCCTCACGATTACCCCTAGAGACGCTCGCTCGCTCCCTTGTGGACGCCTCGGCCGATCCCAATCCCAATTTCAACAACGAATCGCTTGCTACGCTGGGACATGACCTCCTAACCTACTATACCTCCGAACACCTTCTGTGCACATATCCCCGACTACCCCTGACCGTGGTCTTCGCGGCCATGTACGCTTATGTCGGTCCGAAAACGCTCGCGGCCATGGCACGAGAGTGGGGTGTGGAAATGGCGGCTGTACCCGGTGGAGAGGTCGACCCTGGACTCCTCCAATTCCAAAGAGTTGTCCCCGGCACCGACATCAATGCCGAGCCGGCCAGCAGCCCGACGAGACCCAACGATGACCGGAAGTCGTGGAGGGTATCGATGACATCTCGCGTTGTATACGATAATGAATTTGGTGAGCCGCCTCAGTCGCGGGCCCCCAGCCAGGGTGTCACGGCGGAACAAGCCAGCGCCACGTTTGTGCGAGCAGTGATGGGCTCGATCTATCTGCATGCTGGCCGGCCTGCCGCCAAGCGATTCTTTGAGCAACATTTCCTTAGCCGTCACCTCAACATCTCCGAACTCTTCAACTTCTCGCAGCCTGCTCGTGACCTCTCCCGGCTGTGCGCGCGCGAAAACTTCGAGCCCCCCGTCGCCAAGATCATCAGTGAGACGGGCCGCAAGAGCAGACACCCCGTTTTCGTCGTCGGTATCTATTCTGGACAAGATAAGTTGGGCGAGGGCGCTGGCGCCAGTCTGCTCGAGGCTCGGTCCCGGGCTGCAGTGGCTGCACTCAAGGGCTGGTATCTTTACAGCCCACTGAATGTGCGCGTGCCCAGCTCGATGGAGGAAGAGGGTGCTGCGGCATGGAAGCCTGTCCATGTGGATCTGGGCGAGGTGGTTGTGTAAGACTGGTCGGGGCTCAGATGAGACGACGTTGGAAAACATGTGAAACTATATCATATGGCTGGCTTCTGCCAACGACATGGGCGGGAAGGCAGCATCACACATATTGTTTACTTATATTTGCGAAATCAGGTTCTGTACAGTATGGGAAATTCATTTCATTCATCTCATGTCTTCTGTTGTTGATTTTCCTTCCTTTCTTTTGTTTTACTTTTCCTGGGCAATCTCCCTTCACACGGGAAGGATCATTTGTCGGTGTGGGGTGATCTTCTTTTACTTAGATGACAGTACATAGATGTACTCAATAGAAGCATGTTCCACAAACTGATATGCAGTACGAATGGTTTTGATAAAAATGCTACAGACAGGACAAAACGCCGAGCGATGCAGCCACTCCGGCTGGCAATGCCGTTCCTGGTTACGGCTCCTGCGCTCGAGGTATGGCATCAAGATAGAGCCCATATTCTTCCCAAAGCTGCTCGACGTCAGCCTCGAACAGAGACCTCCAGAAACCGTCTCGATACCCAACCCGCAGCAACCGGTCGTTCAACATGCCGACCGCGCCTTTTCCCACACGCGCATCCTCCAGCCACTCAAAGAAAAACGCGGTGTGCTGGTATCCCTGGTCCCATTTCTCCGGTCTCTCCTTTGCCGATCTGGGGCGCGTCCAGTGAGGCGGAACCAGCCCGGCCTTCAAGCGGACGAAATCCGCGACTCCCTCGATCAAGCCGCCCGGCGGCTGCGGCATGTCGCAGTCATTTTTCGCACACGGAGGCGCCGTATGCTGGTAGCAATGGACGAGCTCGTGAGTCAAGACGCCTCTGAGCTCGGCGGTGGGGTCAGCATATCGACCGCTTTGGACGATGTACGATAGCGAGAGATCGATCTCTTTATCGTCCCCTCGGCCCACGGTGTATGCGACGCCGCTGAAGTCGCGTAGGACGATGGTCACCGATCGCGTCGCGGGGATGCTGGGGGTGAAAGTGCGGTGGGATGACGGCGGAGGCGGGGTATAGAGATTCGCGACGATATGAGTGAGGGCGGTCTCGAGGACCGCGACAAGGTCGGGGATGAGAAAGGTGAAGGTCTTTGTGCCGGGATGGCGTATATCTTCTTGGTGAAGACGCAGATTCGGCTTGGAGTTTGCGTGGTCTGGTGGGTGAGTGTCTTGGGAGGTATCGGGTTGCGGAGCTGCGGAGGGGACGGGATCAGAGGACCTGGTCATGGTGGCAACGCGATCATAGGATATTGCGGTACGGATGGTTCCACTTATTTTAAGGATGGTGTAGAATTATGATATAAACGAGGTTGAGCGTGAGAATGATGAGTATAGGTTGTGGATGAGGGGCGTTGGGGCGTTGGGGCGTTCTATACTGTAGGTATGCTTATCAGGCGTTGCTTGTGGCTTTCCGAAAACAGAGGGTCCGCTGGCCATGGGATGTCTGCGCAGCGTTGACAAACCCGGTCTGCGTCCATGATGAGGTTCGGAGTAATCCCGGTAGAAGGCTACTTGATGTGTAGTTCCAATGATGATGGCGAGTCAGAAGGTTGATTATGCATCCCATGCGGTCTCGTCCTACCCTGATATATATATATACCTCTCCCGTCAGATGGATCTCGATACAGATCACGTCATAGCCATCAGCCTTACCCGTCCAGGTACATGAGAATGCGAAAGCCACCAGACACTTTAATATGGACAAAGGCCATAAATAAACTCAATCATGTGGGACGTTCCTGCAGGGTTGGCTTAGGTAGGTGGTAGACTATATAGGTACCTAAGCCAGATCAACCCAGGTGATGTGACAGGCTGGTCCATTGCAGTAAGGAGGCATCCCATTGTTAATGAAGACCGTCAGACTTCAGTACGATGGAGCAAGGTGCTAATCCGTCATGAACCGTGATCTTCTCACAGGACGCTTGTCGCTTGTGATCCACCGCTGGAGCGGCGATCGGGGGGTCTACCGGAGGCGTCTGATTGGGCTGAATTACATGCGTTGTTGATTAAAGTAACTACTGTACTCCAAACATTGTAACTCAACTAGTACGGAGTAGACACTCTCAGAATGAATAAGATGGATCAACTAGGTACAGTGTCAGGTACTGCTTGGGCACCGGCGCGTTGTCCCATGAGGTCATCCACCGCTTTGTTTACTGTTCCAGGGCTCTCTCCCGTCGAGAATGCCCTTTCTAGCGTTGTGTTTTGATCTTTCCCGTTTACGCCTAGCGGGGGACTCCAGTTTCGGAGGAGAGTATCATTATCGAACGCAGCAGAACCTGATCCGTTGGGAGTATCATTCTAGTAGATTCGATTACTTCTGACTGTGAACCAAACATCCTTAGGCTTCCGGATCTCTAATAGGCGATCTCTGGCAGAAATGGCGAAGGGGTTTGGTAACCATGGATAGGGTCCGGTGCCGGTAAACAAAAGCAAAGGGGAAAAAAGACGGAAAGGATCAGGGGACAACATCAACAAACCCCCCACCGGTTTGTACCTCAACCGGTGGTCTCTCCGCGCAGGGACTTTATGAGGACTGGATGAAGATGTAAATATTTCTCTCTGGACTTGTCATAATCTAGCGACCGATGTAGTACGTAGGCATTCGTCAATCAACCGCACATTCCTGTGCGTCGAGACAGGGTGGATCCGACGAAGCGCTTATCGGCGCGTTTACTCGCTTATCGGCCATCCCTCCCCCCGGTTTGTTGCTGTCAACGTCCCTCCGTCGCTTTCGTCGCCGCGATTCTTCTTCTCTTCCTCCTCCTCTTCGAAATCACCTCTTCCTCGACGACTCGTCCATCGCACGCCTCCGACACCTCCTCCAGTCACCTCTCCGTGTTCCCGCGACACTGTTTACCCTCGATACGCTTCCGCGCGCACCTTCCCCCACCCTCCACGCCTTCCTCGCCTTCCTCGCCTTCTTGCCCGCAACAGCTCGACAGTCGACCGACGCAACTACCTACCTTACCACTTCAGCATCAGGTATGCAGTTTCCTCCTCGTTGTCTGTTTTGGGGGGTATATGAGCCCCCCCTCACCCTCCCCCGTTTCTTCTCTCCTACAACCCTCTGCTCTTCTCTCCGCTACCACCCTCATCTCTTTGCTTCGTTCCACTGCTTCTTTCGTCGTTTTCTACGTCCAAAGCGTCGTTTTTCTTGTTGCCTTGCACAAGGAAAGCAAAAAAATCGTCCCCTTTGCTCTTTTCGTCGTGTGCTGCTTTCAAAGCTTCGTTCTGTTTGTCGTTTTACAAGAATCATCGAAAACAAAAACCCCAAAAACATTGTTTCTGTCTTGCTTTTCCACTGTTTCCGGCGTTCAGAGTATTGTTTGCCTGGACGTTTCAAGAGAATCAACCAAAAAAGCCAAAAAAAAGTCGTCTTTTCTGCTTCGATTCCGCTGTTCTTTTTCTTTTGCTTGTGTTTTTGCTTGCGAGGCTGATCATATTTCAACATGCCAGTCACACGCATATTCAGTTTTATTGTAAACCCCGTGAACGTCTGCAGATTTGTTGTGTCGAAGTCTGACGAGCTCCGGTCCAAGTCTGACGAGCTCCGCCTGATCGCGAAGGAGTTCACTGAATTGGGTCGTCAGGCCCTCCAACGTGCTCGTGCGGGGACTCTCTCGGATGCCCTTCAACAGACGCAACAAGCCGATGACCATCATACAGTGACAGTCACCATGGACATGAAAGTCGACGATTTGCAGGCGGCTCTGACAAACCCGAATCTGTCGATTGAGAACAAGTACGACCGTCTGATCAGCGTCAAGTCAGATATCAAACAAAAGAATGTACCAGCAAGTCTGATACCAAGCCTGTTCGATTGTCTACGACTGGCGATTGCTCACAATAACATTCACATTTATACCGCCGGGTTCGCCACCCTTTCGCACCTTTTGAAGCGGCTTTTCATTGAAGAGCTCCACACCGAAGTAGCAGCTCATGCCCGCAGTCTCTACCCGACTCTTCTTGAGCGCCTGGGCGATCATAAGGAGCGTGTGCGGGCTTTGGCCGCCCAGGCATTTGCCGATTTGTGGAAAGCCGCACCAATGGACGCCGAGAAGCATGTTTTGGGCACAGCCCTCGTGGGGAGGAACCCTAAGGCGAAAGAGGCCAGCTTGACGTGGATTTTGAGCGTAAGTTCATCTCTGTCCAGCGCTTTGGCTCGACCTAACTGAATCGTCCAGATGCACACTTCGCATGACCTCCTGTTTCGACCATATGTGGCGAGTCTCGTGGCGTGTCTCGAGGACGCAGACAGCGCCGTCCGTGATACGGCCAAATCGACCGTTGTCGGCTTATTCAACAGCGCCCCGGCACATGCCAAGGCCGACCTCCAGCGGGAAATGGCGGAACAGCATGTGCGAAAGTCCATTGTCGCTGCGGTTCTCAGTGGCCTTGGACTGGAATCGGATTCCGCTACGTCGCGACCAGTCTCTCGGACCGAACCCACCAGACAGCACCGGAACCCTCTAGCAGCGGCTGCATCTTTATCTAGGCCGGCTTCTCGCGCAGAACCGATTACGCACGCTGCATCTACATCCCGGCCAGTGTCGAGAGCCGAGCCGCGCCTACAGCCTAGGCCCACATCTATCGCCGACACTCACGAACAGCCTCCACAACAACCCGCGCCTAGAGCTGAATCGATCATATACACGGCTTCTGTGGCTCGACCGGCTTCGAGAGCTGAACCAGTTACATCCACCGCATCCACGTCCCGGCCGGCGTCGAGAGCTGAACCCGTTACCTCCACCAGGCCCGCCCCTGCAGTGGACGCCGAGGAGCCTCAGACGCTCCAAACATCATCGAGATCAAACCCCCTGAAACATGTCAGGGCCCCCACAGCGACTCAGTCCAATACTACCGAGCTCAAACAAAGAGCACCAGCACAAATCCCCAAGTCCCAGGAAGGCGAACAACTTCAGCCCCTTCTTGTCTCTTCGTCTCGTGAACTTGAGGACATCATCAAGACGATGCTGCCTCATTTCGAAGGCCGAGAAACCGAGGCGAACTGGATGCTTCGCGACCGTGGTGTCACCACCCTACGCCGATTGACCTTGTCAAACGCACCGCACGAGTTTCCCATGGTTTATGTCTCATCTATGAGAACCATCCTTGACGGCGTATTCAAAGTCGTGAATTCACTGCGGACCCAGTTGTCCACCACCGGATGTCGTCTGATCCAGGAAATGGCCAGGGCGTGCGGGCCCAGAATCGATTCAATGGTTGAAATCATCATGCTGCACATGGTCAAATTGTGTGGCGGAATGAAGAAGATCACCGCGGCACTCGCAAACGAAACGGTGGATATTGTCTTGCAAAATGTATCTTATACATCGCGCATCTTGCAGCACGTCACAGCAGCCTGTGAAGAGAGGAACGTGCAACTTCGGGTCTTCTCCGCTGGGTGGTTGAAGACTTTGATCAACAAACAAGCCCACCACAAGTCAACCATTGAGCACGGTGGTGGGGCCGATACATTAGCAAGATGTATCAAGAAGGGTCTTTCGGACGCCAACCCCGGGGTTAGGGAAGCCATGCGCAGCACCTTTTGGGCCTTTGCCCGTGTGTGGCCAGGTCGTTCCGATGGGTAAGTCCGCCCTGTTTCACGAAGCTGCCAACGCTGCCTTGTTCGCTAACATGACATAGGATTATGTCGAACCTTGATACGAAGTCACGAACGCTGTTGGAGAAGGATCCGGCAAGACCAGGCAATGTCGGATCTACGTCCAACAAAGTGCCCACGCCACAGAAACCTACCTCAAAGAGCACCCCGTCAACCCCAGGACGGTCAGCACTGAGAGAAGCGATCGCTGCGCAGAAGAAAGCGCACCTAGGCAACACGAAGTCGTTGCCCCCTCGCCCCGAAACGGCCCATGCTGCATTGACCGACCCAAAGCCCGCAAGCCAGAAATCGACTTTGTCGTCGGCGCCCGTCAGACGGGGAGTCAAGGTGACTCGCCCAGCGACCGCCGGACCCGGCCGCAGACCTGCGCCGACCGAACTGCGTCACGAATCACCTCGAAGTGGCCGCTCTAACGTCCAAACGCCGTCACCCACCAAGAGAACGTTTGTCAACGGCGCTTCCGGGTCGCCCCAAGTGGACCAAAAACCAACTCCGAAGTCAATTCTTGTTAAACGCCCTGAAGGAATCAAAATCCCCATTGGGCCCGTCACACCGGATTCGAAGTCTCCGAAGTCTCCTGGGGTAAGGTTTGCAGACCAGATGATGCTATCGGAGATGAAGGCTGTCACAGCGGAGGCTCCCGAAGTGGAAGCTCCCGAAGTGAAGGCTCCCGAAGTGAAGGCCCCCGAAGTAAAGGCCCCCGAAGTAAAGGCCCCCGAAGTGAAGGCTTCTGAGGTGATGGCGATCGAAGCGCACACCGAATCGAAGTCAGGCGAGTCAAAGTTTCCGGAAGGACTGGCGGTCCCCGAGCGACCAGTGGAACTGGGAGAATCACAGACATTGGCGGAAACCAACCAGTCAGGCGAATCGGATGACACGGAGGACATACAAGATATGAAGAGGCCGGACACGGAGGATCCCGAACGAATCGTTTTGACAGCCGAAGAACTCACACTCGGAGACGTCCACGTGCCCAAACAGAGGATGCGGAGACGCACGCACCAGGGAGAGCTTGATTGGAACGATCCGCTTACTCGTCGCTGGGGGCAGCTGAACGATCTGGTGACAAGAAGAAGACAAGTGAGCGCACAGTCACAGGAACTGAAACACGCGCGGGAAGTGATTGAGTCTGCGATTGTCTACATCAGAATGGGGGCCATCGACATGTTTGGATATCGGAAACTCCAATCGCTGATTGCATATCATGACGAACTTTTCGAGACCCAGGACCGATACAACGAGTTTCTGAAGGTGCTCCTCGAAGACCTGGCACGAGACCCCAAATACGGCGATGATCAAAAACGGATGGTTTCCTCTTTGCACCACAAACAACAGGTCGCCAAGGCCATCCGGTTCATGTTTGCATACAACGAAACCTGGTTTTCCGACACTCATGCCCAGGTGTTTCCCGCTCTCCTCCAGACAACACTCTATTTCGAATCGCGGTATTACCTTATCACCGTCCTCCGCCAAATTGCGGACGATCTGCTTTATGCGTGTCATCTACCCGATCTCGTGGTCAGTGTTGTGCAGTGTCTTAGATCACTGCCGGATGATTTCCCCAACGTCCAGGCCGTGGTGATGGGCGTCGTTTTTCTTACGAAGACGCTCAAGATTTTGAATCAGCGACAGGCCCAACTTCCGGAATCAACCTTGTCACAAGTGGCTCATTATGCAGTACACTGTATGATGCGCGGCCACATTAGCGCTCGATCGACCATTGGGGCACTGTGTCAGCAGGTCCGTCGGTTTTTGTCCAGCGACGAGCATTTTTGGAAACTTGCGGGGGAACCGATAGATCCTTTCACGAGAAGCATGATCTGCTATTATCTTTATAAACTGCACAAAGGCCTCGTCTGAGGTTAGGCGGGACTGTTGAGGTCGGGGCTGGGAAAAGCAAACAAAACCAAAAAAAGTGTATTTATCTTCACCTATTCCTTACCTGTTCTCCACTCGCTACTCGCTATGTTAAGTAGCCGCTACTGGTACAGATAGCTTCACAATACATTATCCCTACAATAAATCCCATCAATGTGGTTAGTGAGTCTGACCCGTCTTCCATCCGAAAGTACCTAGGTAGAGACATTGTTGTCCAAATCCTGTAATCGCCTGGCGACCCTAGACTCCCCAGGTCCGCGAATTCCGGAACATTAGGACGGCGGATGAGCCAGCCGGGTCAGAAGTATTGTGGCCAGAGGAGATCTTGAGTGTTGCCATGCGTGGTGAATGTATGCCGAACCCAGAGCTCGTGGGATGGTGTACGTTATTTCTGGTTCAGAGCGAACCTCAAATTCTCTTTAGCATTGTGGCAAGGAGTCTTGGAAAGTGGCAGCTTCATGACTCTAACTCATGGTGATGGACCGTGGAGCTGTGGAGCCGTGGACCGTTCTGCTCTGGATTCTTGGAACGACCGAATATCGGCGGGAGCAACAGGCTGGTCGGGAATGCCTGAAGGCCGGTGAATCTGATCAGATGCCGATCTGATTAGATTCTGTTGATGTTCCATAGCGGAGCCACTTGAATTGAACCCCTTTTCGAATTTCTTTTTTGTTCTCTCTTTGTCACCGGCTGACTAGTCACTGGAGTCAGTTGACTTCGGAGCTGTTATCCACCGGGTGGGGGTGTGGCCATCTTCTCGAACACTTCTTCCCGCTTCATCTGGAAGTGAGTAATAGGGGAGAGTTCATGTCGGGCTACTCCTTTGTCCAACGTGAAACGACATGGAGGTCGGGAAGATGAATGGTGAGCGTACGTAATCTGCACGGCGGGTTACTAAGGTCAAGACCAGGATACCGAGGAATGGCCCGGAAGAGGGGGGAGGGGGAAGCCAGGGATGGGCCGGTTCACGTGAGACAGACTGCGATCCATGCAGATTTTTATCAATCAATCAATCAGATTAGATAAACTGAACATGGAAACAAATGATGGATCCTTCAGGGTTGCCAGTTTCTGGACAAGAGACACCCTATCCCTGGTTCGTCTTCCAACGCTGGGATTTCTCCTTTTTCCTCTCTCTTCCGGATTCCCTTCTCCGGTTGGAAAGGGGCGCCGAGATCTTTTGCAGGATGTGGACACGACTAATCAATCAGCCGGGCGAGGATTCCCGACAGTGGATGCAGACGCGCCAAATCCCCCCATTTTGGGTGGGTAGGCCAGTAGTACCAGAGTTTTCTGGTGCGATAGTTCATGGGACTGACGCCTTGTTTCTGTACAGGTATTCTACGCTGTTGTATTCTTGTCAGGCATCATAGGTAGGCATCACAGGCATCACTTAGGTAGGGGATAAAAAGGAGAACAAACGGTGGGTACTCATAGAGATCGAATGCGCAAGATCTGAAAGATGGGATCATCTTTTCTCTGTCCAGAAATGAAGCAGCTGCAAGATATAGACCGAAACTCTGTAGGGAACTAATCCATCTGGAGTTAATCACCATTATTAGTGAAGTGCAGACAGGGTTATCAGATGGCGCCCACCACGTCCCACGCCAAGTACATCCACCAAAAGGAAAAACATTCGATACTCCGTACGGAGTAGTTACATCCTAATCGTCTCGGCGGTGGCTGACGTACTTCCATTTGTGGTTCTTGATCGTCCACCCGCCGAGTGAGCCGAGCAGCATTGGACGGGACTGGGATGATGAATTCTCTCTCCGATGCTGGTGGCCCACTGCGTTCCGGTCTCGAAGCCTCCCACCAAAAAATCTTCCGATTCGTGGCCATCGCTCCCGTAGCGTCCCTGCAGGTTGGACGGAGGTTTGATGGATAGAATTTTGATCAGATAGTCGGCCTAGGTCAGAAGTGAGCATTTATCGTTTGAGAGAAACCCAAGGAAGAAAACCCAGGCATTTCAAGGGGAGAACAATAATACTACCCACTCTGCAGCCGCCCCTCTCCCCTGATACCAAGTGGGGATGGGATAGAAATGAACATCATCGGCCTCATTTCTTCTCCGCTTTTCTTTTTCTTTTTCTTTTTCTTTTTTTTTTTTTCCTTCTCGCCGCTACCGGAGCCGTTATGATGGGATCCGACCCCCTCTTCAGGCCCTTCGTCGCCCTGCCTGTGTGTCATCGTGCTGGAATTAGTGGCTCTTCAGTTTGCTTTAGTGGATTTTGGTTTGTCAAGAGTAGAACTCTGTTGCTTCTCTATTTTCTTTGCATAATTCCACCCTGTTCCCTTCCTTTTTCTTCTTCTTTCCCCTCTCTCCGCTTGACTGTCTCCTCGTCCTCTCCTTCACGTCGCGAGTCTTCGCCCTAAATATCAAAATCGCTGCTTAGGGATGGTCCTTGGGAGACTCCATTTGGGTGAATCGCTTCACTCCTCGCCGGTTGCTCGTTGATTGCTGGTGGAAGGTCTCTTTTATTCCCTTGTGTTTGGGTCTTCTCGCTCTCAGTGAGGCCCTTCGCACTCTTGGAGCCCCGCCAAAAATTCCTAGCTTCTCCATCTTCAACCAGGGAGCTCGATCTTCAGTGCGATCTACCTAGGTAGTTCCCGTGCACCTCGGACTACCCAATCGCGCATGATGTCAGAGGTACAGCCATCCACGGACGGACAGAATAGTCCCACGAGTAAACCTGTTGGCCTTGTATGTCCCCTGTCCTCGAAATTTCTATCTCGTCGTCGTTGGAAGAGACAGACGAGGGAACTGATGCTGACCTTGTCTTTCGGTTCAGACGCAACATGTGAAGAAGTATATCCCCGACAAGGGAGACCTGGCGAAATTCTTCGCCTATTTCCGCCTTTTGTTCTCGCTCGACTATACCATCACCGATGTTCTCCTCATTGTTTTCGGCGTCATCTTCGCCATTGCGGGTGGCGTCCCGTTTCCCCTGCTCGGAATCGTCTTCGGTGACCTGATTAACGATCTCAATACGGCGACCTGCTCGAGCACCGCAAGCGCCGATGCCGATCTCAGCGCGAGCGTCCGACAGAAAGTACTCTATGTGATCTACATCACCATCGCAAATTTCTGCAGTATCTACATCCATACCTCCTGTTGGTGCACGGTAAGTGAGCGGCTGGCCCGTCGCTACCGTCGACGCTATTTTGAGAGTATAATCAAACAAGACGCAAACTTTATCGAATCTCTCCCGTCGGGCGACGTGATCTCGCGACTGGTGAGCGACATTGAGGTCGTGCAGTCCGGCACCTCGGAGAAGGTCGGTCTCGTAATCACCACCATCTCGTATTTCGTGGCCTCCTACATCGTCGCCTTCCTCAAGGTGCCCCGGATTGCGGGAATGCTGGTGTCTGTCGTACCTTGTTTCATGGTCATGTCCCTCCTGGGAGGTCACTACATCAAGAAATACGCTGGCCGCATCGCCACGAATGTCAACGCAGCTACCTCCATTGCATCGTCGAGTTTGTCCCACTTGACGCTGGTCCATGCGTTCAATGCGAACGACCGCTTGGAAGGCCGCTTTGCCACCTATCTATCTCAATCGCACAAGGATGCGCTCAAAAAAGCTTGTACACATGCGGCACAGCTTGGCTTCTTGTACTTTGTGGCATACTCGGCCAACGCGCTTGCGTTCTGGGAGGGTTCGCAGATGATCTCGCACTCGGTAGCCAACAATGGCGATGGCGTGTCAGTGGGTTCCGTCTATACCGTGATCTTCGTGCTCATTGATGCTTCCTTTATTTTGAGTCAGGTGGCTCCTTTCATCCATGTTTTTGCCCAAGCGGCTGGCGCTTCCGAGCGTCTTCTTGCGGTCATCAACCGCCCGTCCGAAATCGATGGAACTTCCGATGAAGGCGATAAGTCTGCCGCCTTCGGCGAGGAAGAGATCGAGTTCCGCGACGTCCATTTCTCCTACCCCTCTCGCCCGGACGTGCCGGTGTTGCAGGGCACGAGCTTCTCCATTCCAGCTAAAAAGCATACGGCCATTGTCGGCCCCTCTGGTGGAGGGAAATCTACGGTGGTCTCTCTCTTGGAGCGGTTCTACGACCCCAATTCTGGAGAAGTCCTTATTGGAGGGAGAAATTTCCGTGAACTGAACGTTCGCTATCTGCGCGGAAACATCGGATTCGTCCAGCAGGAACCGTCTTTGCTGGACCGATCGATCTTGGAGAACATCGCCTACGGTCTGGTGTCTTCTGCTGCAGCGCACCATCAACCTCTTGCCCCTTTCATCTTGGATTCGAGTCTGCCCGACCTGGCTGAGAAAATTCGAAGCGGAGTCTCTGAGCGAGAAGCCCTTTCAGCCTACGACCGCCAGGTTTCGGAGATTGTCGGCCTAGTGAGACAGGCAGCCGCTACGGCCAATGCGCTGAACTTCATCGAGGCCTTGCCCCATGGATTTGCGACCCACGTGGGTGCGGCTGGAAACCAACTGAGCGGAGGTCAGAAACAGCGTATAGCCCTTGCCCGCGCCTTGGTGCGGGAGCCCCGTCTGCTTATCCTAGATGAGGCCACAGCTGCGTTGGATTCCACCAGCGAGCAGTTGATCCAGGCTGCGTTGTCCAAAGTCTCCGAACGTGTGACCACTGTGTCGATTGCCCATCGACTGGCCACGGCGAAAGATGCCCATAAGATTGTCGTCGTCAAGGCGGGCCAGGTTGCCGAGGAAGGCTCCCACGCGGATCTCGTCTCACAGGGTGGCGTTTATGCAGAGATGGTGCGACTCCAAAACCTGGGGAAGCTGAGCATGGAAGATCTGACCGCCTCGGATGATTCCATCCGCGAGGTTTCCTCGGAAAGAAAGTTGGCCTCAGAGAGCACCAAGGTCGCCGACGAGAAGGAGGGTCTAGTGGGTGGCAGCGGATCCGACGTGACGGAGGACACCGTTGTTGACAGTGATGGACCGGATGGATCCAAGAATGGCAAAGACAAGGGAAAGAAGGAGAAGAAGCCGAAGAAGCGTTCGGGGTGGTTTAGCACCAAGTATACGTTTTCCCTTCTACGGCCCAATCTCCCCTTGATCTTATTAGGCCTGGGTATGTCCTGCATTATCGGTGGTAGCTACTCTGCCGAAGCCGTTGTCTTTGGTCACACGGTAGGAAGCCTGAGCCCCTGCCGGGGCGCCGATGCCATCAGTGATAGCGGCAACCTCTATGGATTGCTCTTCTTCATTCTCGCCATCGTCGAGTTGTCGGCCAATGTGGTTGGTGGCGCAGCCTTTGGCTGGGCTGCAGACAAGGTCCTGTACCGCATCCGAGTCTTGTCTCTGCGATCCCTACTGGGTCAGACGATGCAGTGGCATGGGATGGAGGATCGCACTCCGGGAACGCTAATCACATATATCACCGGAGATGCCTCCGCACTGAGCGGAATCACCGGGTCTACCATCGGGCTGTTGCTGGCGACGGCCGTGAATCTGGTGGCGGGCCTGGTGATCTCGTTCGCAATCGCCTGGAAGATCACCATCGTATTGTTCCCAACCATTCCTGTGTTGCTGGTCGCGGGCATGATGAAGTTACGCGTGCAAGCGAAGTTCGCGGAGCGCCACCAAAAAGCGTTCGCAAAGGCCACGGCCATCACCGTCGAGGCGGTCGACAACCTACGCGCGGTGTCGGCCTTTTCTCTCGAGAAACAATCATACGAGGTGTTCGGCCGGGCTCTGAAGCACCCCTACCGCGAAACCATGAAGGCCATTGCCCACGGCAATATCTGGTTGGCGCTGGCCTTCAGCATCAGCAACCTCGTATACGCCCTGGCGTACTGGTGGGGTTCGCGGCAGATCGCCGCGGGCCTCTACTCGCAGACGCAGT